TTAATGAAAAGCACGAGTAATTCTATAACTACAGGATTACTGGTAAATCTGCAAACTACTTTGAGAACTATTTGTGCTTCTTAAGTAACTCAACATTCAATAACATTAAGTAAATCAATTACCGCAGACCTCATTCAAGCCAAAACCCAAACTTTAACTGCTGATCAAAAAGCAACTGCTTGACCGAGCCCCAAATGACAGGACTATATTTTCTACCGCAATTCCTCCAGCCCAGGTTCATACCAAACTGCAGCACCTTTCGTATGGGCTGCAATTCCTTCCCTGGCCCCTTCCATTCCTTCCTCTGTTAAGGATCTTTGCTTTGTTTTAGTGGGAGAGGGATCTGCTCTAGTCCTCTAGACAGAGCTGAGGCTGGATGTTGCTGATGTCACCAGCTATTTGTGGCGCTCTCCGAGGACTGGTACTCTCGGAGGTGGCAGGATGATCATTGGCGACCTCATGGCTGGTTTATGTCACCCCTCCCACCAACCTACATTTTAACCACCTTTCACACATAGACACACTTAATTACCTCCACATCAATGCAGTGCTGGGGCTGTGCTGCATTGTTGGAAGTGATGTCCTTTGGATGAGATGTTAAACCGAGGTCTCGTCCGCTTGTCCAGATGGACCTTAAAGATCCCATCGCCCTATTTGAAAATTGAAGGGAGTATATTGCTGTGTCCTGACCAACAATCCCAAAAATAAAATGGGTCACTCACTTGATAGCTGTTTGTGCGATATTGTTTTAGGCAAATTGCCTTTGGGTTCACATCCAAAATACACTTTATGGTATATCCTTTGATATGTTTCAACAAATTAAAAAGGTGCTACATTAAATGCAATGATTGCTATTGTAAGGCATATTTTTAGTATTTCGATAATACAACTGTGCAACTAAACTCTGATGTGCTACGGTAAACAATATTATCTTGCAAAATAGTTCTACTCCCAAAATTGTAATTGTGTCTCATGAGGTTGAAATAACGGCATGATAAAAGCATAACATCAAATCATGCCATTCACCATATCAGTTGCACTCCTTCCAAGGGCCTTTTACCACCATCCATATCGTGGATTCTTCACCACTTATTTAAACTTCGGAAGAATCATTTGCGAATTGTTTCTCTGACGGCTAAAGATTGATGAGCAAAACACCACAATACCTTTCTATATCTTCAATATTTGAACGTGGCTAGTTGCTTTCCACTGATAATGCATCATTGGTCCCAACAGCAGTGGAACCACCACACTCCATGGAATTAATAGAGAACAAAGAGGGTTCAGGCTATATGCCAACACTTGACCTCACAGCTCAGGCTCATTCAAAACTTCCCTGCCTGGGTCCTCACCAAGATTCATCTCCACATGCACATCACCCTGTCTTCGCCAATCTCCACTACTACAACAATAACAACAAAATTATATTTGTATAGTGCCAAGGTGCTGGACAGTCAGAGTTTCAGACCTGAGCTGGAAGGCTGGAGGACAGGTGGAGAAGCAGGGTGATTGAAAGCACGGTCGAAGAGGAGGGTCTTGAGGTGGGTCTTGCAGGAGGCAAGGGAGGGGGCGAGATGGAGGGACTGTGACAGAAGGCCCGACTGCCAATGGTGGTGCAGGCGAGGCAGGGGACACAAACCAGGCTGGAGCCCGCTGAGCGGAGAGAGAATGTAGGATGGTAGGGGGTTAGGAGCTTGCAGAAGTAAAGGGGAGCAAGACCAATCCTCTGTGTGATGAGAACCCAGTGGAGTCGGGTGAGGATGGGGGTGTTGGGTCACGGAGCCTGGTGTGGCAGAGGACACAGGCTGCAGAGTTCTGGATAATCTGCAGCCTGTGGAGGGAGAAGTTGGAGAGGCTGACAAGCAAGGAGTTTGCATAGTCAAGCCTTGATGTAATGAATGCTTGTATGAGGGTTTCTGCGGCCTCTGGTGTGAGACAGTGGTGGAGCTGGGTGATGTTGCGGAAGTGGGGGAAGGCAGTGCAAGTCATGGCACAGATGTGGGTAGAAAGGATAGTTGAGGGTCAAACAAGACCCTAAGATTCTGGACTGGCTTAGCAAGATGCAGTGTACATCCATGGATGGTGATGCTGTCAGAGGCTTCGATGAGGAGGCACTGATGGGAGCCAATCAGGAGAGCCTCGGTCTTGTTGACGGTCAACTAAAGAAAGTTAGCTCTCATCCAGGACTTGATGTCTGACAGACATTCTGTCAGGACAGCAGTGGTCCTGGAGTCAGGGGTGGAGGCAGAGATACAGTTGTGTGTCATCCGTGTACATGTAGAAGTTGACCTCATGTCTGCGGATGATGTCACCAAGAGGGGGGCACTAAGGACGGAGCCCTGAGGAACGCTGCACATGATGGTGAGGAGGCTAGAAGAGAATCAGTTTGTGGAGATAAAGTGGAGGTGGTGTGAACCAGTCGAGGACAGAGCTGTGAAGATTGAGGTGAGAGGAGAGGCTGTGGATGGGGATAGAGTAGTCAACGGGTCGGGATGGGGTCAAGGAGGTCGAGGAGATAGAGGGAGCCCTGGTTGCAGATGGACAGAATGTCATTTATCACTTTGACCAGGGTGGTTTTTGTGCTGTGGGCAGCATGGAAGCCCAATTGGAGGGGTTCATGAAGGGAGTGGAGGGAGAGAAACGAGCGAAGCTGGGAAGCAACAATAACAACAACAAGATTCCATTTATAAAGCGCCTTTCATGTCAGGAGGACGTCCCAAGGCGCTGCACAGTTGGGTCAGGACCCGAGCAGGGGGGAAATGGTCAGGGTGAGGGGAGGGAAGGAAGGGAGCGAGGAGGGGGGAAATGGTCAGGGTGAGGGGAGGGAAGGGAGGGAGCGAGGAGGGGGAAGAGAGTCGAGAGGGGAGCTGAAGGCTCGGTCAAAGAGAAAGGTTTTGAGACCGGCCTTGAAGGAGGAAAGGGAGGCGGCGGCGAAGGCACTGGGGGATAGAGTTCCAGAGCCTGGGGGCTGAGAGGCTGAAGGCCCGACCACCGATGGTAGGGCGGTTGGGGCGGGGGACGTGGAGCAGACCGGAGCCAGAGGAACGGAGGGTACGGGCAGGTAGGTAGGGGGATAGTAGGTTGGAGAGGTAGGAGGGAGCAAGGCCGTGAATGGCCTTGTAGGTGAGGATGAGGATCTTGAAATCAATCCTCTGGGGGATGGGGAGCCAGTGGAGGCGAGCGAGGGTGGGAGTGATGTGGTCCCGAAGCCTGGTGCGGGACAGTACACGAGCTGCAGAGTTCTGAATGACCTGCAGCTTGTGGAGGGAGGTGGCGGGAAGGCCGGCGAGGAGAGAGTTCCCATAGTCCAGCCTTGAGGTGACAAAGGCGTGGACCAGGGTTTCAGCAGCGTGAGGGGTGAGGTAATGCCGTAGTCTGGCGATGTTCCGGAGGTGATGGAAGGCGGTGCCAGTTGTGGTGCGGATGTGAGGGAGAAAGGACAGCTCAGGGTCGAACAAAACGCCGAGGTTCCTGACTGGCTTTGAGAGGTGGAGAGTGCAGCCTTGGATGCTGATGGTGTCAGCGCCTGAGGTGCGGAGGCGCTGACGTGAGCCAATCAGGAGGGCCTCGGTTTTTCGCACGTTGAGCTGAAGAAAGTTGTCTCTCGTCCAGGACTCGATGTCGGACAGGCTGTCAGGACATCGGTGGTCGTGGAGTTGAGAGTAGAGGAGGAAAGGTAGAGTTGGGTGTCATCCGCATACATGTGGAAGTTAACTCCATGTCTGCGGATGATGTCACCAAGGGGGAGCATATAGAGGGTGAAGAGGAGGGGACCGAGGACAGAGCCCTGAGGGACACCACATGAGACAGTACGGGGGGTGGAGGAGAAGCCATTCGTCGAGACAAAGTGAAGACGGTGAGAAAGGTACGACCTAAACCACTCAAGGACAGTGCCTTGAAGGTTGAGGTGGGAGGACAAGCGGTGGAGTAGGATAGCGTGGTCGACCGTATCGAATGCTGCCGATAGGTCGAGGAGGACGAGGAGGCAGAGGGAGCCCTGGTCACAGATGGTCAGGATATCATTGGTGACCTTGACCAGGGCAGTTTCTGTGCTATGGGCAGCACGGAAACCTGACTGAAGGGGTTCAAAAAGTGAATGGGTGGAAAGGAAAGAGCGCAGTTGGGAGGCGACAACTCTTTCCAGGACCTTGGAGAGAAAGGGGAGGTTGGAGATGGGCCGGTAGCTTGATAGCTGCGACGCATCAAGGGAGGGTTTTTTCAGGGTGGGCGTGATGGTGGCAGTTTTTAAGGGAATGGGGACAGAGCCAGAGGAGAGGGACAGGTTGATGATGTCGGTGATATGTGGGGCAAGAAAGTGGAGCTGGGAGATAAGGAGTGGAGTGGGGATGGGGTCAAGGGAGCAGGTGGTTGGTTTTAGGGATAGGATGAGTTTGGTGACAGAGGGTGGGGAAACGGGTACAAAAGTGAGTAGGGGAGGATGGGTAGCAGTCGGAGTGTGGGAGTGAGGGGTGGGGGGTTGGTGGATGTTGGAGGGGAAGTGACCGCGGAGCGAATTCCCTTGATCTTGGATTCAAGGAAATCCAGCATCTCCTCGCAGTGAAGGTTGGAGGAGATGACCTGCGCGGGGTGGCGGGGGGGACGGAGGAGTCGGGTTGTGGTGGAAAACAGTAGCCTGGGGTTGTTCTTCGCCTCCAGGATTATCCTGGAGTAGAAGAACAACTCGTTCCAAGACCTTGGAATGGAAAGGGAAGTTGGAGATGGGGCGGTAGTTTGAGAGCAGAGATGGGAACAGTGAGGATTTTTTTTTAAGGATAGTAGTGATGATGGCCGTTTTTATTGGGGTGGGAACAGTCCATTGGACAGGGAGAGGTTTATGATGTCTGTGAGTAGATGGACAAGGAAGTGGAGCTGGGAGGTAAGGAGGGGTAGGGATGGGGTCGAGGGAGCAGGTGGTCGGTTTCATGCCGGTAATAGTGGTGGTGAGAGGAGTGGGAGACAGGTTTGAAGTGTGGAGGGAGGGATGAGGGGGGCTGGGGAGCATGTGGCAGATGGAAGGGCAGGGGCAGCTGAGCGGATCCCCTCAACGTTGGATTGGAGGAAGTCCAGCATTGCCTCGCAGTTTGCATTAGAGGTGAAGACGGACGAGGCATTAGAGGGTGGGCGGAGGAGCCGGTTGGTGATGGAGAAGAGGAGCCTGGGGTTGTCCGTGGCTTCCAAGATTGTCTTAGAGTAGAATGAATGATTTAGCGGAGGCGGGAGCGGGGCAATAGGATTTGATAAGGTCCAGCCAGATCTGCCGATGGACCGTTATGTTCGACCGTTAAGTCCACTGGCTTCCTTTCTCCCAGAGGATTAATTTCAACGCCCTCACTCGCATACAAAATCCACAGTGGATTCACATCTGACATTAATCTCTCTGACCTCTTGCTACCCCACTCCTCTGCTTGGCCCTCAGCTTAGCTAATTCACATTCCCCACTCTCTGCACCACTATAATAATAATAATAATATAATAACAATCGTTGCTTTTGAGATAGCGCTTTTCACATCTTCGAGACGTCTCGAAGCGCTTCACAGAGTAGGCTGCAAAGTGTATTGACTGGATGGACATCTTGTGGGTGAAACGCGGTGGGGGAGTGAGGTGGTGGGGAGTGGAGGGGGGGGGGGAAGTGAGGTGGTGGGTGGGTGAGTGAGGTGGTGGGGGGCACGGTGGAGTGGGTAAGGGGGAGTGAGGTGAGTGGGGTGGGGAATGGAGGGGGAATGGGGGAGTGGGGGTGGAGAGGGGGGGTGGGGGAGGGGAGTGGGGGTGGAGGAGGGGGAGTGGGGAGGGGGAGTGAGGGTGGAGGGGAATGGGAGTGGGGGATGGGGGAGTGGGGAGGGGGAGTGAGGGTGGAGAGGAGGAGTGGGGAGTGAGGGGAGGGGGAGTGGGGAAGGAGTGAAGTGGGTGGGGGAATGGGGTGGGAGGGTGGAGGGGGGAGTGGGAGGGAGGAGTGAGGAGGGGGTGGAGTGAGGAGGGGGAGGGGTGGAGTGGGTGAGGAATGGGGGGAGTGGGGGAGTGGGGAGGAGTGGGGAGGGGGTGGAGGGGGGGGGAGGGGGTGGAGTGGGGAGTGGGGGAGGGGGTGGAGGGGGAGTGGGGAGGGGGTGGAGTGGGGAGTGGGGGGGAGTGAGGAGAGGGATGGAGGGGGGAGTGAGGAGGGGGGAGAGGGAGGAGGGAGTTGAGAGTAAAGGTGCAGTGAGTGACGGTAGAGGGCGCTGCGGTGAGTGTGAGAGTGAGAGTGAGTGAGTGAGTGAGAGAGGATGTGTGAGCCGCGGGGGCCGCTGCCGCTGCTCCGCTCGGTGTACCCCGCGGTGCAGACGGTGCAGCAGTTCGTGGCGGCGCTCGGGGCGGGGGGCGCGGGGGCTGCGGGGCTGCGGGGGGCGCGGGGGCTGCGGGGGGCGCGGGGGCTCCCGCTGTGTCGAGAGCCTCGGACACCGAGAGCTACAGCCGCTTCCTGTCGCTGCTCCTCGTGTGTGTCCCTCCGGACACCAAACCCCTGAGCCCCGCCGCCAGCTACCAGCAGGTAACCCCCCCACTGCACCCCAGCACTGCACCCCAGCACTGCCCCCCCCCCACTGCACCCCAGCACTGCCCCCCCCCCCACTGCACCCCAGCACTGCACCCCCACTGCACCCCCCCCCCACTGCACCCACTGCACACCCCCCACTGCACCCCAGCACCCACCCCACTGCACCCCAGCACCTGCACCCCCCACTGCACCCCCCCCACTGCACCCAGCACTGCCCCCCCCACTGCACCCCAGCACTGCACCCCCCCCACTGCACCCCCCCCCACTGCACCCCCCCACTGCACCCCAGCACCCCCCCCCACTGCACCACTGCACCCCAGCACTCCCCCCCCCACTGCACCCCAGCACTGCACCCCCCCCCACTGCACCCCAGCACTGCACCCACTGCACCCCCCCACTGCACCCCAGCACTGCACCCCAGCACTCCCCCCCCCACTGCACCCCAGCACTGCACCCCCCCCACTGCACCCCAGCACTGCACCCCCCCACTGCACCCCAGCACTGCACCCCCCCCACTGCACCCCAGCACCCACCCCACTGCACCCCAGCACCTGCACCCCCACTGCACCCCCCCACTGCACCCCAGCACTGCACCCACTGCACCCCCCCACTGCACCCCAGCACTGCACCCACTGCACCCCCCCACTGCACCCCAGCACTGCACCCACTGCACCCCCCCACTGCACCCCCCCCACTGCACCCCCCCCACTGCACCCCAGCACTGCACCCCAGCACCCACCCACTGCACCCCAGCACCCACCCACTGCACCCCCCCCACTGCACACCCCCCACTGCACCCCAGCACCCACCCCCCCCACTGCACACCCCCCACTGCACCCCAGCACCCACCCCCCCCACTGCACCCCCCCACTGCACACCCCCACTGCACCCCAGCACCCACCCCCCCACTGCACCCCAGCACTGCACCCCCCCCCCCACTGCACCCCCCCACTGCACCCCCCCACTGCACCCCAGAACTCCCCCCACTGCACCCCCCCCCACTGCACCCCCCCCCACTGCACCCCAGCACTGCACCCCCCCCACTGCACCCCAGCACCCACACCCCCCCCACTGCACCCACCCCACTGCACCCCAGCACCTGCACCCCCACTGCACCCCCCACCGCAGCCCAGCACCCCCCCCCACCCCAGTGCAGTTTGTGTTGTGTATGTGGGTGCCTTATGTATGCATATGCACATATATATATATATATGTGTGCATGTGTGTGTGCATGTGTGTGTGTGCTTATGTATATGTGCGCGTGTGTGTGCGCACACGTGTGTGTCTGTGCATATATATGTGAGAGTTTGCACACGTGTGTGGGTGTGTGCATGTGTGTGCTTCCAAAATCTATGCTTGTGGCGCCTCCTAGAGGTGGAGATCAGGGTTTATTACTTTGGCAGTGAACCTTAGCAGACAGACTGGACACACAAGACCTGCGTTGCCAGACTCTTACACCCAGTGTTTTAACAGGGATTGCTCTCACTTCACTCTTACTGCTGCAAACCAGCCCCCACCCCCCCCATTCACCCCACTCACTTCCAGCCCCCCTCTCGCTCTCTTTCTCCCCACACCCCCAGTCAGCTGTTTTTTCTCCCCAAGTCCTACTTCCCTTATTCAAGCTATATTTTGGGTGCCCAAACTCGGTTCGGTTCGTTGCCCTCTCTCTCTCTCTCTCTCTCTCTCTCTCTCTCCCTCTCCTCGGAGTCCGAAAGTTTTGGGCTCGAGGCCCCCCGTTAGGACTTGGAATCACATAGTCTGTAATCTGACACGCCAGTGCAGTGATGGGGGTGCGTCGCGTTGTCGGAGATGGCTGTTCTTCGGATGAGATGTTGAACCGAGGTCCTGTCTGCCTGTTCAGGTGGACGTTAAAGAGCCTGTGGCACTATTCGAGAAGAGAAGGGAGCTTCTCCTGGTGTCCTGGCGAACAAGCTCCCAAATAAAAATTGGTCACTCACTCCATGGCTGTTTGTGGGACATTGCCGTGTGCATATTGGCTGCTGGTTTTCTACTTTCCACAGAATGCACTTCACAGTATATCCTGAGAAGCACTTTCAGATTTATTGATGTGATATGGTGCTGTATCAAATGCAGTGATTATTATTATTATCCTTATTATTGTATAGTAAACTATTAATTTCACAATTATCTTTGGTTTCTTACCAAAACGTGTGTTTGCACGTAGGGCCACTGCTCAAGAGGCACTGTCCCGAAGAGTTTTGATGCAGTTCTAGTATCAATTTTTTTTAAAAAAACAACTTAAATTCTGTTTCAATTTGATTTTGAAAAACAGCTTCCAAATTCAAGATAGAATTTAAGAGTATTTTAAAATTCTGCTGAACCTTAAATTTTAAAGCTAAAACCATGAACAATTTTGGGCCTTGGGTACTACAGTACAGTACAAATTTATATAGCGCTTTTTGCAGTGGGAGGATTTCCCAAAGCAGTTAACAATCCTGGCTTACCAATCCTTGGTTTTTGCAATTTTTTTTCAGCTCTCAGCTCAGAGTGATGTGGTTCTGCGAGTAATTCAGAGGATTTGTGAGAAAGGCAAAAAAAATGTTCTAGCCTTTGGTTACGCCAACGTAACGGAAACCAGCTCCATGTCCGTCAGGTTTGCTCCCAACCTATGTAGTTACCAACCAAATCCTACTACAGTTACAATCAAGAACAGTATATTGTGGAAAACGTTGCTGAGCAGAATCGGTGACGATGTAATGATGTACCTGTTAGAACATTGCTCTCTCTTTATGCTGGTAAAACCAAGCTGTTGCTATCAGCTGTGTGGCGTTCCCATCTACAGCCTCATCACCGCTGGCACCAGGCTGCCTGCTTTGTGGCTCAGAAGGAGACCAATCCGAGCTCGGTTCAATATTTTGCTGAAGATTGTTCAGAAGAGAATCCGATTTCACAAGGGGTTCCTGCTAAAGAGAAAGAGAAGAACTTTGGTGGATAGGGATAGCTGCCTGGATGCAAGAGGAACCACTGAATGCAACAAACAAAAATGGACACAAATAGTAAGTGTACACACTCGCAAACCTGCAAAGAGAGCTAAACTTGACACGGATATTGCCAAAGACACACCACGGGATGTATCCAGCACGGGAACAAAGGTTACTGAAGTAAGGCCGCTAAAAAGACTTCTCCATGATGAGGACAAAGCAGAATCTCCAGCAAAAAAGGTAAAACGAGACAGATCGCCAGAGGGTGCGATCCCTCATTCCACCCCACCCGAGATATTGTCTGCAGGAAATAAAATGAACGAGTCTCCTGAGAAAGTGGAGGTATCTGACAGCACAAGCATTCATTCCACCAGAGGAGGACTTGTAGAACAGAAAGTCATAGACGCTAAAACTGGTGTTGGCTGTCAACGAAAATACCCGCAGGGAAGCACCCGAGAGAGAAAGAGAACATGGCAAGAAGGTACCATCGCAGGTTACAAAAGACAGGCTCCAGGGACCGATGCCAAAGCAACTCACCCAACTGGAGCAGGTGGAGTCGAAGTCAAAAGGAGTTGGCATTTCATGGGTGTCCAAGAGGCTGTTTCTTTTGGTAAAAGTGTTAATTCTGAAAGTAATGAAGAAAAGGTGTTATTGGAAGGAAGAGGTTCAGAATCCAAAGGCAAGCAGGCCAAAGTTGCAAAGAGAAAAGATGAATCTGGTAAGAGATGCGCTAAATTTGCTGCGGGGAAAGACAAGAGGGGAACGAAAAGGGCAGCGAGTAACGAGGGTGATGACAATGACCACTTCAATCCTGGTCGGAGTGCAAAGCACGGGCAGAGCACAAAGTGCATAGCCAAAAATGACTATAGCTGGGACGGCCTAAACCCAGATGGACAGTGTCGTGCAGCAGTTGGTGTGTCAGGACAAGCCAAGCCATCACCAATTCCTGCAGATGCATCAGATGCTGCAACAGTGAAGAACGTGAGAACATGGGGGTCAGTCTATGTTGAAAGAGGGCACATCATTTATTGTAACGACAACAGGGAATGTTTGCCAAAAAGTTTTCTACTAAATTGCTTGCAGGGATGTAGTTCAGGGGGTCAACGACTTGTAGAAGCGATCTTCTTGAGCAGCGATGCATTTGGGAACAATGGAAAAAAACAGCCTAACAACTACTGGAGAAAGAGGAGGCTCCCAAAGCGCTACTGGAAGATGAAGAACGTGTTCTTTAGGTTGCTGCGAAATTATAAAAGATGTCCTTATCGGCTGCTATTGAATAGAAATTGTGCGGTTATCATTCGGAAGGACAACAGTGTTTCATGTTCTGAGGGAAATCCTACCCCTTCAGTAAATGAGTCAAATTCATTTTCTACTGTGAAGATGCCTTGCAAGCCTGACAGTGACCACCTTGAAGTGAATCGAGTTACTGGCGGAGCAACAAACCTTATTGCAACACAGGGCCCCGTGTTAAGGAGGAAAAACTTGGAGGATCATACCTCAGTAAATAAGAGTGTCCCTGGTCTCAGTTGTCCAAATGACTTGCATTTGGAAGCAGAGACGGGCTCTTTGCAACCTTCAGAAATCCCTAATTTACGCTGCCAACACAAACGCCCAACCGGAATCCCAGCAGGAAAGCAGAAAGTAAATAAAGAGCTCAAAGTATTTGCAGATTTCGATCAGACAGGGATGGCATCTGGTTCGGATGGTGACTTGCTACAGTTGCTCAAACAGTACAGTAGCCCGCTTCAGGTATACAGATTTGTCAGGGAGTGTCTGCTCAGAGTGATATCAGATGAGCTATGGGGCTCCAACCACAATAAATACAGATTCCTAAAGAATGTGAAGAAATTAATTTCCCTGGGGAAATATGACCGGTTCTCTCTCAGTGAACTGATGTGGAAAATGAGAGTGAACGACTGCACTTGGCTTCAGCTCAACAACGGTAATCTGTAAATCATTTTTATAATGTATATAAAAAATAATAACTTACGATGTTTCTTTGGAAAAAGAAATGCTGTTTTTGAAGTAGAAATGGGGTTTCTCTGAGGGACAGTCTGTTTGTTTTTTTCACGACACTTAAAGTTGCAGTGGTCATCATTAACCGTGGCTGGAGGTTTTATTTTTCACATTGCATTCAAACCGGAGGAGGGTTTACGGGAACTCCCTCCTCATCGGCCTTCCGAACTCTTCCCTTCACAAGCTGCAGATCATCCAAAACTCTGCAGCTCGTGTACTCTCACGCACCAGACTCCCTTCGCCTCGCTTCCTCCCTTACCTCCTTCAAGGGCGGTCTCAAGACCCTTCTCTTCGACCGTCCCTTTGGTCTCCCTCCCACCTCTCTGCCTTCCCTCACCCCTACACCACCCCTCCCCCATGCTCGGGTCCCGACAGCTGACTGTTCAGCGCTTTGGGACGTCCTCCCGACGTGAAAGACACGCTATAAATGTAATTTTGTTGTTGTTGTTGTGGGTTGAGCTAGAAATACAGACACAATCTTCCCTCTGAAGAGATTGGCTGCATTAACTGTGCCAATATTATTAAGCAAATAGATACTGTATGAAGCTCACCCTATGGAGCCTTGCAAATGCTGTTATGTTAAAAAAAAATCTCTAAGTTAGCTCCCTCTATATTGCAAAGCACTTGACTTATAGTTCTTGTATATTGCAGTCAGCATTGTGAGCTTGGTGAATTAAGTGTGGCATAATGTGTTGGCATATTGTCTCAAGCCCAAAGTGCACAGAATTCCAAGTGACTAGCCTCATCCTCACTAACTTCCTCCATATATTGCTTTTATACAAACTGGAGTGTTTAATGCTGTTATTTATTCATCTGTTATTTGGTCAATCTGGTGGCTGACATGTGCTAGAAACCCATCAGCACACTTCCTTCGAGTATTCAAATCAGCCTGAGAGTTCCACACATGAATGAACGTATCTGTCTGGTATGAAGTACCTCTCCTTCTTCCCTGAAGGGATACACCCTGTTTACCTAATCTTGGTAGATTTAGGATTCCATTATTCTGTTGCTAGGAGTTCCACCTTAGAGTCAACTAAGTCTGCAAAAGACCGCAGTTACCTCTTTCCCTCTTCACCCTCCCCGCCCCCCCACTCAGAGGTTAGTACTATAACACATTATCCCATTTAAAAGACTTAATCTAATAATTGAGAAATGTTATAATAATCCTTGCATTTGGTATGGCGTCTTTCATATTGGGTGGACGTCTCAAAACACTTGACTGGATATACTGTTGGGTGGCTGTATATTTTTTAGGCAATTGTTATTAATGTTATTTCAAAGGAGCTGGTATTTTTATTTAGGCTTAGAATTGTGCCATATTAAAATTATTTCTTCTTAATAAATGAAAAAGGGTTTATTTTAAGATAATTGCAATCCTATGCAGAGAATACATGCAGCATCTATTTGGGCTGCTCTGTAGTTAGCTGCTGTTGACGACATAGCACTTATTTATGTTTATCTTCCCCCTCCTGCTTGATGAAGAAGATGCTCACCTTAAATATGTGCACCTTAGGACAGATTAGCTGGTGTCTGATGAACTGCCTTGTGTGCCTGTGGTGGATATGAGCCTGATTATCTTTTATAAAAAAAATAATAAATTGGTCATTTTCAATCCACGACTGTTTGTGGGACACTGCTGTGCGCAATTGGCTGCAGCGTTTCGCCCACAAATATACGGTCAATTCACTTTACAGCATATTCTGTGAAGCGCTTTGAGAAGCCTAGAAGATGTGAAAAGCACTATAGCAAATGCAAGGATTATTATTATTGTAATTATTTTCTCTTTCTCAATCTTTCTCCTCCAGGTCAATGCTCCGTTTCACCATCTGAACACCGGTTACGTGAAGAAATCCTGTCCAAGTTCCTCCTTTGGTTAATGGGCACTTACGTTGTACATCTGCTCAAGTCCTTTTTTTACATCACTGAGACCATGTTCATGAAAAACATGCTTTTTTACTACAGAAAATGTGTCTGGAATAAGATAGAAAAGATTGGCATTCGGTAAGGGCTGTTGATGTATTTAAAGAAACACCTTAGCTAACTTAACTTATGTTTTGATCTCCCCTGAAAGAACGCTAGCAGGGAGCCCTAATTATATTAATAATAAAAATAATCCTTTTGATATAACCCTTCATCGCATCTTCTCGACGTCTCAAAGAGCTTCATAGAATATATTGTAAAGTGAATTGACTATATTTTGTGGACGAAACGCGGCAGCTAATTGCGCACAGCAATTCTGCTTGTAGGCAACTCTTCTGTAAAATGGTCAGTTTTCCCAGCTCTGAATGTTTCAGGACGTAACTCTGAATTGAATCTCCAGTTGCCTCTTTGTAAGAGAGAGAGAGACAGTAACAATTTCTGCATTTGGAGCAAGTGAACTCAGCCAGGAGCAAAATCTTCTCATTTTGAGGTGATTCTCATGTCTTCTGCTACTATTATTTGGTACAACAACAACAAATTTACGTTTATATGGCCTCTTTCAGGTCAAGAGGACATCCTAAAGTGCGAGCCAGTCCCGGCTTGGTACCCAAGATGGGGGGAAACCAAGGGTGGTATGTGGGGGAAGGGGTTGGAGGTGACCAAAGGTGCGTTCAATGCAGAAGATCTTGAGGCAGATCTTGAAAGAGCAGAATACATAATAAGGACAATTCTACAAGCTCTACGGGGGAATTTTTTTTTAAAAAAGTTAAGGACTTAATCCATCTTTTCTTATGAAGCAACCTAGTCCTGCTTTACCCAGCCTCGGCCAGAAGAGAGCCTCACTGAGCTGTAGAGATAATCAAACGCTCCAGAGCTGAGAGGTACCACTTTGCTCCACTTGCTACATAAGTTCCGTGGTTATTATGTGGTGACTTTCCTCTGGACCAAAGTAAGACCCTGGAGCTGCTAAGCTTTTGTTTCCTTTTGCCTCACTCCTGCGTGGCTATTATCTTTATTTTTAATGTGGGGGGGGGGGGGGGGGGGAATCCTCCACAGAGCAATGAATGTGTTGCTCTGAATAAGAGCAGTTCTTCACATCCTCTTGATACATTTCCTCAAGGGTCGTTCTTCACAAGGGAGTCTGGAGTATGAGTTTCAATGGGTTCCACGGTTGAGTCCATTGCATCCGAGCCCAATCCTAACATTGACACACGGGCACACTGGCTGTCCTCCGGTACGTGTTCATGTGTGAGCCTTGGCAGTGAGTGTCGACAGGGGTTACCCCATCGAGATCAGGAACAGGAAGGAATCCAGCCTAAACCTTCCCCACTCTCTGCCCGATACAGTTACGGCTCTCTTACTGCTACCCTGACACCGATGAATTGCCAAAAGAGGGAGTTTTCTTTTTGTCTCAAAAGTTTAGTGAATTCAATTTTTTTTTCTCTTAATTTTTCTCCCAACTGGGTCTGCCTCTGCTCCTTGTTGGGCCACCTGTGTGGGGTGCAGTGACACAGACACTGGCTGTCCTCCGGTACATGTTCATGTGTGAGCCTTGGCAGTGAGTGTCGGCAGGCCACTCAACTTGTAGAGAATGTTGCAGCCGAACCTGAACTCCCCTCGTCTACAACCAGTAACATAATAATAATTTGGTCACTCAATCCACGACTGTTTGTGGGACACTGCTGTGCGCAGTTGGGGGCTGTGTTTCGCCCACAACATATATAGTCCATTGACTTTACAATATATTCTGTGAAGCGCTTTCAGTTGTCTCATCAATGTGATGAGGTGCTATATCAGATGCAAGTATTATTATTAGTAGCAGTAGAAGCTGCAGATAAGGAAACCCAACTCTCCCTTATCCTAGGAAGGCCCCACACAACCCTGGCTGAGCCTAACAAACTCTGCATGGATTCGGGCAAGCGAGCTCCTGGTTTGCAAGCTGCGGTTTTATGCACTCACGATCGGTTTTAACAATCGTTTCAAATCATATTTAAACACAAGGGGTATTTTGGGTTGAAAGTCCTTTCTTGTGGACTTCTAGGACCCATATAAGCAAATGTGCATATTGCTGAGCATTGTATTGTTGGTGAAAGATTTGAGGAGTGAGGATTTTGTTTTTTATTTTGTATTCTATGCATATATAGAGTACAAAAGTACGTATAGAGTACGTCCCAGCGCCTTGTGATGTCCTCCCGCCGTGAAAGGTGCTATACAAATGTAATCTTGTTGTTGTAAGTACCCTAAGTCCTGCACAAATTATTCATCAACTTTCTTACTGCTGTAACACATGGTAGCAGTATACCTCTCCCTCTAGCAACACGTAACAGTCAATGACAAGATAGTAAGTGGTCCTAAAGAACTTAACTGAAGAATTTAACTACAGTTAATGTATTCATTTATTTATTCTTGCAGGAATCATCTCGCAAAGGCGCAACTGCAACCGTTATCTAAGGAAGAGTGGGCGAGGAAGCAACGGCAGAAAACCGCAATTCCATCTTATGCACTCCGATTTATTCCTAAACGAAATGGTCTGCGGCCCATAGTGAAAATGAGGAACATAACGGGATCCAAGAAGTGCGTCAAAGGGAGTAACGCGAGAAAGGTTGGTGATCATTCGGAAGTTTGGTGTGTAAGCTGCACTGCAATGTGTAGATTGCCCCCAACTCTACCTCTGAGACTACTGCCACAGTCACCAGGCGTGCTTCACGCTTCCCACCTGCTCCTGACTCACCATCATTGGGCAACCCTACAGCCACCACCCTCCCCCCGTTATCTGGAACTCCATCCTGCACTATTCCCCTCCCTCTGTTCTGTTCCCCCCTCCCCTAAATTTGGTTTCTCAGTCAGTTGTATGAAGTGCTTTGAAACGTGAAAAGTGTGATATAAATATTAATTGTAAATTGTTGTATCTGCATTCTTTTTCCTTGGTGCTGAATCGGCTCTAAAGTGATGTACTTGGCAACAAAATGTCAGAATGGGGGGGAAACGGGGATTCTTCCCACTCAGCTCCCCCTGCAAGCCAAAGCCCTAGGAAGAGGCAGGAAACGAGCTATGTGGTTCTAGCTAGATACACTCCAACAGTATGCCAACACACACTCTTAAGGTCCCCAAAGCTTGATCTTGCTAATCTGTGCTTAATACTCCCTGGAATTAAGTGAGCAGGGTGCGTCCCTCCAGGGTGAGAATGTGCCATTCCATTCTAGACACAGGGAAATTTCCATGTTAGGTGGCATATCTATGTGGAACTCTTGGTCTAGTTTGGATTCTGTTGGGATCGGTTGCTTCACCTTTTGACCATTGGTCAAAAATATTTTCCGGTGGAGGCTAGAATATTTCTCCATTGCATTACAGCAATAGCCCTTTGGTGAATAATTTCGTGCAGGACAGTTTGTAGGGTTCTTACAATTAAGGCATGTTCCTTGGACTCAGAAAAATGTAAAATCTTCTCCTTAGAGATGTTTATTTAAAAATGTTTTATTCAAACAGATTCAGTACTTTGACTCTCAGACGAAAATCCTGTTCAGTGCGTTGAATTACGAATGCAGAAGGAACCCAGACCTTGTGGGCTCCTCCGTGTTTGGACTTGATGACATATACAAAGCATGGAGGCAGTTTGTGTTATTGCATTTGAGAAACGACAAAATGAGAACCCCGTATTATTTTGTGAAGGTGGGTTTATGCAACTTGTTCAAATAGTCCATCCATTGTTCCTGTATGTTAATTATATAACTCAGGGCATCTGTGATACCCTCTGTACACACACATTTACACATGGTTTACATAATGTGTCTAATAGTTCAATGTATGTATACATTGTTTAAGCAACATGTATAGTAGAACTTATTGTCTGATATTTTTCTACATAAATGGCCAGAGGTAACATGAACACTAGTTGTATAAATGTACTGTATTGTGGTACAATGCTGGATTCTCCATGACTGCTAAAACACTTGTGTGTTTTGCCAAGTTTGTCACCATTCTATCCCATTTGACATTATTCTCATTTATAATTATAACAATTCTTGTGATGAAGCTCTACATCAAATGCATTGTCAATGTCTCCAAGCACTTCACAGGACTTTACTATAAAGTGTAATAGGAGTACTTGTAGGTGAATGTGACAGCCATTTGCACATAGCAATGCCCCGGAAACAGCCATGAAGTGAGTGACTAATTTTATTTGGGGATTGTTGGCCAGGACATTGAAAGAAACTCCCTTTTCTTTTGGATCCTTAATCTCCACCTGAACAGACAGACAGAATCTCAGTTTAACATCTCATTTGAAAATGCAGCACATCCCACAGCCCTGCATTGGAGAGGCAGCCTGGACCATGTAGTCAAAGTCCCAATGTGAGGCTTGAATCCAGAGCCTTCAGACTTTGAGATTAGAGTCCTACCAACTGAGCCAATTTTCTCCCTCGAATACTAAACTAAGCACTTGTGATTTTTATTTTTTGGATGGGTGAGGTTACATGCTGTTGCATCTGTAACACCTGAAATTTTAAGTTTTGCTCTTTAAATGCAGCCATATTGTAAAGGTTCCCGAGTGTAGCCAAGTCATAATAGGACCTTGAAACAAAAACAGAAGTCGCTGGGAACACTCAGCAGGTCAGGCAGCATCTATGGAGAAAGGAAAGTGAGTCAAGGTTTCGGGTCCATGACCCTTCGTCAGCGACTTCTGTTTTTGTTTCAGATTTCCAGCATCTGCAGTATTGTGTTTTGCATAATAGGACCTTCACTGTTCTCCATCAAGTTCAACTGATTTTAAAATAGTTCTACAGAAATGAGTTGATGCTGAGTGTTCAAGGAGGAAAGAGCTGTCAACCTGCAGGGATGAGACAATCTTAAAATTACACAAGGAGCCATGGACTCGAGGAAGCAGAACTAAATAGAGAGAGCAAAGAGAAGTCAGAAAACGAGGGTCCACAACAACAAAAAAATTACATTTATATAGCATTTTTCACGTCAGGAGGAAGTCCCAAGGCATTGGACAGTCAGTGTTTCGGACCCGAGCTAGGGGTCGGGATTGGGGAGGGTGGAGGGCAGGGGGGGAAGTAGGGTGATCGAAAGCACGTTAGAGAGGACAGTCTTGAGATGGGTTTTGAAGGAGGCAAGGGAGGGGGCGAGATGCAGGGATTGTGGAATAGAGTTCCAGAGGGTGGGGGCAGAGTGTTAGAAGGCCTGCCTGCCAATGGTGGGACGGGTGAGGCGGGGGATGTGAAGCAGGCTGGAGCCAGCTAAGCGGAGGGAGAGGGCAGGATGGTAGGGGGTTAGGAGGTCAGAGAGATAGGGGGGAGCAAGACCATGGAGGGCTTGCGGGTGAGGACCAGGATCTTGGACGGTATCCTCTGTGATGGGAAGCCAGTGGAGTCGGGTGAGGATGGGGGTGATAGGGTCATGGAGTCTGGTGCAGGAGAGGACACGAGCTGCAGAGTTCTGGTTGATCTCAGCCTATGGAAAAAGAAGTTGGGGAGGCTGATAAGCAAGGAATTGCATAGACAAGCCTGGATGTTATGAATGCGTGTATGAGGGTTTTGGCAGCCTGCGGTGTGAGACAGTGGCAGAGCCGGGCGATGTGGGGGAAGGCAGAGTGGGTCATAGCACGATGTGGGGTAGAAAGGATAGTTGAGGGTCAAACAAGATACCAAGGTGCTGGACTGGCTTAGTAAGGTGGAGTGTGCAACCATGGATGGTGATGCTATCAGCGTCTGAGTTGTGAGCTTCACACCAAGAGGGAGCATATAGGTATTGAAGAGAAGGGGACCAAGGACAGAGCCCTGACGAACATTGCATGAGATGGTGCGGGGGCTAGAGGACAAACCGTTTGTGGTGATGAAGTGGAGGCAGTATGAGAGGTATGATCTGAACCGGTCAGGGACAGAGCCATGAAGTGAGAGGAGAGGCGGTGAATGAGGATAGAGTGGTCGACAGTGTCAAAGGCAGCAGAGAGATCAAGGAGGACGAGGAGGCAGAGGGAACCCTGGTTGCAGATGCACAGAGTGTCATTTGTCACTTTGACCAGAGCTGTTTCTGTGCTGTGGGTGACACGGAAACCTGATTGGAGGGGTTTGTGAAGGCATTGGCGGGAGAGGAAGGACTAAAGCTGGAAAGCAATGACTTGTTCCAGGACCTTGGAGAGGAAAGGGAGGTTGGAGATGGGGTGGTAGTTTGAGAGCAGGAATGGGTCCAGGGAGGGATTTTTTTAAGGATAGGAGTGATGACGGCCGTTTTTTAAAGAGGTTGGGAATAGTGCCTGAAGACAGGGAGAGGTTTATGATATCTGAATAGAAGGTGCATAGAAGGAATTTAAGAGGAAGGGTAGAGTTCAGTGGTCCTGGTGATGGAAAGAAAGTCGGCTTAAAAACAGAGAAATGAAGATCGAGTAGTAGTTAAAATGAAGACAAGCAAATGTGTAAATAGATGGGGGGGCGGGGAGGTGGGGTGAGTCTAACAAAAGAAGGAAAAGATAGCAAAAAAGGAGTAAGGAAGAAAGATGATAGTTTACTTTTGACTGATCCTTATGCCAATAATACTTATTCAATACACACGGCCTATAGATCAAATCTGGCCTGGAGGAGACCAGCTTCAGTAAATTCCTGATAACTCGACCCTGGCTTGACTTGTCTCTACCACTTGAGACATTATGCTGCCAATATCCCAGCTGCATTTATTTACATATTTATACATTTGCCTAACTCGTCACTCCTCATAACTCATCACTGAGCCTGTTTCCCTTGGAGCGACGAGACATCAGCAGTTTACTGTATAAACATAGTTTGTGTCGTCAAATGGCTTTTAAATAGAAATGATGAACAGTGAACACTTTAGTACTTTACCTCATGTCGAGTGGGTTCTCAGAGTGTTTTCAGATGCCAGAGTTTGAGCTGCAGGAGATCACAAGAGGGCTCTTGTGATTAAGGTAATTACCTTAATTACCATTACACAACAAATGTTTGCTTATTTCTTTCATTTTACTTTACCCTCCATTCCTTGACACCCCCCTATCTCTCTAACCTCCTCTCTCCTGACAGCGTCCTCCACTCTACTGGTTTTCCTTCGCATTCTCCGAACCCTCTGCTCCACCATCGGCGGCCGTGCCTTCAGCCACTATGCCCCGAAACTTTGGAACTCTCTCCCTCAACCCCTTCGCCTCACCGGCCTCCTTCTTCATCGTCAGGTCGTGCCTGAAGACTTTTTCGACCGTGCCTATGGTCACCTTCCCCATCTCCCTGGCTCGGCCTTTGGCTCCGCCATTGTTAAGCGCTCTGAGATGCCACCCAGCATGGAGGGCGCTATATAAGTGCAAGTTGTTGTTGTTGTTTACGATGTTAACAGACGACTGTTTTCAACCATGTAATAAGAAAACACTTGATCGTTTGAAAGCCAGGAAAGTCAGGAATTAAACACAAAGCTCTTTTTGTTGCAGGCAGATGTTACTGGCGCCTATGACACCATCCCTCACGCAAAGCTTGTGGACGTGATTTCACGAGTGCTGGATCCCAAAGTCCAAGAGAACTACTGCATCCGGCGTTATGCCTCAATCTGGAGCAATTCAGCAGGACAGATTAGAAAGTCATTCAAAAGACAGGTAGCAATAAAGAGTGCTTGCCTGCCACATGGGTTACTGACGTTGTAGCTTTTTAGGTACTGTTAAATACACTCTGCCACCCACATCCGCGGTCACCCCCTCGACCTGGTGATCATTCGGGGCCTCACCGTCTCGGATCTCACCATGATTGACAAAGCGATCTTGGACCATCACTTCATCTCCTTCAACCCCTCAATCCCTCTCCCCACCTCCACCCAACCCACCTCCATCTCCTACCGCCCCTGAAAAAAAAATCCCTCCACTCCTCCCTCTGCCTTGGAGTCATCTGAACTCCTTCCCCTCTGGGCTTCCTCCTGCAATGACCTATTCTCCTCGGTCACTCTTCTTCACAATTCCCTCTCCTTCACTCTCTATTCCCTTGCTCCCGACTCTTCCCGAACCGTCTCCTATTCATGTTAGTCACCATGGTACACCAGCCATCTCCGCTCCCTTAAAGTACAGGTGAGTGCCCCTGAACATACTTGGCTTAAATCAAACTTAACAGTCCATCAGCAGATTTGGCTGGACCTTATCAAATCCTACTGCTCTGCCCTTGTTGTTCTACTCCAAGACAATCTTGGAGGCCAAGAACAACCCAGGCTCCTCTTCTCCATTACCAACCGGCTCCTCTGCCCACCCTCTCACATCTCGCCCATCCTCACCTCCAATGCCAACTGCAAGGCGAAGGTGGGCTTCCTCCAATCCAAAGTTGAAGGGATCCGCTCAGCTGCCGCTGCCCTTCTGTCTACTAGCCCCTCTTCATCACTCCCTCCCACCCTAGCCCCTAACATCCCTCCCTCCACACCTTTGAACCTATCTCCCACTCCTCTCTCATTACCACTATAACCCATATAAAACCTGCTTCCTCGACCCCATAACTACCCTCTCCTTATTTCCCAGCTCAACCTCTTTGCCCCTCTACTCAGACATCATAAACCTCTCCCGGTCCACTGGTACTGTTCCCACCCCAAAAAAAAAACGTTTGGCATCACTCCTATCCTTAAAAAAAACCCTCCATGGACTCATCTCTGCTCTCAAACTACCGCCCCATCTCCAACCTCCATTTGCTCTCCAAGGTCCTGGAATGAGTTGTTGCTTCCCAGCTTCACTCCTTCCTCTCCCACCACTCCCTTCATGAATCCTTCCAAATGGGTTTCGCTGCAGCCCGCAGCTCAGAAACAGCCCTGTTCAAAGTGATGACACAACATTGACCACTCCCTCCTCACCCACCTCCTCTCCTCTCACCTCAACTTTCACGGCTCTGTCCTTGCCTTGTTCAGATCGTACCTCTCTCACCGCCTCCACTTCATCTTCACAAACGGATTCTCTACTATCCCCCGCACTTTCTTGTGCAGTGTTCCTCAGGGCTCTGTTCTTGATCCCCTCCTCTTCAATATTTATATGCTCCCTCTTGGTAACATCATCCACAGACTTGGGGTCAACTTCCACATGTATGTGGATGACAACCAACTGTACCTCTCTGTCTCCACCCTTGACTCCAGGACCAATGCTGTCCTGACAGAATGTCTGTTAGACATCAAGTCCTGGTTGAGAGCTAACTTTCTTCAGTTGAACGTCAACAAGACTGAGGCTCTCCTGATTGGCTCCCGTCAGCACCTCCCCACCTCAGGCACTGACAGCATCACCATCCATGGTTGCACACTTCACCTTACTAAGCCAATCCAGAACCTTGGCTTCTTGTTTGACCCTCAACTATCCTTTCACTCCACATCCATGCCATGACCCGCTCTGCCTTACCCCACTTCCACAACATTGCCCGGCTCTGCCACTGTCTCACACTGCAGGCCACCGAAACCCTCATACATGTTTTCATTACAACAAGGCTTGACTATGTCAGCCTCCCCAACTGCTCCCTCCATAGGCTGCAGATCATCCAGAATTCTTCAGCCTCTGTCCACTCGCCGCACCATGCTCCGTGACCCTATCACCCCCATCCATGCCCAACTCCACTGGCTTTCTATCACACAGAGAATACGGTTTAGGATCCTGGTCCTCGCCTTCAAAGCCCTCCATGGTCTTGCTCCCCCCAACTTCTCCAACCTCCTAACCCCCTACCATCCTGTTCGCTCCCTCCGCTCAGCGTGCTGCGGCCTGCTTCACGTCCCCTGCCTTGCCCGCCCCACCATTAGTGGGCAGGCCTTCTGCCACTCTATCCCCGCCCTTTGGAACTCCATCCCGCAGTCCCTCCGCTTAGCCCCTCCCCTGTCTCCTTCAAGACCCATCTCAAGACCTTCCTCTTTAACCGTGCTTTCAATCACCCTGCTTCCCCGCCCTGCTTCCACCCTCCCCAATCCCGGCCCCCAGCTCGGGTCCGAAACTCTTCTCTGTCCAGTGCCTTGGCGCATCCTCCTGATGTGAAAGGCACTATACAAATTTTGTTGTGGTGGTGGTGCTTGTGGTTGTTGTTAGTTTTCTGATGCATTGAATCATCGTCTTATACTTTCTATATATTGAGTGGAATTCCGTGTGAATGAAAACTTGGGTTTGGCTTCAGTGGTTATATTTTTGTTTAAGGAACATGAAAGTTTACCTGCTAAATCTTATGTACTTTCAGCATACAAAGTGGGAAGTTTTAGTTTAATATGTTTATTTAATATCGGGTGATTAGAGTCTGGAATGGTTTTGTTAATCATCCAGTGACCAGTCCAGTGAATGGATGTTAGTTAGAGCCTCCCCTCTTGTGTTTATATAATCTATACCAATAAAACGACAATGTCTGTCTGCACTGAAAGAAGGATCTCAATAACCAATTGACGTAGAGACATGATTTATACCTCATCGTAAAGATCTTGCAATTGGGAGTGACATGGGCATTTTTGTTTTCGGGTAGCTCCCATCATTCATGAGTTACTTTCAATTTTGCATTTTTCGCTGCAGTTACACCTGGTGGCCGCCAAGTCAAAGTGGGGATGTGGCATCCTGCGTCACAGAGCACGCACGTGGCCAAGCGACGGGAACAAAATATCAACAAAAAATTACATTTGTATAGCGTCTTTTACGTCAGGAGGATGTCGCAGGGCACTGGACAATCTGTTTCGGATCGAGCTGGGGGTCCCAATGAGGTGGAGGGACTGTGGGGTGGAGTTCGAGAGGGTGGGGGCAGAGTAACAGAAGGCCCGCCAGCCAATGGTCGGGCGGGTGACTGGGGGGACGTGAAGCAGAGCCTGCTGAGCGGAGTGAGTGGGCAGGTTGGTAGGGGGTTAGAAAATCGCAGAGATAGGGGGAGCAAGACCATAGAGGGCTTTGATGGTGAGGACCAGGATCTTGAACTGTATTCTCTGTGTGATGGGAAGCCAGTGGAGTCGGGTGAGGATCGGGGTGATAGGGTCACGGGGTCTGGTGCAGGAGAGGACACAGGCTGCAGAGTTCTGGATGATCTGCAGCCTATGGAGGGTGGAGTTGGGGAGGACGACAAGCAGGGAGTTTGCGTAGTTGAGCCTGGATAATATGAATGTGTGTATGAGGATCTCGGCAGCCTGCAATGTGAGATAGTGGTGGAGCGAGCGATGTTGGGGAGGTGGGGGAAGCCAGAGCGGGACATGGCACAGATGTTGGATGGAAAGGATAGTTGAGGGTCAAACAAGACGCCAAGGTTCCCGACTGGCATCCTAGTGTGGTGCACACTCCACCAAAATAAAGAACACAGACAAAGCTAAGAGGGGCAACAACAACAAAATTACATTTTTAAAATGCCAAGTCCTCCCACTGAAGGCCTTCCACTGGAGTCTAGATAAAGATGAAATGTCTGTCTGTGTGTCAATCTACATTCCATATTGGATCCTTTGGTTGCAAGCGAAGCTGCAATGGGTACAGCTAGTATAATATATAATAATCCTTGCATTTGATATAGCGCCTTTTCATATCTTCTAAACGTCTTCTAGACATCTCAAAGAGCGTAACAGAACATACTGTAAAGTTCATTGACACTGTATTTTTGTGGGTTCAGTGTTTATCCACTCTGTTGCCTCTAACGGTTTCTCCTCCAGCCCCCTCACTGTCACGTCTGGCGCCCCCCAGGGCTCTGTCCTTGGCCCTCTCCTCTTTAATATCTACGTGCTCCCACTTGGTGACATCATCCGCAGACATGGGGTCAACTTCCATATGTATGCGGATGACACCCAACTCTATCTTTCTGCCCCCACCCTCAACTCCAGGACCACTGCTGTCCTGACAGACTGCCTGTCAGACACCAAGTCCTGGATGAGGGCAGATTTCCTACAGTTAAATGTGAACAAGACTGAGTCTCTCCTGATTGGCTCGCGCCGGCGCCTCTGCACCTCAGGCTCTGGCAACATCAACCTCCATGGTTGCACACTTCAACTCACCAAGTCAGTCAGGAACCTTGGTGTCTTGTTTGACCCTCAACTGTCTTCTTCCTCACATCCAAGCCATGACCCGCTCTGCCTTCCCTCACCTCTGTAACATCGCCCGACTCCACCACTACCTCAACCCTCAGGCCGCTGAAACTCTTGTTCATGCCTTCATCACCTCCAGGCTCAACTATCCAAATGCCCTGCTTGTCGGCCTTCCCAACTCCTCCCTCCACAGGCTGCAGATAATCCAGAACTCTGCAGCCGTGTCCTCTCCCGCACCAAACTCCGTGACCCCATCTCGCCGTTCTCGCCCGACTCGACTGGCTCCCTATCCTTCAGAGGATCCAGTTCAAGATCCTAGTCCTCACCTACAAAGCCCTCCATTGCCTCACCCCACCCCTACATCTGCGACCTCTCAACCCCCTATCAACCCGCCCGCTCCCTCCGCTCAGCCGGCTCTGGCCTGCTCCGCATCCCCCGACCCACCCTCCCCACCATTGGCAGGAGAGCCTTCAGTCACTCTGCCTCCAACCTCTGGAATTCCATCTGCCCATCACTCCGCCTCGGCCCCTTCTTAGGCCAGTTCAAGTCCCATCTCAAGACCCTCCTCTTCGACCATGCCATCGGTCACCCCCTTTCCCCTCCCCTCTCCCTCCCTGACCCAGCTCGGATCTGAAATGCTGTACACTGTCCAGCGCCTTGGGGCGTCCTCCCGACATGAAACGCGCTATACAAATGTAATCTTGTTGTTGTTGTTATTACCTCTTGTGGTCACCAGTCTCTCACCATCCCTTGCTCATTGTCCGTCTCCGTCATTGTAAAACACTCTGAACATTATCTTATTTGAAGGGCGCTAAATAAATGCAAGTTGTTGGTCTTGTGTTCCTCACCAGCAATGATGCAGCAACATGAATCTATAGCTTTTCGATATTGTATACAGTAGGGCCTTTTTTGTGTTTATTTTTTTTCTCGTCTAAAAGAAATGATTCAGTTAAAAGTTCTTTAGTTTAAAGTTAGTTTTTTTTTCAACAAATCAATTCTTCCCACACTGTACCTGCTAATCCCAGCTGTACATTTACCCACTTGGCCATGTGGGAGGGGCGGGAGAACAGAAGCTCGAGGCAAGAATAATTATTTTTCGGTTAGCCTTGTTGGTTGTTTGCTTTGCTTCCTACATCCACCAATATGTTTTGCTGCTCTGGTTTATGCAGTAATTATTCCATTCTCATTATCTGTCTTGCGTTTGTTGTTACTCAGGCTTTTACTATGATGGACTTGATGCCAAACATGAAGGAGTTTGTGTCCCATCTGCAGCAGCAAACCTCTCTGCAAAATGCTGTCCTAGTTGATCAGGTAAGTCGATGAGTTTTCAACCACGTGTTGACAAACCTGAAGTAATTCGTAGTGTTATTTTTGTCGGAGCCTGACTGATCATAAGAGCTGTTTAGTCCACATGGAGTATAAACACCGGCACAGACCGAATGACCTGTTTCTGCACTGTATCACTCTTTGTAATTATGGAACTTGGGGATTCCTGGAGGAGATGCACTAAGGTGCATTTTCTGGTGTGATAGGATTTGGCTGCTGGGTCTGTTGGTAGCACTCTTGCCTTTGAGTAGGAAAGTTGTGGGCTGAGACTCCGGGAATTTGAAGCCGTATAGTCCAGGCTAACACTCCTTTGTAGTACGGAGAGTAATGGAGGTGCAATCCAATCGACTTTGGATGAGATGTTAAACCAAGGTCCCGTATGCCAGTTCAGGTAGATGTTGAAGTTCCAACGGCACTGTATGAGAAGGGAGTTTCTCCTAGTCACCTGAACAACAATCTCCCAGATGGAGTTGGTTATTATTTCATAGCTGCTTGTGGGACACTGTTGTGGGCAAATTTGCCTAGAAATACAGTCACTACAATTTACAGGAAATACTGTGAATTGTGTTGAGATGTTCTCCTGACGCAAAAGGTGATGGATACAAGGATTATTATTATTATTGTACTATTATTGTACATGGTTTACACGACCCACATATAATACACACATGTTCTGTTTTCTTCAGGGTCTGACGTTGAATGAGAACTCTGGAGACTTGTTCAGTCATTTCAAGCAACTGATCGTGGAGAACGTGATTAGAATTCAGGATAAGTAAGCCAAACCTTTTTGGAATATTTGATTTGAGAAATAATAAGTAACATGAATAGTAAATAAATAACAAACTGCACATTGGGAAAAAATTCACTTTGAGTGTACTGAGCTTCCACCAGCAGATGGTGTCTGTGCTTCAATATCCTTTGATAATATCAAAGAAATTTAAGGCACAGAAGAAGACCATTCGGCCCATTGTGTCTATGCCGGCTCCCTCAAGCATTCCTTTCACTTGCATTTACCTAACCCATCAGTATACCTCTGTAGCTGACTCTTTTTAAGGTATTTGTCTAGTTCTCCCTTGAAGGTCAATATGGATTTTGCTTCAACCATTGATCCCAGCAGATCATTTCATATCCTAACTTCTCTGTGCATGAAGAAGTTTCTCCTAACCTTCCCATTTGCTCATTTAAATGGCCTCCAGAAGTGCACCTGGTTAATAACTCACCAACCAGCTGGTCGGCTTGATATAACAACACCAAGAGCAAATTGCATTTGTAGACAGCCTTTCACATTGGGAGGACGTCCCAAGGCGCTGGATACTGAAGGGTTTGCACCCGAGTTATGAATCTAATCAAATACAATTTTATTACATCTAATAAAGTATAAAATACAGCTGGTCCGTTGCCCTGAGATGAGCTTGTCTCCAGAGGCAATGTAGAGTGGCTGGTTTTGTCATGTAGAGTGGCTGGTTTTGTCATGTAGAGTGGCTGGCTCCAGATCCGATAGGACAACAATCAAGAGTTCGATCTCCAGTGCCTCCGTGCCCTGGAGATCTCACTCGTCACAACTCTGAGCTCTGGAGCTAGTTGTCTTTACAATGTTCCATGCCTGAGGGAACATCTGACATTATTACAGTGACGGCAACACGTTTTGGCAAAAGCTAATCAATGTTCGAATTTTCTTTTGGTCGAATGTCTTTTTTGTGTGTGATTTTCTTTTTGTCAAGTAACTTAATTGCAAAAGGATCATGGGGAGCAGGGTTTTTTTTTTTGAGTTTCCGCCACTGTTTGGCACAGGGGCATCTTGAAAACAACATTCACGATTTTTCCCGAATGCGGCAATGGCTGGATGTCAAGGCAATACTTGTGCAATGGTGTCAGGGCAATGGTGTCATGTACAGAATGTCATCGGTGCACGCAATCTCTTGGAGCTCTGTAGACTGATTAAAAAAAACAGTGTCTGTGGAAACCAAAAATCTGCAATATGAAAGCGGTACTTTATTGATGTTGCTTTTCAATGGAACGCTCTACTCTTGGAGTTTGTAGCATTCGGCTGCAGGATATTTGATCAAACCTGTCACAAAATAATAATAATAATAATAAATAATAATAATAAAATAGATGTGATGGACCACTGAATGGCCAGAACTGAGACAATTTGCTCAAAATCCAGTTCAGAATAGTGAAGACATTTTCACAGCAGTTTGCTCATGTACCCTGACACTGCAGCACTCAGAAATGCGGCTGAAATTGCTTCCAGGGTCACAAGAAAACAAGGTATGAATTCTGTTAATCTCATTTGCTATTAAAGAGTTAGAATTGTAATGGTAGGTGACCTCTTGCACTAAATTGGTACTGAGGACAGGTTGATTGATTGGAGATTATGATTCTTTCAAACAATCTGGCCATTTTCAATTTTCCAGTTCAGTGCAGTACAATATAGACTGCTAACATTATTACTTCCTTCACATGGACAAACAAAATGTATCAATGAAAACAGATTACGTTCCGGACAACATTAGCCTGTTAATTATTGCAATCATTATATTCTGCTAGAGAAACAATCCTGTTGCAATTTCCTCCCTGTAACCTATTCATTTCACTGGATTTACCTCTGATTCTTGTTCTTACTCAGGAACTCAGTTTGATCCAACATCTTTTGCTTGTATGTATGAACATTTTATTTTGACAACTTTGAGGCACCATTCAAGGCCTGACTGCGTCTGTGTGCAGCATAATACAGAAAGGATGTAATATTTTCATATTGTTGGTTTATTGCGTGGATTTGTTGTTCCTTATTAGTATTTTCAAACAGAACTGAAAGGCATTTCAATATAGTTGACTTTCATTGCATTTTAATTGGTCTGGGTGGAAAGAAGTGAATTATTTCCACTATTCCTTCTCATTAAACACAAGAAAGCCAATGCTTCAAAGGTCTTATCTCTTCTCAACTCTTGCTCTCAGGTACTATGTCCAACGTCGTGGGATTCCACAGGGCTCGATCCTCTCAACCTTACTCTGCAGTCTGTGCTATGGGGACATGGAAAACCAGCTTTTCCAAGGAATTCAGAAGGACGGGTAGGCAGTAGGGCTCTTCTGGTTACTCTTGTAAACTTTTTCTATGTAAATTAAAAGGTGTTTTTTTAAAAAAAAGTAGCGACAGCAATGCTGATATCTCAGTATGAAAAGGTGTGTTTTTTTTGTTTTGGAACTTTGTTACAATGTGGAGTCTATCTTATGTTCCATTCATTGGTACAAACACTTCTTTCTTCTAGGTTGTTGCTGCGACTGATTGATGACTTTTTGCTAGTCACGCCTCACTTATCACAAGCACAACGCTTTCTGAGGTACGGCCAGTGACGTAAGACTGTAGCTATGCAGCACCTCTGAGTTGAAATGTGTGCTGTTTTACCTCGGCTGTTGAGATATATTAAACTTCTAAGTGCAAAATCACATGGCCAAATTATGTACATTAGTGCTGCAATTTCACCTGATCTAGAACTACTGTCTCTTAAAATGTAAGATCTTTCAGAAGTAATGTATTTAATCATATCTGGCTTCTGCCGCAGATTTATACATATGTAAGCCGGCCGGTCAACGGAGGCTGCTCTTGTAAATGTTTCCAGTGGTTGCCAGAACACTGCTGACATTAAGGCATCTTCTGCGCCTCTGTGCCATGTGCAGGAATCCGACCAGTCTACGTCAGAAGCCAGAGGTGCCCTGCACACCTGGTGATCTGCATGTCCATGGCGGACCCACCTTCTGGAACTCCATCCCACAGTCCCTCCGCCTCACACCCCACTCCCCCCTACCACCTTCAAAACCCGTTACAAGACTCTACTCTTCGACCGTGCCCTTAGTCACACTCCTACCTCCACCCTCCCCACCCTCCACCCCTCCTGATCCCAACCACCAGCTTGGGTGCTGATCCCTGACTCCAGCGGCTTGCAACATCCTCCTGTTGCGAAAGGCGCTTTACAAATGTAATTTGTTGTTGTTCCACCCACTCTATAAACACAAAAAACAAGTATAATGAGCTCTAGCAGTGTTGCAGAAAGCATACAGATGCTAAATGAATTCAACAATGCACCACACATTTCAATCTGTTGACATGTTTGAGAATGTCCATTAGGTTGAAGCCAGCATTGAAATATTGGATCAGAACTTTTAAACATTGAAACATTGCTTGTGACTCTTGCAAAAATAAACATACATTTAATGTAATTTGAAGCTGTAATTACAAAGATTTTTTNCATTAGCTTTTTAGAAATATGTTCACTTTGATGTAAGTGTGTTTCTGATTGTGTTCATATTGAGTTACTGAAGCAGTCAGTCAATGGACTGGGCTACAAATATTTATAAAATTGTAGTTTTTTTATGGGCTATAGAGACATTTATGGGCACAGGGAAAGAGCAAGAGATGGGTACGGTTCAGGTGTAACGCTCCATTGGTGGAGCTAGAAACAGCATAACAATAACTTGCATTTATATAGCACCCTTCACACTGGGTAACATCTCAAAGTGCTTGACAGTGGTGGAGTGTGACCCTGAGCCAGGGGGAGAGGGAGGGGGGAGGTGACCATAAGCACAGTCAAAAATGAGGTCTTTAGGTGGGATTTGAAAGTGGGGAGGAAGGGGACAAAGCAGAGGGGTTGAGGGAGAGAGTTCCAGCGTCTTGGGGTGTAGTGGCTGAAAGCACAATCACCAATGGTGGAGGGGACGAGGGGTAAACATGAAGCTGGAGGCAGCGGCTAGTGAAGTAGGGGGTAAGCAATTCGGACAGGTAGGGAGGTGCTAGGGGCACAAAGGGATTGGAAAACGAGTGAGAGGATCTTGAAATGGATCCACTTGATAATTGGGAGCCGGTGGAACCTGGCAAGGATGGTGTGATGGGGTACAGAGTTTTGTGTGGGTGAGTATCTGGGCGCTGGAGGTTTGAATTAAGTATCTTTGACCAGAGAATTCCACCTCCAGCCTCAGTATTCACTGTGCTTTGACCCTCATTATTCATTAAGTTTTTTTTATTCATTGCCTTATCTTCTGATTCTGGAAACCGATTTAAAAAGACTTGAGATTGGGATGGACTTGTGAATTGTTTCTAGGCCTATGCTGCTGTGAGAAAAATAAGCAGAACCTCTCATTGAGTGACTGTGCACTCGCCTTGCAAGCGAGAGACCTGGGTTTGATTCCCGGGAAGGTGAAACGTTGGGCAAGTTTCCTTACTCCACACGCCTTGTTTACCTAGCAGTAAGTAGGAACCCAATTGTTAATCGATTGGCAGATCACTTTTCTGGGGGTACTAATCCCTTCAAAAATATAATAATAATAAATTGATCACTCAATCCATGACTGTTTGTGGGACACTGCTGTGCAGAATTGGCTGCTGCAATTCACCCACAAAATACAGTCAATTCACTTAACAGTATATTCTGTGAAGCGCTTTGAGACATCTCGAAGATGTGATGAGGTGCTATATCAAATGCAAGTATTATTATTGGCACACCAACACTGAATGTCACCAGAATAGCATATTTAATACTATATCCTTTTTTTTTGGTTGGACATTTGCGGTATTGGAAAGTTTAAGTGACCTTAGACTGTTCTCTAACTGCTGCGAATTAATATTCTGTAGGTCAGTGAAGTTGCCATGCTGAATAGCGAGATTATTTCCTGTTGAATAATGGATTATTTCTGTTTCCTTCTGATCAAGAATGCTGACCGCGGGAATTCCAGAATATGGTTGTTTCATTCACCCCAATAAAACAATGGTGAACTTCCCATTAGACAATGATCTTCTGGGCTGCATCAATGTCAAGACACTACAGGAGCATTGTCTCTTCCCTTGGTGTGGTTTGTTACTCAATACACAGACCCTCGAAGTCTACTGTGACTACTCCAGGTAAGAACTATATCATTCTGCTGCTGTATCTCAAAACCACAATTCTTGCATGGAATGGAAAAGCCCATTGCAGCCCATTTGATCACAAAATAACCATCAAACCATATATCTCCATGATCCCTCAATAGATTTCTCGGCCAGTTCAAGAAGTCATTTGTATAGCTATTTGAGAAACGCAATCTGCTTCCACTGCTTCCCAGAGTTGTCTAATTCACGTGCAATTTCAGTTAAAAAACACAAATTCAGTGCCAGCAAACACTTAATCAATATTTTCGGTCACCTTTCTCTATACCCATCCCACCACCACCTTGATATAGGTGCCCAACCAATGATGTAAGCCCAGTAGTAAAGGTGAAATATTAGATACTTAGCTTGTTGCCTTACTTGTCTATTTTCAATCTGTTCCTGCTCACTATTCAACATTTAGTAGTTGATGTTTGGGAACTGCAGTCATTATATATTCTGTTAGAGTAAGATAATTCTTGGGAATTGTTCTCAGTATTAGTAGATACTGAAAGCAAGTGTTGGAATCATTGTAGTATGTTGTGGCATTAGCAGATGTAATGTTATGTAAATAGATGTAGTTATTAAAAGTGAGTTTTCTGTGTGTGAATGGAGGGAAAGCAACAGTTGTACATTTTCAAAACCGTGTGTAGTCGCAGTAGTTAATGACTTTCATTATATTTTAAGATTCCTGCCTTGAACTCTGCCCACCTGATAAGATTACCTTTAGATTACACCGTTATCCTCTCTCGTGCATTTGCGGTAGATAACCACAAACCAGACTATAAAAAAAANTCTTGCAAAATGTTCACTAAGATTCTCAATCCATCAAAAAGCTCCCGTCAAGACCACAAAGTCACTGTTTGGTTACGCCTTGAAATAAAGTTTGTGATTCCTTTGCACTTAGACAGCCCTTGTTGCACTTGTACATGGGGGAAAGAGAAAAGCTGTGATGCATTCACCTGTCTTTTTTGTGGGTGTGTGTGTGTAGCTTCGTTGTTCCAGTTTTGTAACTCATGCAGCCATGCATTATGATCAACATATTTAATTTTGTTTCTGCCTCCATCTCACGGTCACTCTGCCTCGCCGCCTCCCTTGCTTCCTTCAAGACCTGTCTCAAGACCCTCCTCTTTGACCTTGCTTTCGGTCACTCTCCTACCCCTACCCTCTCTGCCCTACAACCCCTCCTGATAATAATATAATAATAATCCTTGCATCTGAAGGACATGAGCTCATAATCCAATATTTTTTATATTTGATATAGCAGTTTCTCATATCACAATTCGTCAAAACACTTCACAGAATTTTACTGTAAAGTGTAGGGACTGTATATGTTGTAGGCAAGCGAGGCAGGCATTTTGCACATGCAAATGTCACACAAGCGACCATGAAGTGAATGACTAATTTTATCTGGTGGATTTTTGACCTGAACACCCGTGCAAAACTCCCTTTTCTTTTCGAATAGTGCCATTGGATCTTTTAAGGTCCTCCTGAACAGTGAGACGAGACCTTGGATTATTATCTCATCCAAAGGACGGCTCCATCGACAATGCAGCACTCCCCCAATACTGGATTGGAGTCTGAGCCTAGGATGTGAGGGTATAATCCTGATGAGAGACGTGAACCCACAGCCTTTAGACTCAGTTGCGAGAGTGTCAGGTTGATACCTAGCCAGGACGTGAATTCACTCCAGTGTATAACTGAGAATTGCTGTGTCGTCAGAACTGTTGCCTGTGTAACCCATTGATCCTCCAAATTTAGCAGTTAATTGTATTCTGAGTTTCTTCATCAAACAATCATTTGACTCAGATGATCAACATCCTACTCTATGACTACAATTGTCCTGCAAAACAGTATATTGAGGTTGCTAATCTAGGAAATATTGCTTCATATCTGATAATTCCACATTTTATGATTCCCAATGAATTGATCTTGTGTAATCTTAGGATCTTGTTATATGTTCACAACCTTGGGAAATGCGCATGACAAACCATCTATTGGCTTTTGTTTAAGAGATAATTGTGTTTAAAGCTGTAGCATTCCATCTTGGGAATCCCAGCTTTACCATATTTCAGTAATATTGAAAAGTACTTTAACGGGACTTTACTTGGGTTAGCTTTTACATAAAATGTCTTCAGATTTTCTTCAGATGTCCTATTTGTCCAGTGATGCATGACTGAGGTAAGCTGATTGCTAAATGCTGCTTTGGCTTTTGACCATTCCCTTCCTGTACAGAACTTTCTGTGCTAACTCCTTCGCGTGAGTTTCTGAAAGCTTTATATAAAAGATGCCTTGGAACTTGTTGGCTCTGCTACATATGTCTAAACAGCTGGCACCTATTGTCACTTATTGTGTGGAATATCTGAGACGTATTACAGTAAAGACTGTATAACCTTTAAAAGTTTAGTATGTCTCAAGTGAACAGATATTTGTCCACTATTGCAATATCAAGAACCGACTGATACAGATTTCCCTTATCTTTGTAATAGGACTTTGGTTCTTGGCATTGTTAGTCTATTTAGATTCTTAAGGTGGTCGACAAATGTTCCACTTGCACAACACAGCAGTAATAACAACAGCTTGCAACATGTCAGTGATTCCATTAACCTAAATACACAGATAAGAGATTAAACACCTGCCAGTGAAACCGATTTCAATTAATATTTGAAAAGCATTTGCAGGCGATCTACACTAAAGCTTAAAAGTTTTATATAAAAAAATCTACATCGAATGAGGAACAAAAAGGTGTTATTTTTGTGAGAGTGTCAGCCTGCCTCAGTTGGTAGAAGTTTTGGCTATTTTGAACTACTCCTGTGTGAGTCAATTGGGGCTCATATTGGCATTCTAATTTTCCATACAAGCTACTTGTTTTCATCAAGCATGTTAATGTTCCAAACTCGAAGGGATTCACTCGGCTACCTCTTCCTCCATCTACCACTAACCCCTCCCCACCTCCCCCTCACACCCTGACCCCAACCACCCCTCCCTCCACACCTTCGACCCTGTCTCCCCCTCTTCCCTCATCTCCATCATCTCAAAAATGAAGCCCACCATTTGCTGCCTCGACCCCCATCCCCGCCCCTCTTCTCACCTCCCACCTCCACGTCCTGGTCCCTCTCTTAACTGACATCATCAATCTCTCCTTATATCCACGGCCACTGTTCCCACCCTCAAAAAAACAGTTGTCATCACCCCCATTCCCCCAAAAAACTTTGCTGAACCCATCACTATTCTCCAGTTATCGCCACATCTGCAGTCTCCAATTACGCTCCAAGGCCCTGGAACGAGTCGTCGCATCCCAGCTTCCTCTCCACTAATCGGGTTTCCATGCTGCCCTCCGCTCAGCGGGCTCTGGTTTGCTTCAAGTCCCTTGCCTTGCCCGGTCATCCCAGTCCCTCTGCCTCGCCCCCTCCCTTCAAGACTCGTTTCGAGACCCTCCTCTTCAACCATGCCTTCGGTCACCCTACTAACCCACTCTCCACCCCTCCTTATCCCAACCACCAGCTCGGGTGTGGATTCCTGACTGTTCAGCGCCTTGGGATGGCCTCCTGATGCGAAAGGCACTAACCAAACGTAATTTGTTGTTGTTCTCTCTCATTGACTGTCCAGTGTAAAAGAGAACAAGAGGCTGATCCCTGGTGGCAGAACAAGAAACTATGGGAAGCGATTAGATATCTGGAGTTTTAAGCCTTGAAAAGAGACATTGGGACAGAGAGGGCAGTGTAGTGGTTTATAAGATCCTAAATGGGATTGAAAGTAAACATAGTGTGGCAAAATACTGCAGCTGCTGGAAATCTGAAATAAAAACAGAAGTTGCTGGGGACACTCACAAGGTCAGGCAGTATCTATGGAGAGAGGAAAGTGAGTTAATGTTTCAGGTCGATGACCGAAAGGTTATTAATGTTTTCAGGTTAACCAGGGGGTCTAACACACAGGCACAGATTTTATGTTGTGAAAGAAATTTTAGTACAATCACCAGCAAATATTTCTCAACATAAAGGGAGATTACCATCTGGAAAACATTACCAGAAAGGATGGTTGAAGCCAGAACATTGGACTCATTTAAGAAACACCTTGACTCATTTAAGAAACAGTGCTCTGAGATGATACCCCAGTGAAGTGTTGTGTATAAGTGCAGTTTGTTCTTGTTAATGGAAAAGCAATGCGGTGGGTATTCTGGAAGGCTGAGGCCAAATGGACTAAAGGGTCTTTTACATCTGAAATGTCTTCCCGATCAATGTATTGGTTGCTGCATTGATGGTTGAAGTAATGCTGTGTTTCTCTTCTAGTTATGCAAACACCTCCATCACATCAAGCCTGACCTTCAACTGCAGTTCTAAAGCTGGGCAAAACCTGAGGCAAAAGCTGCTGGCAGTTCTGAAACTGAAGTGTCACCAGATCTTCCTGGACCTGGAGGTAAGATGTGATTATATGACGGTACACCCAGCAAAGCTAAAGGTGGGTTAGCTTCTCTTAATCAATACAGAAGCAAATTGAAGCCTTGGTCATTCACGTTGACAGTATCTAGCACTGAATGATTCGCCAGCATAATGATATGTGCATTTGAGGTGTCAGCTACATGGACTGAAAAATTCTGTTAAAAGCATTGTGTAAAGAACTTAAAACTAAACTTTGTCTAAACCTTCGCCCTTCTAAACTCAGTTTGTTAATATATAAAGTATTGGGAGATTGCTTATTTATACCCCCTTAGATCCCTGAATAATTCAGTGAATGATTTACTGTGATTTGTCAATTCAAAAGTAAATTATACAAATGTTTTATATTTATTCTGTAATAAAATGTATTTCTGGAATTAACCTAGACTCCTCCTTTGATTCAGTTAAATTATAGTGGCTTAAGCTGTTCTTGACATCAGAAGACCATGTGACTGAGGAAAATGCATCTTTATGATCCCCTCCTTTGGAGTTCATTGCTTTCAGCACAGACTTTGCTTCATCATCATTATTTCTCTCTGCTATCAGGCCTCCCTCTATCTCCTAATCCTCCTCAATCTCTTTGCCATTAATAACATTGGACCACTCCATTCTCCTTGATCGCCTCTAATCCCTCGTCTAACTTTGTGGACTGTACTATCCTGGTTTCAATCGTACTTGCCTCTTCTTAGTCTCCTCCAGTGCTTTCTCCTCCTGAGATACAGTCACCTGTGGAGTACATCAGGGCTCTATCCTCGCCATCTTCCTTTACGTGCTCTCGCTTGGCGTCATCGTCTATTAAACTGGGTTCACAACAACAACTTGCATTTATGTAGTGCGGCAGCGTCCCAGAGCGCTTATACGCAGATAACGCCCAAATTAACTTTTCCATTTCTATTCTTGATTACATCTACCTGCTTGTTGTACATCAAGACCTGGATGTACCTTATTTTGCTGCAGCTTAACCCTGACAAAACAGAAGTCATCCCCTTCAGCTCCCACCCAACATCTCCTCACATTCAAACCCGAACTCCTCAACTTCCATGGCCTCTCAAACTCTTTGAACCAAATGAGTAACCTTGGCGTCCGGTTCGATCCTCAGTTCTCTTTTCTCCCTCCTGCCTCAACTTCACACTCATTATCTTAGTTCTCCCCTGACTCCCAAACGGATTGACCTCAAACTCCTCGCCTTCATCTATAAATCTCTTTACCTTCCTATCTCTCTCATCTTCGCCTACCCCACACCTCGGCTCAACCCATCCTTTGACTAACTCAGGCCTGTCTCCCACCATGTGTCCCCTGAGTTCTGCAACTCTCTCCCTCTACCCCTCCATCTCACCTCCTCTCTGTTTGTCTTTAAATCCTGCCTTAAAACCTATGTCTTTGACCCCATCTACGATTTCCTTCCTTTCACCCTCACTTTGGCATCTGACTTTGTCATTGTGAATTGCTGAAAGCCATTATCCTGCATGAATGATGCGATTGAAATGCAACTTTTTGCTGTTGTACTTTAGTATTTCTTAAAGGCCAGAATCCGCACCCTCTCCTGACAGTGAACAGTGAACAAATATTTTTGTAAAAACATTTTAAACAATTCCATTGATTTCCTTTTGCTTTCCAGCAAACCTTCAAATAAAGAAAATTAATGTTTTGCTCGCCTTGTACGTTTTGTTCAGTTTGAGCAAGTGGAAAGCAAGTGATGTATTTGCTATTTCTGCAGGTCAGTACATTGAGAACAGTTAGCATCAATGTCTACAAAATATTTCTTCTCCAGGCGTACAGGTAGGTTTCCATTAATTTTGTACCTTTTGCTTATCTTCTCAAGGTTTGATGTATTTGGAGCACTAATCCTCTCTCCTCCACCCCCCAAAAACCCCCCAACTTGATCACTCAATCCATTTGCTCAGTTGGCTGCCACGTTTAGCCCACAAAATACGCAGTAAATCCATTTTAACAATATATTCTGTGAAGCACTTTGAGACGTCTCAACAACGTGATAAGGCGCTATATCAAGTGCAAGGATTATTATTGTTGATAGTGACTGATATGTTACAGGTACGTATTTATTGAGGATAATGGTCACAAGTAAGGCAAGACCTAGTAGTCAGTGTACCGTGCTTTATTTGGATGTTTGCTTTCCACGTTTGCACCATTATCTTCTTTTTCCACCCCTTGCTAGTTGCACCTCTTGCAACTGAGAGATCAGACGGGTATCATGGCCTTGGACGTCTGTTCTGCTGTCTGGAGTCCCTTGCTACAGAGGGGCTGATATTGGAGACGTGCTGTTATGGACCTGGCAGCAGGGCATGTGAGAACACCAGATTTGTGTTGTTCTGGAGTTGGCTGCAAAGCATAATGTGTGTGAGTGGCCTGGAGACTTCACTCTTCCTGTAGAGAAGAGCTTGAAATCTGCTTGATGGCATGGCTGAAATTGGAACTTGCTCGAGTGAGACCCTATACAATACAAAATTACATTTGTAAAGGGCCTTTCACGTCAGGCGGATGTCCCGAGGCGCTGGACGGTCAGGGATTTGGACCTGGGCTGGGGGTCATGATCGGGGAAGGTGGAGGGTAGGAGGGTGGCCGAAGGCATGGTCGAAGAAGAGGGTTTTGAGACGCGCCTTAAAGGAGGCAAGGGAGGAAGCGAGGTGAAGGGAATGTGGGATGGAGTCCCATAGGGTGGGGGCAGAAAGGCTGAAGGCCCGACTGCTGATGGTGGGGTGGGCCAGGCGGGGGACATGGAGCCTGCCGAGAGGAGGGAGTGGACAGGTTGACATGGGGTCAGCAGGTCACAGAGGTAGAGACAAGCGCAATGCATAGCACCTCACGATGGTAATCCTTGGTGACAACACTGCCGGTCTGCATGGAAAACCCTGCTGACATGGGATTACTGTACTCTATACTTCTGTTGAACTGTGTTGACTAGTTACTCTGTTACTCCCAGCACCTTGGGACGTCCTCGCGATGTGAAACGCGCTATACAAATGCAATTTTGTATTGTAATAACAATATAAGTGACAGTGGCCAGTAATTTTCCAGTGTGGACTTGCTTATAACCGCCATTGAGAAACAGCCCCCAAAAAGCAGCATTGCCTATTGGTTTCCAAACAAGAAGATACTGGAGGATGCCGGAGAGAAATGGTGGTTCATATGTATGTGTGAAACTCATCACTTTTCAATATTGTTGATTGTTCTGATTCGAATCAACCAAAACAGCACGAGGACATCATTCAACTTTAATCCTGGTGCCTCTAGAAATCAGTCAATATTTGGTTCTTTATTGTTACTGAGTGTGCCACTGATCAACAGTTTATAGCCCTGGTTATACAGTACAAACGGTTAAGATTTTAACACAGTGTAATAATTCACTTGCTCTTTGTTGATATGTAGAGGTGTATTGAGGAGAGCACATTGCTGGAGTTGAGAAGGACTTGTTTCACTCAAGACTATCCAGCCTGCCTACACATTGATTTTTATATGGCCCTCAGAGTTGGGTTAGACAGCAGTTCTGTTCCATGTTAACTGATTTCATTTTTCCAGTAATAAAATGGGTTCAGGATTGTGTAGGGCAATTTTAGGATAAATCATAGAACCTTACAGCACAGGAGGAGGCCTTTAGGCACATTGCGCCTGTGCCGACTCTTTGAAAGAGATATCCAATCGTTTTCCCACTCCCCCGTGTTTTCCCCATAGCCTAGCAAGGAAGTATATATCCTTTTGAAAGTTGTTATTGAATATGCTTCCATCACCCTTTCAGGCAGTACATTCCAGATCGTAACAACTCTCTGCGTAAAACCATTTCTTCTGATTTCCCCTCCAGTTCTTTTGCCAATTATCTTAAATATTTGTCCGCTGGTTACTGACCAATCCCCCAGTAGAAAAAGTTTCTCCTTATTTACTTTCATCAAAACCCCTCATAATTTTGAATACCTCTACTAAATCTCCCCTTAATCTTCTCTGCTCTAAGGAAACAAACCCAACTTCGTCTCCACATAACTGAGATCCCTCATCCCAAGTATCATTCTGGTAAATCTCCTTTGCACCCTCTCCAAGGCCTTGACATCTTTCCAAAATGTGGTGCCCAGAATTGGACACATTACTCCAGCTAAACTCTTAACCAACATTAGAATTTTACAGTATGATGCTTTATATGTAAGAATGTCCCAAAGCGCTTAACCATTATGATAATGGACAACAAAAGGAAAATAAGAGGTTTAAATATGTTGACCAAAAGCACAATAGAAGAGCTGTTTGAACAAGAATTCAAAGATGAGGAGACGGTTGAGTATATCTTGCTGTAAAAGTGGTATCAGCAGTCAACTTGGTTTGTTTTTCTTGAAATTCTGCAATATTACAATCCAATGCTCAGAATTTGACTGCATTCAACACATTGTCCACCCTGTTGATCAGAAAAGGCCTTGGTTGATTTGCAGATGTAACCTCTGATGCCCCATCATAATGGTTAAATCCAAAGCTGACATAAAATGCTCTTCAAACAAACCAATTGCATTTATAAACTGCCTTTCATGTTGAGAAGATGTCTCAAGGTGATGGATCCGCTAATACCCTGTGCTTGTCCAGTTCTTTTATTTTTAAAATGCCCCCAAAAATCTACCCCTGTAAGTTCTGAATGTTGTTGCACAGTTAGATAGCAGCATTAACACTGAAACGGCTATCTTATTTACCTTTTTCCATAGTGTGTGTGTGTGTGTATGTAGGGTGTGGCAGTTGTGGCAGGAATCTTGTGTGTTTCTGAAGTGAATCTTGAGTACCTCGCTGTCTATTAATCAGCCAATTAATTTCTTTTGGACATAATAATAATATTATAATAATCCTTGCATTTGATATTGCACCTTATCACGTCATTGAGACATCTCAAAGCACTTCACAGGATATACTGTTAAAGTGGATTGCCTGCGTATTTTGTGAGTGAAATGCGGCATTCAGTTTGCACACAGCAATGTCCCGCAAACGGCCAATTTTTGAGTGACCAATTTTATAATTTTATCTGGGAAATTGTTGCCCAGTACACCGGGAGAAATTCCCTTCTCTTTTTAAATAGTGCCAAGGGATCTTTAACCTCTACCTGAACAGGCAGACTGGATTTTGGTTTAACATCTCATGGTTTAACAACATAGCACCTCCAACAAAACAACACACTTAGACTATGTGATTCTAAGTCCCGACTTAAGGCTTGAACCCACAACCTTCTGACTCAGAGGCGAGAATGCTACCACTGATCCAACCTGACACACTGCATAATATCTCTGCATAATTCTACTCTTAACACTGCACCCTTTCTGTTTGTTAGAAATTATTGAGAAAAGGAGATTAACAGTTATAGTTTAATAAGGTCACCACCACTATAATAATATTTTATTTGTGCTGCTGTTGTCAGATTCCATGCTTGTGTCATGCGGTTCCCATTCGGACAAAGAGTGAGAGACAATCCTTCGTTCTTCCTCTCAGTTATCTCTGACATGGCTTCTTGTTGCTACTCCATACTTAAGACTAAAAACGAAGGTGAGTTTTTTCTAATTTTCATGAGGAGATTTTTTCCTTATGGTACTAAAGATTTTATGTCCAAAAGGACTGCCTTGTTGATAATAATAATAATAATAATAATCCTTGCATTAAGCAGAACCATATATTTATGTGATTTGTAACAATCGGACAGTGAAATTAAAAGCTTTGGGAGGCAATTCCTATTGCTACAAAGTGCAGTAAGTTTGACAAGTGTGTAGAAAATGTTCACCTCAACATACACAGTCACTAAACTTTACAGTAAATCCTATGAAGCGGTTTGAAATGTTATTCCAATGTGAAATGAGCTTTACTGAGCAGTTTTGGGTACTGCACTGTTTGTAGGAGTGATAAACCATTTTTGCGTGCACTTTGCTTAAAGGGGCCCAATAAAACATTTATAGAAGTGTTGAGTACCATAAATAATCAAGGCATTGACGCAATCCATTCAGGATGGTGGAGCTTGTGGGCTAATCATTTAGGCCATTAGTTCACTATTTCTGGTACTCAGTGTGAATTCTCTTCCCCCCCCCGACCTTTCCCCAACACATATCTTCCACTTCACCTAGTAAGCATCTTGTTGTAACTAGACTTATTAAAGGCACAGTCTCTTGTTCTTGAAACCCGATTTGGTGCTTTGTATACCGAGATTTTGTCATCAGGACTACCGTGTGCTACAGCAGTTCACATTTTCACCGGTGAAAAATCATCAGTAAATATTTGTGCTGTAATCAAGAATAATACCACAATTTTATCAAGAATTATTAAGAATAGCATTTTTGTGCATGTGCGCTTGCGTGCGTGTGTGTATGTGTGAGAGATGCAAAATTTATATTGCCTTTTCCTTTCAGGGATTGCTTTAGGATTTCAAGACGCCTCTGGTCCTTTTCCTTATGAAGCGGCTCAGTGGCTGTGTGGCCACGCTTTTATTGTCAAACTGTCCAGCCACAGAGCCATTTACAAGTGTCTGCTGAGGCCACTGAAAACTTGTAAGTACAGTATGTCAGTAAAAATCTGATGTTGGCCTCTCAGGAGTGACTTGGCTTTCTGTTTTTTTTTCAAACGTAAGGTTATAGCACGTGTCAGGTGGAAAAAAACACGAGGGTAATTACAATAAGGTCAAGTTACACATTAAATTAAACAATCCATTGGGAAAAAGCAGGGCATGTATGTTCAGTGCAATTTACAAAATGTATCGCAGACATCGGAAATCCATTATATATTGTATACACACTTGTATAAAGCTGATGGGGTAGAGAGAGGGTAATTGAGAGAGACTATATAATAAAACACACAAGCATTACAGGTGCAGATGATTCACATAGCTCATTGTGACCGTGTGTTTTGGCTTTTTATTTCTTAGGCTTTTTTTAATTTTAAGTGAAGCAGTATGCTGCTGGGTTGACATTTGACTTTAAGGTAGCAATGCAGAATAGAGACTGTCATTAAAAACAACTCCTGGAGGTGCACAGAAGATGCATTTTACCATTTGAGTGTAGCCTTTGATCAGAACTGTCCAGGATGCCTACTTCTCTCTCTGTCTCTCTTCTTCAGATCCTGTTGTGCATTTTTTAGAATATTTGCAGGGGAGGGGGCTGTTTTTCGTTTGGCTGATGTTTGGTTCTCGAGCTAAGAGATGTTAATGCTGGTCAATGAGCACACTTCCATTTTGGGTACCCAGTGCCAATATCAGGCACTCCTAGATCAGGTACCGAACAATTTAAGGACCCTCTTAAATACCCCATGATTATGCCTCAGCTCCAGTTACAGAAGAGGCCCAACCTCAGAAGAGGCTCACATGACACCAGCCTGATTATTTCCACTTTCTATAGAAAGCCATCCCGAATGGGATCTATAGGGATGTTTAAAAGAAAGACAGATAGATACTTTGGTCATACCCCTTAATATCTCTATTACCCAAGGACGGAGCATTGGGATTAAAAAGTATATGCCAAGATTAAAGAAACTGTTAGAGCAAACTCCATGGCCTGAATGGCCTCCTCTTGTCCCAGATTTCCTGTGATACTGTCTTTCAGACAACCCTGACAGCTAACAGCCAAAGGAGTCTTTCTTCTCAACAGTCTGCTCTGGATTCAATCTCAGTCATAAAAGACCAGTGTCTCACCCCTCCAGCAGAGACTTTTTTTTATTGCTGCTTTATTTTTCCATTTTTCATTTATGAAGCATTCTTTGCCCCAGGATTTATTTGTCCACCACTATCAACATATATAACATGGAGTCCTGTAGCTTAGTGGTCAGAGCACTCGCCTCGCAAGAGAGAGGACCTGGGTTTGATTCCTGGCAGGGCAAAACGTTGGACAAGTTTCCTTACTCCACATGCTTCTGTTTACCTAGCAGTAAGTAAGAACCCAGTTGTTACTCGATTGGCGGATCGCTTTTCTGGGGTTAATAATTCCTTCAAAAGTAAATACAACTAATTTGGTCACTCAGTCCACGATTGTTTGTGGGACACTGCTGTGCGCAATCGGCTGCTGCATTTCGCCTGCAAAATATACAGTCAATTCACTTTATAGTATATTTTGTGAAGTGCTTTGAGACGTCTTGAAGACGTGATAAGCTGCAATATCAAACGCAAGGATTATTGTATGAGTGTCTCAGGCACCTACAAGAGGAGTGATTTCTAGTTTGCATTTTAGGCAAGTTTTTGTATTAACTGACCCAGCTTCAAGGCAGATTAGTTGAAGTGTGATTTGTTTTTTGGCTGATGTCACCTGGTCATTATAAATGGTGATCGTTTCCTTAGGCTGTTAGGACGTGTTATACATTTAATTCATGGAATAAGTGCAACATATTCAAAGCTTTGTCAGTTTACTTTGCCTAGAAGCATGATGCCACCTAATTGGTTTGTGAACGACATCATCTCAGTTAAACATTGCCTTTTGAAATTGACCTATTATACTAAGAAAACCATGAATGCAGGATTGGAAATTTCCACTTAGCAATTGATTTATGAAAGCAGAAAATAGAGTAACTTGATTCCTTGCAAGAAAGATACCAGCACAAACACACATAACACATTAGCATAACAACAATGAAATTGCATTCGTATAGAGCCTTTCACGTCGGGAGGCGAAGCAGGAGACGTGAAGCAGGCTGGAGACCACTGAGTGGAGGGAGCGGGCAGGTTGGTAGGGGGTTGGAAGGTCACAGAGGTAGGGGGGAGCAAGGCCATGGAGGGCTTTGAAGGTGAGGACCAGGATCATTATAATTGCATAATGTGTATAACACTGAACAAGATGTTTACACCTGAGGTGCTAATGTGTATTCTATATATTTTTGTGTTCTTAACTGCCCATATTCTGTTTGTAGGCAAGGCTGAGTTGCAGAGAAAACTCCCAAACTCAACAATCCTGCTCCTCCAGCCCATAACGGAACCTGCCCTTCACCGAGAGTTTGATCTCATATTGGATTGAAGGGAAATCAGATATTCGGAGTCCAATTAGTGAAGAAATTATCATTCTGAATTTTATCAGTTGATAAGAAAAAAGAGACTTGCTTGAAGCATGAGATTTGCTTTAAGCATAAGATTTGCTTGAAGCTGTTTGTTGAATGTTCCCTGGTTACCACAGAACTTGTATTTGTCCACCTCGGTGTTAGCCTAGAACTGATGTTAGCCTACAAGATGCTGTTTGATATCTGCTACATTTTGTAATGTGCACTGCCCATGGTGACTACTGTTTGCACTCTGTCCTTTATCTAAAACGAAAAGGATTACTGATATAAGATTGTACTGGGAAATTCTGTGCTGAATATGCAATAAATAATTCTAAAGAATGCCTTGTACCATATATGCTCTAACCCAGTTGAGTACCCGTTTGTACACTGCTAATCTTAACCTGCTTATACACAATATTTAAACATGCAGCCCAAATTGAATTGGTCCAAATGGGTGGATTTAGATCTTATAGCATTTGGGCAGGGTGCAAGAATCCAGATTGGGTGCATTTACCGTGAAATATAATAACTCAAAAAGCTCAAACAATAGGGGAGAAATTCCACCTGGGTCTGTATTTACTCTATTTTCTTAGCATTTCAGAGGCTGCACAATTTGGCATTTTGTTGTATCCTTAACATAGCTGTTTTTCTATGGAAATTGAAAACTTACAGGACAAATTTGATAAAATGCTGTGCACTTTAAAATGCCGAGAATAACCTAGATCCAGCTAAAACATCTACCACAGTGTGTTTCCGACCTCATCATCAATAGGATAGCCTCTCAGAAAGCGGTTTCATACATGGAGAACCAAACTCTGATCTTCCTCCTTTCCTCTTCTCTCACCAAAATCTGATTACTCTTAACTACCGGCCAGCCCATCACTTGTACATATGTAGCCTAGAGATGCTGCAGGAACATACAGTATTGCCTACTGAATATCTGGGAAATGGAACTTTGTTTTGTTCCAAGTTCTACTTTTCCCTGCTGGGCCAGTCTTATGGTGGGAAGCATCACTGTTGTAACTCTATCAGAAATAATGAGCCTCACTATTTATTATTTTAATCTCTTGTTTGGACCACAGTTTTAGAAAAGCGGGCTATAAATTTTCAAACCCAATGGGCTCTATGGGATTTTCGTAGGCAACAGGACATTTTTACCTCCCGTTACCCCATGCGTGACAATGTAACTGACCTTTGAGCATCTCAAAATATAGCCACATTTTGATTGCTAAAATCTCCTTTGGTTTAGTATGCATGTATGTAATGAAAAAATAATACTGTTGCCACTTATCCACCACCAGCAATGTGAGCAACATAAGTGAGGTGCACTTATTAATTACAGGATTCAGAGTTATTACATTTAGACAGAGAGAGGTGCATCAAAGGAATCTGATAAATTTGGGTTTAGGCAGAAGATCAGTATTGAATGGAGTCATAGAGGGTCTGTGTGAAGCAACCAGATATTATGGGATCTGATCATGTTTATTGAGACTAGGTCTTGGATCTGAATTATGGTGAGATCAGGGACAGAACTGTGACTGATTTCATTGACACAGTGTGATTCAGTCAATTTGTTTCACTTTTCCAATTTGAAGGCGATTGGCTTCACTTTTACTCCATGTAGTTATTCCATCTCTTTTTACTTAAATTTTAACCCCATTAGTGTGTGTAACATTGGCTTTTATAAGTGCAACTCTGTTAAATTCGGTATACAAATTCTATAGCATGATCACTTCTAATCAGTTAATTCTGTAGTCAGTGACTGCTGTAGTCCAAATTAACAGTAAGGTTTCTCGATAACAGCAGTAGAAATTGGAACAAAATGCTGTCTTGTGTGGTGTCATTCTCACCTTATCTAGCCAACTCTTAGAATGTACAGCAGGTCCATATCATGACCAATTTGATTGAAGATATTTCATTACAGTAGTCCTGCATTTGAAATAGTAATAAAGCTACACTTGATAGTGATGCCCTATAACTATTGCTTTGTTGTTGGATTATAATGGGTACATCCACTCTGCAACTGGTATAAACTACATTGTGAGTTTGTTCAATGGATACCTAAATGCACTGTAAATATGGTAGAAACAACTTGCACTTATATAATGTTTTTTTAAGTTGGATGAACAAAACAACTTACATTTTTATAGCGTCTTTCACATTGGTAGGACATCTCAAAGCGCTTTATCAAGGCGATGGAGATTGCTGAGCAGGCAGTGAAGGAGAGGGATCTTAAGGATTTTGAATAGCCAATGGGATTTTCTGCGAGAGTTCCAGAGACCAGGGGTTTGAAACTTTGTCCATCGACGATAGGATGATGGAATAAATAATAAAAAATAATCATCCTTGCATTTGATATGGTTCTTTATCACGTCTTCGAGACATCTGAAATCACTTCACAGAATATACTGTAAAGTGAATTGACTATATTTTGTGGGCGAAACATGGCTGCCAAGTGTCCCACAAACAGTTGTGGATTGAGTGACCAATTTATTATTTTTTTTGAAGGAATTATTACCCTTGGAAAAACAATCTGCCAATCGACTTAACAACTGGGCTCCTATTTACTGCTGGATAAACAGAGGAGTGTAGTGTAAGGAAACTTGCTTAACGTTTCGCTCTGCTGGAAGTCAAACCCAACTCGCTTGTGAGGCAGTGCTCTAATCACTGAGCTACAGGATACACAAATAAATGGTGTCTACAAAATGTGCTGGTTGAACCTCAAGATTTTTATAAACTATATAAAATAGTTTATCCAGTAATTTACTTAAGTTTAAAAAAATACGTACAGTATTTCACTTAAAAAAAAAAGGCAAAGCATTTGCAACGTCTCATCTGGGTGAGCTGTGAAAATAGATTAAGTACAATTGGCTGATCATTCAAAATCAGACGTGGTCCATCACATTCATTTTATTTGTTTTCTGATACTGTGCTTGGATTAAAAAAAAACATACAATGGAAGTAATGGATGAACACATTGGAAATCTTCATCTGCGTGTGAATTACGGAGTCAAGTATGCATTTACAACAATAACAATTTGCATTTATATAGCGCCCCTCACACAGGGTAGCATCCCAGAGCGCTTGTAGCTGAATATTTGAAGCTGAATATTTTCAAGATATATATTTTAAATATTTAGTGAAACTATTACCGTTTGGAATTATTTGTGTTGCTACAAACATTACCACGCACTTTCTGTCATTGGGAAGGTGAGCCTATGCCTAGTTGCTGGGAGAGTAAATATTCTACAGCATGTGTTACATAATCCCTCAAAAATGATTTTCTCATGTTTAGAATTTAGCTGATATTGGTTCAAACCAGTTCAGTGGATTAACTGATCCCAATAGAATCTTAGCCAACAGCAATAACAACTTTCCTTTATATACTATCCTTCATGGAGGGTAGCAGTTCTGAGTTTGACGCCAGCCCAGGGAGAAGTGAGAGGTGACCTTAGGCACGGTCAAAGAGGAAGGTCTTCTGGTGCAATCTGAAAATGAGCAAAGAGTGGGCAAGGCAGAAGGATTGAGGCAGGCAGTTCAAGAAGTTTGGGTGTGGTGGCTGAAAGTACGGTCGTCGATGGTGGACCAGAGGGGTCAACGGACATGCAGAAGGCCCGAGCTGGCTGAATGAAGGGAGCAGGAAGAGGAGTGAGGTGTGTGTGGGTTGGAGAGGTAAGGAGGTACTGGGGGATAAGGTGATTTGTAGGTGAGTGTAAGGATCTTGAAATTGATCGTCCTGCAACAGAGAGCCAAGGGAATGCATTCTATTGTTCAAAGGCTTCATTATGAAAGGTGATCTTGAGTTCTCCCCTGGTTGCCTTGAATTTAGACCTGAACAAGTGATACAGAGCAGTAACTAGAATGGATATGGCGGGCAGGGCAGCCAGGATGACACAGAAAAACACAACCCAGCTTTTGTACTCCTTCACTTCTTTCTGGGGGAATTCATCCTGTTGGTTCAAAAAACAAAGAGCAATTATCAAGGGCAAATTCCAGTTTGACTTCTATTTTGGATATGTGTGCATATAATACACTAACAAACTAATTTCTGTATTAATAATAATAATCCTTGCATTTGATGTAGCACCTCATCATGAAGATGAAGCCTCTCAAAGTGCTTCATAGAATATATTATAATGTGAATTGACTGTGTATTTTGTGGGTGAATTTAAGTTTAATTTTCTCCTCCCATACTATTTTTGTCCATGTCGTCCAACATTTGTCCACAAAACACACAGTTACTGCAGTGTATGTTGTGATGCGCTTTCTAAAGACTATCTTTAAGGCAGGTCTGACAACCACAATCTACAAGAATGGATTTCCATGGGAAAGGCTGTGCACAAAAGTTCACATTTAAAGTCAGCTGTCACTCACTGAACAGGGTGGGTAAGGGGAAGAGCATATGTTAGAGCATGGGAAGGTATTAGCTTTTGCTTTAGCACCGAGGACAAATTCCTCAGGCCTTTTAATTCTTTCATGCTTCCCTGAGAAGATCAGCAGAGAATTGGAAGGGCTCTTTCCTCGGTCCTTTCCTCTTCAATATCTACATGCTCCTGTTTGGGATAACTTGTTAATTGTATGCGAATGACACGCAACTCTATCCCTCTCTCTCCACCCTCATTTCCAGGACCACTACTGTTCTGACTGATTGCCTGTCAGACATCAAGTCGTGGAGGAGTGCTAACTTCTCCAGTTGAATGTCAACAACACAGGGCTTCTCCTGCTTGGCTCCCCTCAGTGCCTTCTCACCTCAGGCGCTGACAGCAACAATCTACATGGATATACACTCTACCTCATGGAGCCAGTCTGAAACCTTGATGATTTGTTTGACTCTCAACTACCCTTTAATCCCCACATCCATGCTTTGACCTGTTCAGCCTTCCCCCAGGCCTGCAACATTGCCTGCCTTTGCCATTACCTCTCTCCTTGGGCCACTGAGACCATTATAAATGCTTTTATCATGTCCAGGTTTGACTACACCAACTCTCAGCTCACTGGACTTCCCAACTCTTCCCTCGCAAGATGCAGATTACTTGACTCTGTGAGCTTATCACCCGGATCCTTGCTCAGCTTCACTGTCTCAAGTCCTTCCTCTTTGACCTTTCCTACGGTCATCTCCCCGGTCCATCCCCCTTGGCTCTACCCACCCGAATCCAACCCCAGTTCGGGTGCAGATCTTTGAATGTCCAGTGCCTTGGGTCAACCTCTCGACATGGAAGGTGCTATATAAATGCAATTTATAATAATAATAAAAATAATAATTTGATGTTGTTACAGCATTAAATGTAATATTTGTGAAAGGAAAATACTTAAGGGTTGTGCCTTTCATATGTTTGAATTGGAAATATACTTACATAATTGGGGTTCCATGCCTCGTATGACAAGGCCACCTGTACTTGTTTGATCAAAAAAGCCATAAAGACTAAAACCATTGTCAATGGGCTGATATATTTCCAGGTCAGGCGCCAATAAAGGTTTAGTCTGCGTCCAGTCATAAATTTGAAATCATCCCCGAATCTGTGAAGCGAAAAGTTAAGTGAATTTAGACTTTCTGCTAAGACTTGGACCAGGTTTCATTGTCTTCTAACAGTGATGAAGTGGAAGGGGTAAAAATGTGACTTACGACTTGGTAATTATCAACAGCAACAACTTGCATTTATATTGTGCCCTTCTCTCCAGCTCAGTGTCAAACGACATAATGGTGTAGTTTGACACTGAGCTGGAGAGAAAGGAAAGGTGACCATTGGCACGGTCGAAGAGGAAAGACTTCAGGTGTAATCTGAAGATGGGCAAGGAGGAAGGCAGGCGGAAAGATTAAGGCAGCGAGTTCCAAACCAGAGGTTTAGCTGAAGGCATTGCCACCGGCGATGGCTTGGAGGGATCCAGGGAAGTGCAGAATCCCTATTATGTATTTTTTTAACACAAGAATGTTGTGAATTCTATAATGCAACATTTCTGTGTTTTCCCACATTCCCCACATTGGTAAGTTCTGATCTCAGGAAATTAGGAGGAAAACCCTGAGCTCTTTTCCTGCGGGAAGGAGAGATAAATAGAGAATTGGTTCATGTGAGCCCCTTTTGTGGAGCTCTTAACAACAATGTCAATACCATGGTTGCACAAAACCATATTGTCCTGAACTCCCATATAGAGCTCCCAGCCATAGAACAGTTTGTGTCACTAAGCAGCATCAGCTAAATTAACTAAACATGTTAAGACCATCAATGTACACATTTTAGAATTGGATCATGTAACATGTATTATTTCTCAACCTGAGCGAAAGAATGGAAATCTTGTACAGCTATAACTAACATAAATTCATTTATTTAAAGAAACAGACCTTAGTCTAGTCAATTATAATGCAACAACTCCCAGCTTATAATGTTGCAAAACCTTTTCTCACAGCTGTAACTGTTGAAGATTCTTTTTAGGGATTTCCAAAATATTTGTACAAAAATGCAGATTTAGGCAAATGAGCAAGAAAAAGTGCCATCTTCCCTCTTGCCAGTCAGATATCTTGGGGAAAACATGTTTAAAAGGTTAAGAATGTTGGAACAAGAAGAGGCTACTTAGATGTTTATTGTATCATGGCAGGTCTTTAGTCTCATTTCTGCCTCTCCCTATTCCCCTTAAAACCCTTATTTCCCAAGTACAGTATTTGTTTTTTTTTCCCTTTTAAACATCACAATCAATCCTTCCTCTACTGTCTTCTTTGGGTCTGTACGCAGCTCACTCACTCGCTTCAATAGGAGTATTACCCTTTCGAAGTCCATCCCACATTCGCTTCGCCTCGCTCCCTCCCTTGCCTCCTTCAAAGCACGTCTCAAGACCCTCCTCTTCAACCATGCCTTCGGCCATCCTCCTACCATCCCTGCCCTCCACCTCCGTTACCCCAAACCCCCCCCAGCCCCACCTCCACCCCCCACTCAGGTACAAACCTCTGACTGTCCAGCATCTTGGAATGTTCTCCCGGAGTGAAAGGCGCTATACAAATGTAATTTTATATTTTCTATTGTATTTGGGGGCGCAATGGAAGGTAAGCAATTAACGGCGTATTTATGCTATAAAAATACCAATGGAGAAAGTTTAAGAGAAATGGATTGTGATTAATTGTTTTGACAGCAGGAGAGGCAGGAAATGTAACCACTGAAAGTGATCAGATAATGCACAGTTTCCTACTTACTTATCCATACCATATACATAGGCAACCCCGATGAACTCGAAGAAAGCAATGATCAGTAGAGGCAGAGAGACTGCAAAGGTGTCAAAAATTTCGAACCAGTAATTCCCAGATGCCAAAGTGAAGGTAAGAGCTATCACAAAAGATACCATGCATATGATGCCTAAAAAAAGAAAAATGAATGATTAATACACATTCAGTGTTTATTACTCATGCTGTTTCGATGTCCAAAAGAGGAACCTTTTGTTATCCTAAACCTGTGTCCTTTTCTTCTGCTTTATTAGTGAATCTCAAAGAATTGTTTGAGGTTTACTTTCTGAATCCCATCTAAAATCTTGTACACGTCTATGAGATTCCCATTTGAGACATCACAACAACAACAACAAAATTACATTTGTATAATGTCTTTCACATCGGGAGGACATCCCAAGGCGCTGGACAGACAGAGTTTTGGACCTGAGCTGGGGGTTGGGGTCGTGGAGGATGCAGGGCAAGGGGGGAAACAGGGAGATCGAAGGCACGGTCGAAGAGGAGGGTCTTAAGATGGTTCTTGAAGGTGGCAAGGGAGGGGGCGAGGTGGAGAGACTGCAGGATGGTGGTCCAGAGGGTGAGTGCAGCGTGGCAGAAGGCCTAAAGGGGACTTGAAGCAGGCCGGAGTCCACGAGGGAGCGAGCAGGATGGTAGGAGTTTAGGACGTCACAGAGGTAATGGGGAGCAAGATTATGGAGGGCTTTGAAGGTGAGGACCAGCATCTTGAACTGTATCCTCTGTGATGGGAAGCCAGTGGATTCGGGCAAGGATGGGGGTAATAGGGTCGAGGAGCCTAGTGCGGGAAAGGACACGGGCTGCAAAGTTCTGGATGACCTGCAGCGTGTGGAGAGAAGAATTGGGGAGGCCGAAGAGGAATTAGCTTGCATAATCAAGCCTCGATGTAATAAAAGCATGTATGAGGGTTTTGGCGGCCTGTGGTGTGAGACAGTGGGAGATGATGTCACCAAGAGGGAGCATATAGATATTGAAGAAGAGGGGACCAAGGACAGAGCCCTGAGGAACACCGCACAAGATGGTGTGGGGGCTACAGGAGAAACCGTTTGTGGAGATGAGGTGGAGGCAGTGTGAGAGGTATGATGTGAACCAGTCAAGGACAGAGCCATGAAGGTCGAAGTGAGAGGAGAGGCGACGGATGAGGATAGAGTGGTCGACGGTGTCAAAGGCAGCAGAGAGATCAAGGAGGACGAGGAGGCAGTGGGAGCCCTGGTCACAGATGAACAGAGCGTCATTTGTCACTTTGACCAATCACTTTGTTTCTGTGCTGTGGGAGGCCTGGAAACTCAATTGAAGGGGTTCGAGAAGGGAGTGGCGGGAGAGGAAGGAGCGAAGCCGAGAAGTATCAACTCATTCCAGGACCTTGGAGAGGAAAGGGAGGTTGGAGATGGGGCAGTAGTTTCAAGACTACAATGATACAATCAATCCTTCTAGTTGTTACAGGGCCTTTTCACATCATTGAGACGTCTCAAAAGTGCTTCACAGAATATATTGCAAAGTGAATTGACTGTTTATTTTGTGGGTGAAATATGATAGCCAACTTATTAAACTAAAGAACTCCACCTTGTCTAATTGTTGCTCTTATCATAGCTCTGTTAAGTTGATTGCTTAATTCTGTGTGTGCGGCCTTACTTATGGTTATGAAACACAAAAGACAGCTTTGTGTCTTTTGTGTTTTACATGATATGATACAATTGAGCTTTACAATATGATATAATTGAATTCCAGGCTCATACAGCAGTTGTATTTTCTAGAAAAATGGTGGGTACAAATATAATGTAACTGCTAGACTGTTCTCTGTTAAACTGTGTCCTTTTGATGTTCAATTTCCGCATTCATGTCTTGGGTTCAAAGGGTAAAAGTTAACTTTTTAAGCTTATTTTTAACTGTCATCTGACCTTGATAAATCAGATATGTTCCTATCCAGATCAATTTATAATGTGGGTGTAGACAGCCCCATTCACTCTCCACCCACCTGAGTGCTACACAACATCAAACGAGATTCCATATTAATTTGGTTTATAATCTCATGATGTAATTAGGTTTGACTGGTAAAGTGCAATATTTATACTGCCGGAACAATTGGTTAAAAATAACTTTGCACCCTATTTTCCATTAAGATCATGTGATCACTTCCTCCAGTGCATAGTGGGTGAAGTTATTGCCACCAGTGCAGTGGGTACAGGATTATATGTGCCAGAATATTACAGGTTCAAGACCTGCTCTGTGCTGCATTAACTGTTCTGAGCAAAAGATTTTACAAAGGAAACAATTGCTTGATGCATAATTCCCAAGGAATCCAGGTCTCTTGATTTTCCTCAACTGTGCTGTTTTTTGAGAACTTCACACACACATCATTTCCCTCATTTATGTCCACACTAGAAACTGTTTACACCCCAATGCCATGGGAAGGATCCTTCGAGGGAAAGTATATCAAGCGTAATTGTTGGGCAATATGTTTTTAAAAGTGCAGTATATTCTGACAAACAATTGAAATGTGAGTCTTGTAAGGTAACTGGTTGGAAATGGTAAAGCTCAATGGAAATAATCAATAACAGCAATAACAACTTGCATTTGAATAGCGCCTTTCACGTGGGGTGGTGTCTTGAAGCGTTTAACAATGGGGTTGTTTATGATGAGCGGAGGAGAAAAGAGATGTGACCGTAGGCACAGTCAAAGAGAAAGGTCTTCAGCTGCAATCTGAAGACAGGCAAAGAGAGGACAGGACAGAGGGGACAAGGCGGAGGGATTGAGCGAGGGGGTACAGTGGCTGAAACCACAGGCAGCGATGGTGGAACAGAGGGGTTGAGGAATGTACAGACCTGAGCCAGCTGAGAGAAGAGGTAGGTAGTGCAGTAGGGTGTAAGTGGTTGGAGAGGTACGGAGGTGCTTGAGCACAAAGTGATTTGTAAGTGAGTCTGAGGTTCTTGAAATCGTGATCTATTGATAGTCAAGATCTATTGGCATCCAATATGTGTGGCCAACATTATTTTGTTGAAAACAAGGTGAGCTTTTTCTGCCCTCGCTGAATTAGTTAGACGTCAGTGGCCATTTACCTGTAATCACTTCCTTTGGAATATATTTTGGTAGCAGCTTCAAATCTAGCAAAGGAGCAACGACTCCCTCAATGTTCCCGAACATTGATGACAGGCCCAGGCTGAATAACATGATGAAAAATAGGATGGACCACACCTGAGACCCAGGCATTTGAATGATAGCTTCAGTAAAGATAATGAATGCCAGCCCAGTGCCTGATGCGCTCTGTGTAAAAGAACAAATATTAACAAACTGCTATATTTATATATAGACATTTGAGAGTGAATCTGTGAATAAATAATGGATAATGAATAATTTTGTTTCTTTTGTTACTCTTGCTGTCTCCTTACAGCATGTACTAAACCATCCCCTTTTCTACTCTATGGAAGAGTCTAGCTTCTGTTGTTGATCGTGTGTGTGGAAGAGCTGAGCTTGCATGAATCCTGGAAATAGACAAATGTGTGTTGTAGGGCTGACATTTTCACAGTTTCTACTTCTGGAATAATACCAATGGATATCAATGGTATCACATCACATTAAAAATAGGAGGTATATATGTTCCATTGAAGGGATAGAACTTGCCAAGGGGGGAATTAAAAGAAACCTTGGTGTGTTCGTTGACTTATCGCTCACCATGTCAAAACAAAGACAACTAGGATATAATACACACAATACAAAATTACATTTGTATAGTGCCTCTTACATCAGGAGGATGTCCTAAAGCACTAGACAGTCAGGGATTTGGTCTCGGGGTGGGTGTGGGTGGGGGTGGGTTGGGATCAGGGAGAGTGGAGGGTAGGAAGATTGCCAAAGGCACGGTCGAAGAGAAAGGTCTTGAGACGTGCCTTGAAGGAGGCAAGGGAGAGAGCGAGGCACAGAGAATATGGAATGGAGTTCCAAAGAGTGGGGGCAGGATGCTGGGTTATATTGCCAAATCAGCTCAGTTTATGCTCAAGCTGTACAGTTCTCTGGTCAGGCGATATCTAGATTACTGCATACAGTTCTGGTTGGCTGACATAAGGGGGCTACTATGATGAGGCAGTACAGAAGAAAGCAAAGAGGATAATCCCCAATGTTATAGAATAAGCTATGAGCAATGATTAGACAAGCAGAGCAAGAAGTCACACATTCAGGATAGCAAAGGACAGACACCAAGAAGTATTTCTTTACCCAGAGGGTACTTAATGACTGGAACAAATTATCAGGAAGGATGGTCACTAACTACCATCCCATCTCCAACCTCCCTTTCCTTTCCAAGGTCCTTGAAAGAGTTGTTCCTTCACAACTTCACTCCTTCCTCTCCTACCAATCCCTTTACAAACCCCTCCAATTGGGTTTCTGTGCTGCCCACAGCCCTGGTCAGGGTGACAAATGACATTCTGTCCGTCTGTGGACTTCCTCTTTCTCCTCATCCTTCTCGGCTGCCCTTGACACTGTGGACCACTCTATCATCCTCCACTGCCTCTCCTCTCACCTTAACCTTCAAGGTTCTGCCCTTGAATGGTTCAATCCTATCTCTCACATCGGCTCCACTTTGTGTCCACAAATGGCTTCTCCTCCAGCCCCCAAATCATCTTGTGCAGTGTTCTCAGGACTCTGCATTGGTCCTCTCCCCTTCAACCTCCTCTTGGTGAAATCATCCACAGAAATGGGGTCAACTTCCACATATACGTGGATGATACCCAACTCTATCTCTCTGCCTCCACCCTTAACCCCAGGACCACTGGTGTCCTGACAGACTGCCTTTTTGTAATCTATATGGTGACTTTAGTGTACCCATATATTTATATAATAATAATAATAATCCTTGCATTTGATATAGCGCTTTTCACGTCAGGAGGACGTCCCAAAGCGCTTCACAGAATACACTGTAAAGTGAATTGACTGTATATTTGTGGGCGAACGCGGCAGCCAATTGCGCACAGCAATGTCCCACAAACAGTCGTAGATTGAAAATGACCAATTTAATTATTGTTTTTTGGTTTTTTGGAGGGATTATTATTAGGCGTGTGGAGTAAGGAAACTTGCCCAAGGTTTCGCCCTGCCTGGAACTGAACTCAGGTCTCTCGCTTGCAAAGCGAGTGCTCTAACCACTGAGCTACAGGACTCCATCCTATTTATGTAGGATAACTAGATGTTAGTAAACTATCCGCACTGATAGTGAAGTCAAAAGAATGACACAGCAGTGGTTCAGAGAATTGTTCACGAGAAAAATAAATCAGTGCTGGAAACCCCAACATCCAACCACAACATCTTGCATTTATATAGTGTCCTTCACATGGGGCAGCGTCCTGGAACTCTTGACAGTGGCGGAGTCTGATCTCGAGCCGGGGAGAGGGAGTGGGGAGGTGACTCTAAGCACGATCAAAAAGGAAGGTCTTTAGGTGGGATTTGAAGTTGGGGAGGTAATTGAGGGAGAGAGTACCAGAGTTTCGGGGCGTAGTGGCTGAAGGCACAGCCACCGATGGTGGAGCAGAGGGGACAAGGGACAAACAGGAAGCCAGAGCTAGCTGAACAGATGCAGTGGGAGCATCGGTTATTGGGAGCCAGTGGAGCCTGGCAAGGACTGGTATGATGTGCGCTGAGTATCCAGATGTTTTGAATTAGTTGAACTTCATGGAGCTGGGGAGACTAACAAGGAGGGCATTGAAATAGTCCAGCTGGGAAGTGATGAAGGAGTAGATGAGAGTTTTGGCTCCTTTAATTGTAAGGTATGGACGGAGGGCGGGCCATGTGTCAGAGGTGGAAAAATACGGTCCTAGTCAGGGAACAAGGAAAAGGAAAGCTGGGGATTGAACCTGATGGCTACATTGCGCACGGGTTTGGTGAGTCTGAGGGAGATCCAGGGGAGATTGAGGAGTTCAGACCCACAGAAGAGAATACATTGACTGGAGCCATTGAGTAGGGGTTCCGTCTTGCCGATATTCAACTGCAGGCCTTGATGTCCATCAAACAAGCTGACACAACACCAGTGGACTGTGAATCGCAGCTGGAGGAGGAGAAGTAGATTTGGGCGTCATCTGCATACATGTGGAAGATGACCCCATGTCTGCGGTTGACATTGCAGAGATGGAGCATGTAGATAAGTAAAAGAAGGGGGCCAAAGATGGAGTTTTGGGATGCCCCACAGGTTACCGGGTGGGGCTGGGAGGAAAAAACATTTGCCGAAATATATTGTTGGCAGTTAGTTGAATAGGACTCGAACCATGCGAGTGCGGTCTCACTAAGGTGGATGATTGAGGAGAGACAGTGGAGGAGGATGGTGTGATCGACTCCGTTGAAAGCGTAGGAGAGGTCCAGGAAAACCAGTAGGCAGAGGGAGCCCTGGTCACAGAGAGACAGGATATCACTTTGACGAGCGCTGTCTCTGTGCTGTGGGCAGGATGAAAAACGGACTGAAGGGGTTCGAGTGGGGATTGGAGGAAGAGGTGTGAGCAAAGCTGATTTGCAGCGATGCATTCTAAAACTTTGGCCAGGAAGAGCAGGTTTGAGATCCATTGATAAACCTCATGGTGTTACCTTATCCTTGTGTTAGTTCATGAACAAGCCGATCACAATCAATTCTAAACAGTAACCACAAGGCTCATGAACTGCGACTTGAATCATGTTCCATTCTTATTTTAGAATGATTGACAACAGGATGATGTAGCAATATTTTTAACTATCAGCATTATTTTCACTTTACTGAGAAAAATGCATACAGTATCATTTACAGATGATATGAAGTGATTGTTCAAGTTTTTATTTTACCTCTTGGTTAAGATAATGCTCATAAACCAATTGAACTTTGTCCTTGCGGTTTCTGAATGATCGGAACCTCCTGGATTAAGTTACAGCCCTGTATTTTACTGTTTACTATTCATAATTCCGCGTCATTTCAATTTGACTGCGCAAATCTCTTTACCAGTGGCAAATGGGTAACAAGTCAATTTACCTATTTCAATGAAATGTACGTATTATGGTGAGAAACCCTGGAACTGGAGAACCAAGAATATTTTAATTTTTAGAATAACAGTATCGAAGGTCAGCTTGAACAACTGCATCAGGTCAGCGTCTCCCATTTAGCAATATGTTTAAGCCACAGAATGGTTTTCACTTTACTGAGGCCAAACCATATTATAAAAGTCATCTTCAAATTTAAGATTGTGTAGGATAATTTGGGAATTAATATCAGTCTTAGTTTGGATTTTTTCTACTTACTTTCATACCTTTCACTGGCTCCCAGATCAGTCAATGTATTAGATACAAAATAAACCTCTTAATTCTACTTTACCTGTTAGGGAACTGAGCCTAGCTCGGCCAAAGTTGACTATTTATTGAACATTTTGGAGCATTCAGAAAATTCTTAATTTTGAAGCCAAGTTTTGGTAACTTATTTTAAAAACTTTAGAAAACCGACATTGAATTCAAGATTTGCTAAAATTCAGTATATGTCTGGAAACTAGCAAACATTTTGGACACAGGGAAATTGCTTCCTTGACTTAACTCCCAAGCTCAGAAGTGTACGTCTTACTGCACCAGTGTAGCAATTTAATTTCCTACACCAGCCCAGTTTTTGGTTTCTCATTGTCAGGTTCACCAGGAACTGATTTGAGGCTCTCAGACTCAATTTACATATGTTCTTTACAGCTATGTAGAGTCATTGGACTCTCATCCCATCAGTCCAGGTCTTAGAGTTGACAAGGAATTCTGCTAAACTACAGCATCATCTCAATCTGCAATCAGTCTGATTTAATAACAATCCTTACATGTCAGGAGGACGGCTCAAAGCGCTTCATAGAATATACTGCAAATGCAGTGACTGTATTTTGTATGCAAAACTGAAGCTGACATGAAATAGATTAATCTGATGTTGCTGGAAGACACATGATTGTTTACAGTTAAATGAAAAGGAAAGACCTGATCCAGAAAATCCTTAAGATCACAATTCTTCAAATCCAGATTGGATATTTTGTCATGATGGGTGTCATTCAAGTTATCTAACCAGCTGGCATAATTGTCTCTTGTAATGCTTCCATCTTGGATATCAAATTCATTTGTGATTAGTAATACATTCCTGTTGAGAAATTGTTATGCATTGTAAATACAAATAAATATAATCATTAAAGAGACAATGAGATTTCCCATTGTAATAATTCTTGCATTTGATATAAAGCCATTCAGGGCAGAGGATGCCTCAAAGCGCTTCAAACGTTTTACTGTAAAAAAGTTCTGACTGTCTATTTGTAGGAGAATGCAGCAGCAATTAATGCAGCAATTAACAGGAAATTATAGTTAAAGGGCCATTGCCCATGTTAAAAAAAAGAAGCAATTATCAACACGGAATGAGAAAAGTCTCAACTGTTAATGATCAATCCCACTGTCTTCATGAAAACGACAGTTCCTGACAATTCCTTCCCAGTTGTTTGCAAAAAGAAATCCAGAACAATTATTACCTTTTCGATTTAACTGTTTTAGTATAAGAACAGTACAAGTATAAATGAGCTCCACTTACTTGTCCAAGCAAGAACAGTAAGCCACATTTGCCTTAAATCCAAGAATAGAGAAAAGTGGGATAGAAGCAAATAGAGACGTAATGCTGTTCAAAATAGCCACTCCCACTGCGTCTGCCTCACAATCATTCCTGAAAAACAAGATTTTCATGTAGTGAAAATGTATTTCTCTTTGTGAGCTTCTATTTATTATCTTATTGCAGAAATACAACCAAGATCTAGATTTACTCAATTTATGTAATATTTCAGAGTCCAGAATTTGGTAAATTCTTATATACAGCCTTAATTTTGAAGCTAATTTTCTGCAAGTTCTTAATGAATGATAGGCGGGGGAGAGAAGGTCAGTGATATGTAATAATAATAATAATATTATATAATAATAATAATTATTATTATCCTTGCATTTGGTATAGTATCTGGAGGATGTCTCAAATCATTTCACAGGATTTAATGTGGCAGCCGAATTGCACACAGTCCACAAAGTGAGTGACCAATTTTATTTGGGGGATTGCTTGCCAGGGCACCAAGAGAAACCTGCTTTTCTTTTCAAATAATGCCATGGGATGAGCTCTGAGTTTCTCTCCCTTCTCTTTACGAATTGTGCCATGGGAGCTTTAACATCCATCTAAACATGCTGACGGGACCTCAGTTTAACATCTCATTTGAAGGATGGCATCACCATGGAACACACATACCCAGTACTATATTGGAATGTCAGTAAAGACTATGTGAGTTTAAAGTCCCAATGAAATTTTGATGTAAGACAATGTTTTTCCTACTGTTGAGCAAATTTCTTGACAATATACAGAAAGGAATATTCTTACTTTGGTGGGTTATAGCTGGAGAACGCAATAAATCCTCCAAAGCCCAAAGACAAAGAGAAGTAGATCTGTGTGGCAGCATCTAACCACACTTTTGGTTGTGCCAAAACTGTCAACTGAAATGAAATGAAAAAACACATAAAGTCCATTTATTACAGATAAAATCAGTTCACTTAATAGTTTACACTTACGTGAAATTCTGACCATTTTAAAATGCGATACAATGGTATTAAATTTGAATTAATTTTAATGTAACAAGCCATCCACAAAACACATGTACTCACTCTACTTCGGAACATAGGAATTGTTAGATGAAAAAAGATCAAGTTCCATCTAGTTCACCTTCAATCATCTTAATAGTTGCACGCTAAAATAATGGAGATTTTGATAACAACAACAACACAATTACATTCGTATAGTACCTTTCACGTCAGGAGGACGTCCCAAGGCACTGGACAGTCAGTATTTTGAATCCAAGCTGGGGGTCGGGATTGGGGAGAGTGGGAGGGGACGAGGTGAAGGGAATGCAGGATGGAGTTTCAGAGGTTTGGGGCAGAGTGGCAGAAGGCCTGCCCGCCAATGGTGGGGTGGGTGAGGCAGAGGACGTGAAGCAGGCCGCAGCCCGTTGAGTAGAGAGAGCAGGCAGGATGGTAGGGGGTTAGGAGGTCACAGATGTAGTGGGGAGCAAGATTATAGAGGGCTTTGAAGGTGATGCTGCCAAAATGTTGAACTGGATTCTCTGTGCAATGGGAAGCCACTGGAGTTGGGCAAGGATGGAGTTGATAGGGTCAAGGAGCCTGGTGCACGACAAGACATGGGCTGCAGAGTTCTGGATGATCTGCAGCCTATGGAGGGAGGAATTGGGGAAGCGGACAAGGGAGGAATTTGTTATGAATGTGTGTATGAGGTTTTTGGCGGCCTGCGGTGTGAGACAGTGGTGGAGCCAGGCGATGTTGTGGAGGTGGAGGTGGGGGAATGCAGAATTGATCATGGCATGGATGTGGAGTAGAAAGGATAGTTGAGGATCAAACAAGACGCCAAGATTCTGGACTGGTTTAGTAAGATAGAGTGTGCATCCATGCATGGTGATGCTGCCAGCGCCTGAGGTGAGGATTCACTGACAGGAGCCAATCAGGAGAGACTTGGCCTTGTTCATATTCAACTGAAGAAAGTTAGCTCTCATCCAGGACTTGATGTCTGACAGACATTCTGTCAGGACACCATTCGTCCTGGAGTCAAGGGTGGAGGCAGAGAGGTAGAGTTGGGTGTCATCCGCATACATGTGGAAGTTGACGCCATGTCTGTGGATGATGTCACCAAGAGCGAGAGTATAAATATTGAAGAGAGGGGACCAAGGACAGAGCCCTGAGGAACACCGCACGAGACGCTAAGGGGGCGAGAGGAGAAACCGTTTGTGGAGTTGTGAGAGGTACGATCTGAACCATTCAAGGTCAGAACTGTGAAGGTTGAGGTGAGAGGAAAGACAGTGGATGAGGTTAGAGCAGTCAACGGTGTCGAAGATAGCAGAGAGGTCAAGGAGGACCGGAGGCAGAGGGAACCCTGGTCGCAGATGGACAGAATGTCATTTGTCACTTTGAGCAGAGCGGTTTCTGTGCTATGGGCGGCACAGAAACCCAATTGGGGGGATTCGTTGAGGGAGTGGTGGGAGAGGAAGGAGCAAAGCTGGGAATCAACAACTTGTTCCAGGACCTTGGAAAGGAAAGTTAGGTTGGAGATAGGGTAGTAGTTTGAGAGCAGAAATGGATCCAGGGAGGGTTTGTTTTAAGGATAAGAGTGATGATGGTTGTTTATAAAAGGGTGGGAATGGTACCAGTGGACAGGGAGAGGTTATGATGTGAGTAGAGGGGCAAGGAGGTGGAGCTGGGAGGTAAGGAGAGGGGCAGGGATGGGGTCGAGGGAGCAGGTGGTCGGTTTCATGCGGGTTATAGTGGTGGTGAGAGAGAAGTGGGAGACAGGTTCAAAGGTGTGGAGGGAGGGGTGTGTAGGGGCTGGGGTGCAAGGGGGAGTTGGGGAGGGCATAGTAAATGGAAGGGCAGAGGCAGTTGAGTGGTTCCCCTCGACTTGGATTTGAGGAAGTCCAGCATCACCTTGCAGTTGGTATTGGAGGTGAGGATGGGTGAGGCATGAGAAGGTGGGTGGAGGAGCCAGTTGGTGATGGAGCAGAGGAGCCTGGGGTTATTCTTGGCCTCCAAGACTTTCTTGGAGTAGATCAACGATTTAGCAGAGACGAGGGCAGAGTGCTAAAATTTGATAAGGTTCAGCCGTATCTGCCAATAGACCCTTAAATTTGATTCAAGATGGAGGGGGAGGACTGACAGGAGGGAGGGGATGTGGATGAGGGAGGAGAGGTTGGCCCCCATGGTCAGATACTGATGGGCCTTGTGGCGAGAATGGGGGATAGGGCAGTCAGAGTGGCTGCTGTTACCATGATGGACCCTATGGAGGATTCGCAGGCTGGAGCAGAGGCAGGCTGTGGGACGGTTGAGCAGGGATAGGAGTCGGGGAGGGCAGTGGGAGAGGAGGACTGAGCATGGTTATGGAGGTAGAAAACAGGGATGGGATCATCTTGGGGAAGGAGCTCGGGTTGGTGGCGGCAGCCAATGTGCACACGCAGAGACTAAGAGTGAACGGCGGTGGGGTTAAGGATAGAGGGTTGGGTCAGTGAGGCATGGTTAGCCTGCTGGCATGGATCATCATGGGGAGAGCAATTAATTCAGTGTGAAGTATCTACAACAGAGTAGAAAGGTTTGGGAACATTAGATCCAAAGTTGTCAGTCACTTACTACACTATATGCAATTACTCATGTTAAAGTTGTTACAGTACATCCTGTGAAACGCTTTGGGACCTGTCCTGATGTGAAAGATACTATACCAAATATAAGAATTATGATTAAGGATTATAAATCGACATTTCTATCAGTGACCAAGTGGATTTCTTTAGTCAGATAGTACCTGCAGGATTTATCTTTTAGAAATCCTTTTGTGAATCTCCAAACTAGACCCGAATCAATGTGTATTATAATAGCTATGTCATCTAAATTGCATAGCCAGTCTTCATTATTGATATACAATTAAATAGACTTACATCTGGTGTAAACAAGTAGTTTAAGCCGTAGATGGCTCCAGGCAGCGTTAACCCTCGCACAAAGAAAATTAACAATATTAAATAAGGGAAGGTTGAAGTGATGTATACAGCCTGCAAAGCACAATGAAAAGAGAGGTGAAATCCTGCTAGATATAAGAGTTCTCACTTTGCTGTATTTGGAGGTAAAGGTTACATCAGATCGGGAATTTATGGTAAACTCAATGTTAGGTTGTCTTTTAAAGTAAGCATTTTACAGTAGAATAGTTAATTAAGTATGGGGTGTCCTTGGATCAATGGTAAACAAATTATACAGGTTGATACAAAATCAATCCTCACCTTCCCAATGCTTTCAATTCCTTTTATAGTGCACATAAACACTATGATCCAAGCAGTGGCAAGGCAGATTACCAGCCACCACTGCAGCTCTCCACTCACATTGATGTCATTACTTATGTTCAAGGTCTTTCGATACCAGAAGTAGTCAACAGGAGTGCTCTGCTCACACTCTGCAAAAAACAAGAGCAAACTTTGGTCATAAAAAGTTACCTGAACTAAGGTGCAAACAATACATGGAAAACATTCAACTGAGGAATCACATGTATAGCTAGAGATGTGACTAATTGGCGTATGATAACATGCAAGCATATTATACATTAGGACCGCAGAGGATATTTAATGAAATGTACATGTAGTGAAGATTTGCATTTCTCTGGTGAAGATGACAACTCATGACTAATACATTTCTTGATCATCCCATCAGTGAATTATATGAATAAATTGCCTAAGAAGATAAGAAAGTATTAACAAAAAGCTATTGTCCTTCTCACACCATTTTGGAATCCTGTTGCTTAGTGGTTAGAGCACTACCTCGCAAGTGAGCGGACCTCAAAAGCAGACTGGTTGAGGAAGCCTTTATTGAGAGAACATTGGTTCTGATTTTGTTGAGGGTTATCAGTGCTATGTGAGTGGAATTAAAAAAATGGATTGAAGGGACACGAGCAAGGAGTGAAAGAGGAGTAAAAGGGAGTAAAGATGGGGTTTGGCAATGTAACACTACAGTGCTGGAGAAGTGGTCTGCACATGGTTAAACGGACTCTGAAGCTCTTAGGGCAAAATATTCTTGCCACAATTTGCAGCAACCTCAGTAAAATCATAGTGCAAGTGAAAGACCTGGGTTCTATTCCCAGCAGGAACCTAGTTGTTAGTCGATGGGCGGATTCCTTTTCTGGTGATAATAATCCTAAAAAAAAATAATAATTTGGTCACTCAATCCACGACTGTTTGTGGGACTGTATATTTGTGGGTGAAACGCAGCAGCCAATTGCACTTTGGCAATGTGCAATTGGCTGCCGCGTTTCACCCACAAATATACAGTCAATTCACTTTACAGTATATTCTCTGAAGCGCTTTGAGGCGTCTCAAATACGTGAAAAGTGCTATATCAAATGCAAGGATTATTATTATTATTAAAGATAGGATGCAATGAAAGAAAAGGGAAAGGTTTACAAGCAGGGGACAGAAAAGTGGTAATCTGGTAGTCCAATGCTAGATTGAAAGGGAGAAGGTTGTGGGTTTAATGTGGGAGATGGGATTGGGTAAGGGTAAAGGAGCAAAAGCATACATGATATTGGAAAGGGACATAGGGGAAGGAGCAAAAAAGTCGAAGGAGGGAATGAAGACGAAGATGTGACCAGGTGGACTTTGTTGCCATTACATCACATCGGGCCATATTTCACCTGACCTTAGGGTCTTCAATGCTGACAAAAATAGCGTTAAAGTGTTCCAATATCCAGCGGTGACCTGCCTCAACTTGATAAGCCCAAGAATTGATTACTAAGTCACTAAATGTCACTGGAATATTGGTGAAACATTTCTAGATGCTCTTCTTAACCTGTTTGATTGTCGTTTAACTTGGGACAATTTTTCCATGGCAATGGATCCTGGAATGAATGGAAAAAGTACCAGAGTACCCATGCAAGGATGGTGTTATAATACAATCCCATCAGGAAGGACACCAGCATCGATGCAATGCCTGTAATGCAACACAGAAGAAAGGTTTTAAAAACTTTTAAGATGTGTGTTCAAAGAATTACAATGAATCAAATGAACAACAGCAACAACAACAATAAATTGCATTTATATAGCACCCCACACCAGGACGTGAAATGATATCGCACAATGCAATGCAGTGCCGGGGTATGTTGCATTGTCGGTGATGTCATCCTTCAGATGAGATGTAAGACTAAGATCCTATCCGCCTGTTCAGATGGAAGTTAAAGATCCCATGGTACTATAATAATAATAATAATAATAATAATAATAATAATACTGTTTGTAAAGAGAAGGGAATTTGTTCTGGTATCCTAGCCAACAATTTCCCAAATAAAATTGGTCATTCACTCCATGGCTGTTTGTGGGACATTGCTGTGCGCAATTGGCTGCCGCATTTCACATCCGTTTTACAGTTTACCCTCTGAAGCCCTTTGAGACATCTCAATGATATGCTAAAGCGTAATATCAAATGCAAGGATTATCATTATTTTTTGCATACAAAAGGAGTGTTCATGGATATGATAATGGGAAATGGACAATATTTGAGATGCAATATTTAAACATCCCAAAGTGTAACAGTCAGTTTGCATTCATGAAAATGTATTCTCTCTACCCAAACTGAAGCCCATGATGTCTCAGCCCCATTTCTCCACCCATGTTATCCTAAAATGAAGTTTACTCCTCTGCAACCAAGGGATATTTGCACTCTCAATTCCTAGGCTGAAGCAGGGGCTGCAAAGAGGAGTGGGATTACAGAGGAAAATTTTAATTTATGGTCACAAAATGGTACATAAAACCTGTTAATGCAAGCAATGAAGCTGATGGTAATATTAAAATAATTAAGCTTTGCATTTGATATAGCGGCTTATCACATTTTCTAGACGTTTCAAAGCACTTCACAGAATATACTGTAAAGTGATTTGACAGTATATTTTGTGGGCACAAATATATAAAATATGTTCTTAAACTGATGGGTGTGTTTTACATTTTGAACCAGGAAGAGTGAGAATTACAAGAGGAAGAATTGCTGCCGCTTTGAAGCTTTGTATTTGATTTCTCAAAATTCTGGGGACAAAAAAAAATCTTGTTTGTTAAAAAAAAATCGTTTCAACCCACAACCTTACCGACTCCTCCCAGGTATGGAGAGATGGAATTCCAGACACCAATACTGCCTTTCCGGAGTCGCTGTCCAATTGCTAATTCGAGGTGAAATAGAGGGATCCCCACGAAAATCAGTGCAAGGCTGTATGGAATCAAAAAGGCTCCTGTAATCACAAACAGTAATAGAAATCAATGATTTAAGATAAATACTTTTAGATCATGTTGTTCTGCCTCTTTTTTCATCTATATTCCCTCTCCTGTTTGTACCCCCTTCTTCAGTGTGGGCATTGAGAGCATGCATATGCCATGGTTTCAGAGGAGTAAATTTCATTTTGGGATAAAATCGGTGAAAAAATGGGGTTGAGATCTGTAAGGAGTGTCAGATTTGGTAGAAGAGAGTTACTGTGACAGGAGGGATGAAGAGAGAAACCCAAGGAGGGGAGGCAGTGAGCTGAGTGAGAAGGGATAGTTTTGAGGGAGAAGGGACATGGAGGGCAGAGAGAGAATGAGTGAGCAATAATACGGATTAATGATGGGAACATTCAAAACTATAATAATAATCTTTGTATTTGACATAGGTCTTGGAGACATTTCAAAGTGCTTCACAGAATATACTGTAAAGTGAATTGACTGTATATTTTGTGGGTGAAACGCGGCAGCCAATTGTGTACAGGAGTTTCCCACAAACAGTCGTGGATTGAATTTATAACAAAGCAATTAAAAAGTAAATTGAACAGAAAGAGATTTGGCTATGAGCAGATGTACAATTTAAGACCTTACAAATTTCTTCAAAGTATCACAGAAAATGCAGTAATTGCAGATGAATGAAACCAGAACTGCATTTTCTGCCAAAGTGCTGCATCTTAGTTCAGCTAACAATTGAACTCCACCTCACTCACCCCCAGAACCTACTCACACAACTGTGACTAGGTTAAGAAATTATTGAAGTATGGAAAGCACTATGGTGTTGGAGCAGTCCCTTAAGTGGAATTTGTTTTTCTTTTAGAATGGATCCTAAAAATGGTAATACTGTGGTGAATGTAAGCAGACTTTGCCCTTTTGAGTAGAATTTGATCTTCTCAGTATTGATCTTGAGTAGAGTCCTCTATATCCCAAAACAAGTCTCCAACGTGACGTGGCAAATGTGGAGAAAAATTCAGTTGGGTCTAGATTAACACTAAGTAGCAATGTTGAATGTCCAGAATTTGACAAATGTTTAAATATAATCTTAATTTTGATGCTGGCTTATTGAGTGTTTTTTAGAATGGCAGAAAAACAGCTTCAAAGATAAGATGAAATTCAGGAATTTCCAAACTCTGGACACTTTAAAATGTTACCTTTCTCCCTAGCTCTTTGCCCTTATTAAAATGGAGCTTGTAGTTACTGTGGTTTTGAGGTGATACGAAAGTTCAGCATATACAGAGTCATCCTTTCCATTGCTGAGCACAGCAATCGCCCAAATCTGGAGCCTGGCCAGAAAACTTCACAGCCAGTCACCCTGCCAGAATATCAGAGCCATAAGGTGCAATTGAAACTCTTTCCCAGTCAACCTGGTGAACAAAACACAGCTATAAATTCATGTTGGAAATCATCCAGGAAAAACACAGTGACACACAGACTTTATTATAGGAGTGTATAACAATCGAGGCATTATTATGACATGCAATGAATGAAACCACGTAAAAGCAGCACTTCACACTGCTAGGTCATCAAAATAAACAGAAGCTCCTGCAGTTGCTAAGAGGTGCAGATGCACCTGCGTGTGCTAAATGTGGGGTAGAAGTGATTCAGAGAACTGTATAAATTACAGACAACTTACATTGCTTCATTGCCCTTGGGAGCGAACAATTGTATAAGCTATTTAAAATTCTATGCCGTATTAAATAGCATGAAAATATGGGTAACCATTTCTGGTAGCTACAGATGTGCCATAAAACATATAGTATATCCTGCATATCTCAGTTGTCTCCAAACTGTACGCAATACAACACAAAATTGCATTTGTAAAATGCCTTTCACGTCGGGAAGACGTCCCAAAGAGCTGGACAGTCAGGGATTTGGACCCAAGCAGGGGTGAGAGGTTGTGTTGGGATCAGGGAGGGTGGAAGGCAGGGAGGGTAGGAGGGTGACCGAAGGCTAGGTTGAAGAAGAGGGTCTTGAGACACAGGTCTTGAGCGGAGGGAGCGGACAGGTTGCTATGGCGTCAGCAGGTCACAGAGGTAGGAAGCGACAAATCCATGGAGGGCCTTGAAGGTGAGGATGAGGATTTCGAACTGTATTGTCCGGGATGGGGAACCAATGGAGCCAGGCAAGGGTGGGGGTGATGGGGTCACAGAGCCTGGTGCGGGAGGGGACATGAGCTGAAGAGTTCTGGATGATCTGCAGCTTGTGAAGGGAAGAATTGGAAAGGCTGACAAGCTGCGAGTTGGCGTAGTCGAGTCTATGATGTGATGAACTTGGACATAAGATGATATTGGTCAATATTAAAAAGTCTCAATCAGGGCTACAGATTAGAAGCATCTTTGTTCCCACAAGTATTGTGCCCTGGAGTGCTGGAGACCCACCAGGCTCAGAAACCAGGCTACCGAGACTGCAACAAAGGTTGGGCTTGATTCTGACATTCATAGAATCATAGAATCACAGAATCGTACAGCACAAAAAGAGGCCATTCAGCCCCTCGAGTTTGTGCCAGCTCTTTGAATAGAGAATTAATGTCAATCCCACTCCCCAGCCTTTTCTCCTTAACCCTGCAAACCCGTCCTCCTCAAATACCCGTCCACCACGTTTTTAAAAGTAGTTATCGAATTGGCCTCAACCACCCTTTCAGGCAATGCGTTCCAGATTCGAACAACTCACTGCGTGAAAAAAATTCTTCTCACTGCCAAGCACGTCACCTTAGAACCAGTTTAACTTCAAGGAGACTCTGCTTACCTCTCTTCAAGGAGGCCAATTTTAATGGCAAAGATAGTTAAATATTGTAATAATATTTAATTTCAGTGAGGATGTGAAAGAGAAAGAAGCGTATCCAGAAGAATATATTGGGAGTTTGGAAGGTAAAAGAGAGGACGGTTCAAAGGAGCAATGATCATAATTACATTGAAACATTCTGTACTTTCATTTGATGTATCTCCTATTTGTTGTATCTCTTATGTTGTGTATTCATTTATTAACTGAATTCTTTAATAATAATAATCCTTGCATTTGATATAATGCCTATTCAAGTCTTCGCGATGTCTCCAAGCGCTTCACAGAAAATACTGTAAAAGGAATTGACTGTATATTTTGTGGGTGAAACACAGCAGCCAATTGCGCACAGTAGTGTCCCACAAACCGTCGTGGATTGAGTGACTAATTTTTAATTTTTTTAAGGAATTATTACCCCCGGAAAAGCGATCAGCCAATCGACTAACAACCGTGTTCCTACTTACTCATAGGTGAGCAGAGGTGTGTGGAAACTTGCCCAACGTTTTGCCCTGCCTGGAATCGAATCCAGGTCACTTGCTTGTGAGGCGAGTGCTCTAACCGCTGAGCTACAGGACTCCACTAATTTATTAATTCTTTATTTGAATCACACAGAATATTTACAGTCACTTAAGTACATCTTGTTCAGCTGCAGAAATTCCATTGTAAAGCTATCTGCTTCCAGAGTGGAGTCTTCATGGGTCAAAGAGAGTTCTGATAGTATTCATGTTGACCCCAGCAGAAGCCAGTCAATCAACTTGAACCTTTGAAAAATATAATTGTTCCCCAGAACAAAACGTTCCCGCAAGATAGACTTATTGGTAGACTTGTTACATAATGGGTAAATCATTAAAACTCCCCTGCATAAAGTTAATCATTCAAAGTCCATAGGAATCAAGCCCAGATTGTGGAGGCGTCAGGAATATGATTCTGACAAATCAGGGAAGTTATCACGGAAATGCTGACCCTGGCAAACTAGAGAACTATTCATTGCACATATTCACCTGAATGCTTGAAAACTTCAGAAAAGTCAGTTTAATGTGGAAGATATATGTATATGATTCAAGTCAGATCAGGGCTCACTATTTTATTGGCTTTTAAAATTTCACTGAAAATATCCTCAATTTTCTTTAAGTCTGTATTTTTGGAAACTGTTTGAGAGTGTCAGCTTAGAATTTGAGTTCAAAGTACGGATGGAAGGCCTGAAACAACAATTTTCTGACTCAAAGGCAAGAGGTACCAACTCATTACCTTCCATGAAATCTGACATTATAAATGCATGTGAATTGTGATATGATAATTATAATTTTTTTTACCTCCCCACACCCATAATTTGTTTTAAAAAAATGTGTTACTGACTTCCTCCAATGAGTTCCTCCTGTGTATAAAGGAGCACTAATGGATTACAGAAATAAGTTATGAATTTATTTCCTACATAATCATCCACCAGCTTCAAACAACATTGTTTAGATGGACTAAGTTGCTCGGAGCCCAGGGTCAAAAAAAATTCAAGGAAGCGATTTACAGACAGCGTTGAAAGTTACAAACTGGTAACAACAAATTCTTAAGTGTTGGCTATCAAATGCTAACTCTCAAATGCCATAAAGACTGCACACACAAAAGGCAAAGAATATTTTTGTAGGAATTTTCTTCCGAAAACTTTAATTACTGGAATGTTTGGCACTGTGTTTCTACTCCTGACCTGAGTCCAGTCCGGTGCCCTCCAGTCCGGTTTCCACGCTGCCCACAGTACAGAGACTGCGCTTGTGAAAGTCACAAACGACATCCTCTCTATCTGTGACCAGGCCTCCCTCTGCCTCCTTGTCCTCCTGGACCTCTCCGCCACGTTCGACACAGTCGATCACGCCATCCTCCTCCACCACCTTTCCTCTGTCATCCACCTCAGTGGGACCGCACTCGCCTGGTTCGAGTCCTACCTCACAAACCGCCAGCAGTACATCTGCACAAACAGCTTCTCCTCCCGCTCTCACCCGGTTACCTGCGGGGTACCCCAAGGATCCATCCTTGGCCCCCTCCTCTTTATGATCTACATGCTCCCTCTTAGGGATGTCATCCATAGACATGGGGTACATTTCCACATGTTTGCGGATGACACTCAACTCTATTTTTCCACCTCTCTTTGCGACCCCCAGTCCCCTGATGTTCTGTCAGCTTACCTATCAGATCTCAGGGGCTGGATGAGCGCAAACTTCCTTTAGCTGAACGTTGACAAGATAGAAGCCATACTATTTGGCTCTCGTCAACATCTAAAATCTCACGGCATCCGTTACTGTGAAGCGCTCTGAGACGCCGCCCGCCGCGGAGGGCGCTATATAAATCCAAATTGTTGTTGTTGTTGTTGAGTCTAGTCAGACCACCCCTAGAGTACTACATTCAGCTCTGGTCGTAACATAATGTCACAGACCATGGAGACAATGCAGATGAGAACAACGAGAATGATGCCTAATGTTAGAGGAATAAGCTATGAGCCATGATTAGGCAAGTTAGTCTAATCTTCAGTCTTGAAAGGAAAAATCTCAGAGGGGACCTTAAAGAATTTTTTTAATCGGTTTGTTTGAAAAAGTAAACCAAGGACAATAGGAAGTCCCAAGACAGAACAAGAGGACAAGGAGGTGAGGTTCCTCTGTGATCAGGAACATGGAGATCTTCCAAATAGGTTTGGACATCTGTTATTCGATTGTCTGAATTTATATTTATAATAATAATAAGCAATTCTTAACTTTGATATAGTGCCTTTCATGTCAGAAGGATGTCTCAAAGCACATCACAGAAAATGTAGTGACAATGCAATTTGTGGACAAATGCGTCAACCAATTTTATGCCCAGCAGTGTCTCACAAACAGCAATGAAGTGAGGGACCAACTTTATTTGTCAGCAAACCAGGAGAAACTTCAGTTTATTTTTGAATAGAGCCACAGGATCGATTTCAAGATCGTCTCACTCATTTTCAAATCACTTTATGCGCTCGTACCTCCCTACCTATCCGGCCTGCTTAGCCCCCCACCCCACTCCACCACCCACTACCTCTGCTCGGCTGGCTCCGACCTTCTGTTTTACCCTCTTTCCATCTGCTCCACCATCGGTGGCTGTGTCTTCACCACTACATCCCGAAACTCTGAAACTCTTTCCCTCAATCCCTCCGCCTTGCCCCCTCCATCCCCACCTTGAAATATCACCCAAAGACCTTCCTTTTTGATTGTGCTTATGGTCAACTCCCCTCCCTCTCCCCCTGGCTCGTCGTCAGCCTCCGCTACTGTGAAGCGCTCCAGGACACTATCCCGCATGAAGGGCGGTACATAAATGCAAGTTGTTGTTCTAGTTAACACCCATCTGAATAGGCAGCCACAACCTCTTTTTTTAAAATGTGGAGTCCTGCAGCTCAGTGGTTAGAGCACTCGCTTTGCAAGTGAGAGACCTGAGTTTAATTCCAGGCAGAGGGCGAAACCTTGGGCAAGTTTCCTTACTCCAGACGCCTAATAATAATCCCTCCAAAACCAAAAACAATAATAAATTAATCATTTTCAATCTACGACTGTTTGTGGGACATTGCTGTGTGCAATTGGCTGCCGCGTTCGCCCACAAATATACAGTCAATTCACTTTACAGTATGTTCTGTGAAGCGCTTTGGGACGTCCTCCTGACGTGAAAAGCGCTATATCAAATGCAAGGATTATTATTATTATTATAATGTCTTCATTCGAAGGACGACACCTCAAGCAATGGAGCACACCCCCAGCACCTCATTGGAGTGTCAGCCTAGACTACGTGAGTCAATTTCCCAATCTGGGCTTTGAACTCACAGCCTTCTCACTCAGAGACGAAAATGCTACCAACTGAGCCAAACTGTACTGAAGGCTTCATTGGAGTTATATCTATTAATAGTAATTAATAATCTCTGCATTTAATATAGTACCTATAATGTCAAAAAGTACTTCAAATGAAATTGCTGTATATTGAAATGATAATACATTGAACGCAAATGCATTTGTCAATTTCCACATGAAATACGTTAGACTACATTAGAATACATTAGAATATACAGCACAGAAACAGGCCATTCGGCCCAACTGGTGTATGCCGGTGTTCATGCTTCACATGAGCCTCCTCCTGCCCTTCCTCAACTAAGCCTTCAAGCATAACCTTCTAATAAATGAATGAAATGAATGAATAAGTTTATCCACAGAAACATTTATCAAAACACTGCGAGAGGGCTTCATTGGAAATTCAGCCTAAGCTGTTCTGAGCACAAAGTTCCGACATGGGGCTTGAACCCCTGACCTTCTGACCCAGCGATGAGAGTGCTATCAACTGAGCCAAGCTCTGATGTAATGTAATAAAATAATAATACTTGCCTCTATGCTGACAAGTTTGAACTTGGGAGTAAGGCAGAACAAATTGTTCGACTAATCTGCTTACAGATAACTTGGGTTTTGTTAACATGTTCAAGAGTTTTGCCAATGCACAGGTAAGATTTATTAACAATCTTGAAATTTTCCAACATTAGTGTAACCTGGAAGCATGAAAGCTATCCACAAATCCGTGCCACTAACAAGGTTCAGGATTTGTTGACACAGTGAAAAACAGAGCTGTGTTCTACTTTTGGTGATTGAATATAATATTACTTGATAACTTAAATCAGAAAATTCAGCAATAAACGTGGATAATGTGGATATTTGTAGAGAAATGCTGAGGAGTTTACCTTTATATGAAATCTGAACGTTCATTGACAATTGACTGTCACAAACACAACAGGTTATCTAGTTCAGTAATTTTCCTGCATTAATTGTTGTGCAATGTTTCGCACACTTTTGCTTAGATTTATGACTGCCAATCACAACTGGGGATTAATCGACAAACAACAATAAAGCTGCGCTTGGGTACTACGTTAACTATTCAATTGTTAAAAGGGAGTCAGAGAGCAAACTTTTCAACAGCACATTTGTTACAAAAATGACTGTTGCATTAAGAGAAGGGAGTTCAGCCCAGTACCCTGACCAACAATCCTCCTAATATAATTGGACATTCACTAAATGGCTGTTTGTGGGACATTGTTGTGTGCAAAATGACTAACACATTGGCCTACAAAACAGTCACTACACATCACAGTAATTGTGAATTGAGACCCCTCCTTATGATAAGAGAAGAAACTTACTGAATTCTACATCTTTATCTAAACAGCGATGTCTATGTTTCCTCATAATTCTATTAACACAAATAGAAACATCTCATGATTGTTCTTCTGGTTGGAGTTCATCCATTACAATTTGCTCAAAATATTGTATTGGGAAGAATATCCTCATGTAAATCAACAAACAGCAATACAAATTTACATTTATATAGTGCCTTTCACATCAGGAAGACATCCCAAAGTGCTCAACACCTACCAATCACTTGGAACCTGAGCTGCAAGTGGGAGATGAGGGGGGTGGGGAGGGAAAATATGACCAAAAGCCTGGTCAAAGAAGTAAGTCTTGAGATGGACCATGAACGAGGTGAGGGAGTGAACAAGTCAAAGGGACTCTGGGATGGAGTTCTAAAGAGTGGAGTACATGCCCTGCAGTGTTCTGGATAGTCTGCAACTTGTGCAAGGAAGCACTAAGGACCTTGGTAAGCAGAGCATTAATGAAGTCAAACGTAGACATATAAATGCATGGATAATAATAATAATCCTTGCATTTGATATAGCGCTTTTCACATCTTCTCAACGTCACAAAGCACATCACAGAATATGCTGTAAAGTGAATTGACCGTATATTTGTGGGCAAAACGCGGCAGCAATTGCTCACAGCAGAATCCCACAAACAGTCGTGGATTGAAAATGACCAATTTATTATTGTTTTGTTTTGGAGGGATTATTATTAAGTGTGTGGTGTAAGGAAACTTGCCCAAGGTTTCGCCCTGCTTGGAGTTGAACCCAGGTGTCTCGCTTGCAAAGCAAGTGCTCTAACCACTGAGCTACGGAACTCCTGTAAGGGTCTTGTTGGTCTGAGGAGAAAGGCAGTGACCGAGGTGCGCATTATTTCAGAGGTGGGGGAAAGCTGATCAGACCAGAGTACAGATGTTGTGTTGAATGGACATTTGGAGTCAAACAAGACACCAAGATTCTACATTGGCTCTACAAAGTGAAATGTACATTCATGGAGGTTGATACGTGTCAGCATCTGAGGTGAGAAGGCACTGACGGGAGACAAGCAGTTGAGCCTCTGTCGTATCGACAATCAACTGGAGAAATGTAGAGAATATTCAGAACATCAGTTCTGACAGGCAGTCGGTCAGGACAGGCATAGTGATGAAGTTAGGTGTCATTCACATACATGTGGAAGTTAATCCCTTGCCTTTGGATGACAATGCCAAGTGGAAGCGTGCAGATATTGAAAAGGAGAGACCGAGAATAGAGCCCAGAGGAATTTCACACATCACTAAGCAGAGTCGGAGGAGAAGCCATTAGAAAAGACCAAAGTAGAAACACTAGGAAAGATAAGAGTGAGGAGGTAAGATTCTTCTACATGCTAATCTCCTCTCCCTTCCTGCTGTTGTACTCACCACCTCCATAGGTCTGACAGAGGTAAGGGAATCTCCAAATGTTTCCCAGTCCCACGGCGAATCCGGCACAGGTCAGAAGATATTGAAATTTATTGTCCCATTTAGGTCGGTCCTCTTCCTGCTCATTACCAGCATTGCTTACCACCGAAACAGTAGCCTTATCTATTGCCATCACCACTAAAGAAGAATACTGGCAGTGCTTATATCTGAGCGTTTTTCTAAATAATACGTTGTGTTACTTTTTAACAATGCAATTAGTTCCAGTGTTGTAACAGGAAGAACACGGATTATATTCCAATGTAGGGGAGTGGGGTGGAGCCAGACCACAAAGGAACAATGCCATTTGCTCAAGACATTTGGAAAACAAGAGAAGTGTAGATAACTAACAAGGCTATCAAATACTAATGGAAAGATGTTAAATGATAACAGGGTAATTGACATTTAGTGAGCTTCAGTTTCCTCATCTGGACAAAATTGATCATTCACTTTGTGGGAGTTTTTGGACATGTGCACAAATTGGCTGTTGCATTTTCTTACAAAATACACAGTCACTAGATTTTACAGTACATTCTACAAAAAACTTTGAGACATCCTGCAGTTGTGAAAGGTACTATATCAAATGTAAGGATTATGTTTTATATATTCAAGATATTATAGTATAAGTTCAATATGTAAATCTAGATCCAGGTGGATTAGAAGGCATTCATATTTATGTCTGATGCATCTGAGACGTCCCAGAAATACACTATTATGTGGGGAAATTTTAATAATAATAATAATAATCCTTGCATTTAATACAGCACCTTATCATCTCTCCCCGATACAGCCGGGTTCCTACTTACTGCTAGATGAACAGAGGAATGTGGAGTAAGGAAACTTGCCCAACGATTTGCCTGGGTCGGGAATCGAACCCAGGTCCTTTAGTTTGTGAAGCGAGTGCTCTGTATGTAATACCAAATGTAAGAATTATTATCATTATTATTACTTGTGCAAACTTTGGAAGTCTCTTATTTAAAGTAGCTACATGTGCACCTGAACAGCTGTGATCAATAAACCTATTTGAAGAATTCACTCAGATTGTGGAAGACAAAAAAAGGGGGAAAATTGAGGTGAATGAAAATTAAATTCACACCACACGGACACAGTTCTGTAAAAGATTTTATTTTGCTTCCAGATAATGTTTTATTTAAGACATTTCTCAAAAGTTCAGGAAATAAATATGCAATTTTTGATAGCTGCAATAATTAAGGCAGAAATTTACACTGTATTATTACCTCTAAATAGCTCCTGAAAGGTCTGAATCTACACTCATGACACCCATATCCTTCAAAAGTTTATCTTTCATATTCTTGCACCAGGGTGGTCCAACCTTTTGGCTGCTGAGGGCCGGATACCGGATTTAAGAAATGTCCGCGGGCTGTATTTGCTCGGTGGACAATGAAGTTGGGAATGGTTTGTGGTCCAGATGAAACCATCTTCCGACCCGGATGAGGCCTTGGGCTGCCAGTTGGACCACCCTGATTTCCACCATAATACATCACTTCCTAATCCATGCTCTGTCCTAACAGGTGAAGGAATGAAGCAATTCCAGAGCTCATTTTGGCCTCCTTCCCTTTTAAAAAATAATTCGTTCATATCCCTGACCAACATTATATTGCTGTTTTTGTAGCCAAGGATGAATGAATAACATCAGATTAACAACCCTCCTATAATGGTAACCACACAATGCACTGGGAAGTTCTGGTAGTATAACTTGGACCCATTAGAACTTTGGCTCACAGGGTTTAGGACACATTCGAATAATATTCATGGGGCAAACAAATTGATCAATCATCAACAGTGCTTTGGATTAATGTTTGTTGTGCATTGCTTTTAACAGGAATGTTTCCTCAGTCATTTGAACCCCAGGTGGAGAGTTCAAAGATGTTACTCTTTTTGTTGATCTTGAAGGTAAAGACCAAGATTCATACCCAGAGTTTTCTATCTTCAAGCTCAGGTGCCAGACATAGGTAGGATATTTGGTGCCTCTGTATAAATCATTAAGCTTTGAATTGGAAAGTGAAAACAATCATTTGTTGCAGGTTATTGAACTGTGTACCAGTGTATTATTATTCAGAAAAGGAGGTGGAGGGGATACGATACCAATGGCTGTTCTGATTAGACTCTAATTCTGGAAGGGCCCTGAAGATCAAATAGTCAAAACCTCTGAACTTGCTTAAGTGTTATCTATTTTCAAAATGTATTTGCCAGTAAAGGTCATAGTCACATTTGCAAATCATTAGCTGTTGTGTTGAATAGCAGCTGTGTGTTTAATAGGAACAGCCAGGGCAGAAGTGCCAGTGGCAGCTGCTGAAACAACTACATGCTGTATTTGAGGTATGAGAGAAAAGCAATCTTGATGTAACTACTTCCCTTAATGTGTACCTGATTTCTCATTTTGTCTATTCTTTATTATTGTAACCTTAATTCCCGGGCAGTATTAATATAATTGGGCACCCAACCTTAGGAAAGATAAAGAAAACGCAAAATACTGCAGATGCAGGAAATCTGAAATGAAAACAGAGGTCGCTAGGAACACTCAGCAGGTCAGGTAACATTTATGGAGAAAGGAAAGTGAGTCAACGTTTCGGGTCCACGACCCTACGTCAGAACCCAGTTTATCCTTTTTTTATATATAGGGAATTAGCAAGCCACATAGGGGACAATGTTTCCCTTATAAAGAAATCCAACTCAAAACAGCATTGTCTTAACATTAGACCTAAGACAGTTAAAAGTGAAATCAGAAAGCATTTATAGCACAAATGGTTGTAGGAATGTGGATTGCACTGCCCAAGAAGAGGATTGATGCAGAACTGATTGGGATGTTTAAAAGGAAAATACACTAGATACATTTGTGGGAAATAAGATTATTAAAGGATTAAGGAGAAAAGGCAGAGAAATTGGATCTAATAAAATGGTGGAACAGGCTCAATGAGTTAACATAATGGCTTCTTATTATGATTTATTATTGTAGGGTACAAAAATGTTTACTTTCACCCACGTGTTTGAAGTAATCACCCACTCTCCTTTAGATGTTACCCTGGGGACTTGGGGAAACTAAAAAGTGAATGGTAAGAGAATTGCTCTGAGGTCTAAAGGATAACTTACAATGTAGAAGTCAATAGTTACTTCCATTGCGCTGAGGTTAGACATTGATTATAACATAGGAATAATTCGGCAACTTTTGAAGCCCAGTGTTTTTCAGGAGGAAGCTTTGTAAAGCATTGCACATACGTTGCTACTTACCATTTGGGATTTTACTATTTGGAAATGCTGGAACCTTAAGGACTGAGAAATGAATGGGATGTAGTGTGTTAGTTTAGGGCCATTAGATCAGCCCTGAAACAAAGCAGGGTAACCTCTCATCAGTGATGTAGCTCGGAGCCCCTAGCATCTGCTCTCGAAAGAAAAACAAAAACACTTTTTCGACAAAGTTCAAATATGGTCTGTTAAAATACATGCTTTAGGGTGATTGTAAACCAGAAGCTCATTTATGGCAGGATATAAAACCAATATATTCCATCAAAGTAAAAACATGAACAATTTAAAATATTTTCAGCTGTCGGTTCTTGTGCATTTTGTTTTGGAATACAGTTCATGGCAAAGTGAGTAATATAAATTACTGCTATTGTTTTTGAGGAGTCCAGTTACACTAGTTTGTTTGCTATTCCATTTACTGAAGTGACTGATGTAGACTGGACAAGGCTCTGCTGGTCATTGTTCTTCTTGCACTTGTTTTGGATGCACAAATAGATGGCAGTGAAAGGTATGACTAAACTGGGTATGCCAGCCAAAATGAGAATAACTCCAGTCACCCAGCTAGGGTAAGGTTTCTCAAACTGGTTGGGGAAATTCACCTGTATAACAAACATATGTAAATATGAATAGTGCATGAAAAAAAGTTACGATACTTACAAAAACATCATATAGTCATGCCACATGTAAAAAACAAATCTATAAAACCAAAATCATTGAAGAGCTAACCAAATCACACTAAAAACAGACATTCCGCATATGTTACTGAAAATGTGGTGGTGATATAGAGTCTCTACTGCTGTCCTGGCCAACAATCCCCAAATAAAATTGATCATTTACTTCATAGTTGTTGGCGCAACACTGTGATGTTCAAATTGGCTGCTATATTTGCTCACAATACATACAGTCACTCCACTTTACAGAATAGCCAGTGAAGCACTTTGAAATATATGGTATGAATGAAGTAAGTGGCCAGTAGTTTCTTTTTTAGAAAATGGAAAGCCTCCACTACAAATAGCTGGTGAAGATGAGTGCATTAAAGATAATTGCATAAATATGTGAGGCAAAATAAGGGGGAGCGAGAAATGGAGTATTTATTTCCTTGAAGCTTATCTTAAATGGTACGGACCAGAATTGCCTTGGGTTTACCAGACAGATTGGCCAGTTTACCATAGATGTTATTTGGGCAATATATGTGGCTCCATTTTACAAGTTACTGTTACTCCAGTCCTAAACAAATAGCTCGAGACAATTTGCCCCTGGATCCATTCTAGGCCAGGAACATTTCTGCAACAATTGGGCCTTCATTAAAAGATACATTTGATCTTAAGGGAAATTGCCCAGCACTGGTTTATAATATATACTCACATAATCTATATCCCAGGTAATGTACGTCAACTTTTCAGTCACTGTTATTACGAGGTAGAATATGAATATGACCAGCATTATGATTGGGCTGATGAATCTCCAGGTAACCTGCCAAAAGATATTTGGCTTGTGACCAATCATCCATTCGATGTCTTCGTTGAATCTGTAAATAAATAGTTTGTTCTTTAAAATAAGGGAGACGTATAGATGAACAGATACTAATAAGGTAATCTGTGTGATTGGCACAACATTTATGAGCAGCACAATTATAATGGTCTCCTTCACCCGAACAATGGAATTTCTCATCCCGGTTAATTCACCCTTCTCTAATTCTGGAATGATACCAACAGCTGCCAACAACTGGGTTACTAATTATGTTTCGACAAATATTGGGGTTTACAATGTGGGATTTCTAATGGGATCAGAGCGTTCTGAGCTCAGTCGCTGATGATTGAGCTAAAGTCTGCTTCTGAGTATGTTTTAAATTCAAGACCCAGACTTTATATCGAGCCCATGTTGGAAGGCACTGAAAACAGTTTGATGCTGCGATGGGAGGACAGTAGGGTAGGTATTCGGGATTAGACGGGCCAAAGGGCCTTCTTCATTCAAAATAATTTTGTGAGCTAGGGAGAGAGGACAGAAACATACTGAATCACTGGAGCGATTGTGTATCACTGAACAGCGAACATCCAACAGCAAACAGCAAACATTCTGTGCCATAAATTACGCAGATTTTATACAAAATTAAGAATTTGACAAATTGTAACTTCTAGGACAAAATGCTCTTACAGGCTAAAATTATTTGTAATTTCAAGTAAACGACTCTGCTCTACAAACCATCATCATCTCCATTTTCAGCCCCTGTAAACCAATCTCATGATAAGGTTGTTCAATATATTTAATGGTTTAATAGAACATGTCACATTCTTGGTGCCATTGCAACAATGGAAAAGGGATCAGAGATGATTGCAGATGCTTGTTAGAATTATCAAATGCAGGGATTATTGAACTGAAGAATATTATAGAGTAAAGAGCACAATTTGGGTTACTACCTGATCAGCCTTGGCAGCACACAGACACACATCTTTACACACTGAACCATTTCTGTCAAGCTGATTTTACACCATGGTAAACCAATGGCAGAAATGTCACATTTGCAAAGAAAGCTGTATTTTTACCAAGAATTTACAAATATCTATAATCTCCCCCCAATCATTAACTTGGCCATAACCTGAGGTGGAGAGCAATGGTTCATGTAGGACAATGAGGTGGTGAAATGTAATGGATCTAGGTCATTTGTAGTTTTATGGTTGGGAAGCAAATACTTAAATCAACACAGGAATCGCACGGAGAACAAACATGTCTCTATGTTTTCAACCAGGAAGAGGTTATGCAGTATTTGGTGAAGTCAAGCACGAAGTACAGGGTAAGCTACCAATAATCATCTTTAAAAGCCTGTAAAACATTTACATGCCCTCCATTGCAGGTGTGCAAAACAACAGGGTTGCAGTATCTTAAGCCAAATGTTTTAAACAACCCCTGTGAATTGAAGTATAATAGAGTACAATACAAATTTACATTTACTTTGTCTTTCACATCAGGAGGATGTCCTAAGGTGTTGGACAGTCTACAGTGTGTACCTGAGTTGGGCATGCGGTCTGGGGGAGAGGGGCAACTGGGTAATCTTACCTGTCTATGCCATAAATGTATACAATGGACACCATCTCACAAAAAGCAACAACTAACAGAGGGATGGAGCCGGCGTATGTGTCAAAGAGAGCCAGCCAATAGTTTCCCGAATTCAGGGCAAATATAAATGCGATGAAAAAGCACACCAGACAGATCGTGCCTGCAAAGAGAGAAAAAAAGGAAGATATTTGTTGGGCTGCAGGGCTATCAAATACCATCTGTTTCCACACAACTCCATGTTTTTTTTTATCAATTCTTTGAATACCCATAAATACCCATATATACCCAAGTGCAGTTACAACTAAAAAATGTTGCTGAAGATGAAGTGGAGAGAGAAGATGAAGTCTAAAACCAACTTTAGCTGATTTTATCTATAATAATATTTACGCTGTGTGTGCTGCAGTGAATGCTGAATAGCACTTGTAGTGTGTACAGGCTCAGCAGAATCATGACAATGTGGTAAGTGAGAATACAGGACAAACTGTCCCATATTTTTTGGGCTCCATGAAACTTCCCTTTGACTGGGATTATCGTCATTTCAGGAAGGATATTTCAATTGCTTAGATCTCTGAGAGAGACAATGAAATTCCATGGCATAAATAATCCCATTACATCACAACTTTACAGAAGGGCACAAAAAATTGCATCAAAGTTTTACAGAGTGCTAATGCTGTTTATCGAGTGAGCCACCTGTATGTTATCCTAAACTCTGATGTGTTAATATGTTGATGGTTTGTGCTGATAACCATTGACCATGTACAATACCAACACTCATTTCCAAGAGGCGCAACACATGAAGAAGGCCATTTGCATGAGGTGCCAGAGGGCAACCAACACCTCAGCAATCCAATGCCAGGAACATAGATACACATACCAGTGGGGAGACAAGTGGATAGATGGACAGACAGGTGGATAGGCGGACAGAGAGACACGCACACAGACAGACGGACAGACAGACAGACAGACAGACAGACAGACAGACAGACAGACAGACAGACAGACAGACAGACTGACAGACAGACAGACAGACAGACAGACAGACAGACAGACAGACAGACAGACAGACAGACAGACAGACAGACAGACAGACAGACAGACAGACAGACAGACACATGAAGTGTTACTTTACCAGTAAGAAATTCCTTCGGCCATTTCTTTGGATAGAGCTTCATGTCTTGGATGGGGACTAATACACCTTCTATATTTCCAAACATTGATGACAGCCCCAAGCAGAACAACATTACGAAGAACAAAATGGACCAGAGTGGAGAGACTGGCATTTTTGTAATAGCTTCGGTAAAGACAATAAAAGCTAATCCGGTTCCTTCCACACCCTATACAATACAATACAAATTTACATTTATATAGTGCCTTCCACATGGAGCGGACATCCCAAGGCACTGGAATATCCAGGGCTTGCACCAAGCTGGAAATAGGGGCCTAAGGCATGGTGGGCAAGGGAGTGAAAGATTGCTGTAAGTGTGGTCAAAGAGGAAGGGCTTGAGGGGTTCTTGAGAAGGCAAGGGATGAGGTGAGTTGAAGAGAAGGAAATTCAAGGTAAAAGAAATGTATTGGATACAGGATAGAGGGTTAAGGAAGAGGGATGGAGGGTGAATGACAGCTGCCTTATGCTTCACAGCAAAAAGTGTACAATAGATATATATCTATGAATTTGTATAATCATAGCTTTTTGCAGAATGCTTTCAGGAAGGGTTACATAGGAGTATTGTTATCATTTCAGGAACAGAATTGCAAAGATGGAGATGGGTGGCAAATTGGATTTGAAAAGCTTTGAAAGACGTATTCAAAGAAAAAAAGGTATTCACAGTGTAAGCTGAAGGTATGTACCTGGCTCAATATATTATCCAGATCACAGGTCTTCAGATTGAGGTTGGCAATGGTTTGGGGTTCTGTGCTGTTTAAATAACTCAGCACTTGGTAATAGTTGTCTTGGGTTAAATTTGTTTCTGGTAGATCAAAGGTATTGGTCAAGGCTAGAATATTGCTGCAAGAAAGCAAGATAAAACAAAACAAAATGAGTGTTTTGGACATTGATCACAGTTACAGGACTTTGCTTTTGTTTTATTAAACTGACTTTTATCATTTTTTCTGTGTTCAGAGTCTTTCTCGAGTATACTTTCCTACTACTTGATGATCTTCCAATGCAATGCATGGGGAAGGGGATAGTGCAATGGTAGAAGGACAGGTGGAAGAGAATGGGAATGAAGGGATATTTTTCCGATTGACAGAGAGTAGGTAGTGGTTGCTTCAGGGATCAGTGTTAGGACCTTTCTTGTTTTCTATAATATCAATGTTCTGGATACAAATGTTGAAGGAGTAATATCTAAATTTATGAATGGTACTTCCAGTTACCAGAAGGAGTCCACATTTGTATAACTTGGATTTTATACTAAGGAATACTGCAAATTAGACTCCATATCACCTCTGAATTTCATGAAATTGCTCTGGCATAAAAAAAGGAAGGCTGAGAATGGGGCAAACCCAACTTAACTATAGCATGATGTTGTCTCACACACATGCACCTTTTAATAAACGGTAATTCTGTTTCAATGCCCACTGAACTAGATCCAGCTCTTGAGTTGAAAGAAAAAGCACACTATGTAACTATCTCTGAACCTGCTCTTCTTAAATGTGGACAAAAAAAATGACAGTAATTTCTGTTTGTTTACCAAAAGTTGCATCGATCAACTGTTTTCCTAATTTTCATTAAAATGGTGCTCCTGAACAACAGAATGATTGATCTTTCGTTGGATTTCAAAGTGTAATAATCTCTGGGGAGTGACTTACGCATCAAAGCAGGCATCAAATTGTTCTGTTGCTCGGAAACCTATGATGGAGTATATTACAATGGCTGCATATATGGATGTGAAGCCATTGATGACGGAGATAATCACAGCATCTTTCTCACAATTGTTGCTATGGGATAAAGAAAAGAGGAAAGCATTCAGTTGATGGATATCTTGTCTTTCAGTACAAAGGGATTACATTTTAACTCAATGGGTTGGTGCAAGTCAGCAGAAGATACTTACTGAACTGAGTTATAACTGGAGAAGGATATCAAGCCACCAGACGCCAGGGAAAAGGAATAAAACACTTGTGTCCCAGCATCTAGCCAGGTGACCGGATTTGCCAACTCAGCCACCTGAAACCCACGCAAAATAGTGGAATGTTACTACTGTATCACCAAAGAGGGAGTGGGATCAGAAATTGTGATATGACATGGAAGCAGGATTAACCACAATAAATATAATAAAACAATATTCTTGAAGAGCTTAAAAATGTTAGCTTCAAATTACTTCCATGCACTATTGATTGCACCATTCAAACTCCTCAAACGTAGCCTTGCTGAACAATATTCGGTGGAAATTGACTTTTATTATTGGCAGTCCTCTTCCTTACAATGTTTTGAGTTATTCCACTCACCTTCTCACAGACCTTTCACTAAGAAATGCACTTTTACATTTTGGTGAAAACATATTTTAAAAGTAGACATCAAATTATAATAAATTATTTAAAGAACATTTTTCTGAACTTATTGCTTTCTTCTCACTTCCATGTAATCGTTCTCGGGCACCACTCCTGAATATCTTGAGTTTCTGGTTCCAAAAAGCCAGTGGGAACAGAAACTTGGATGTATAATATTACCAGGAAACTGTAGGCTCTAATGAATAGGAAGTCATGCACAGCCAATGATGGGGGGGGAGGGGCAAGGATGGGAGGCCATATGCTGTACATTGATACGAGGATGAAAGAAATCATTGGCCCATCTGAAAGTTCTGCAGTGTATAGACATGTTTCATAGCGAATAGCTAACTGTAGCCTTGATCACTAGCAGGAACAGTGTCGTATCTCGTTTTTTAATTCCTTTATGCTAACCTTAGATATCTGCACCTCCAGTGGAAATTGTAGGAAATATTGTGGAAATTGTGGAAATATTTCAAAGCAAATTTAAATGGTAAAATTCCAGCTGGGTCTAGATTTATTCCGTTAATGTAACATTTCCATGTTAAGAATTTTGAATTTTTTTAAATACAGCTTTAACAACAGAAAAACGACTTCAAAGTTGACTGAATTCAACATTTGGCAAATTTGGAACACTCTAAAATGCTACATAAATTAAGTAAATCCAAATTCTCCCCAATTATGGTTAATGCATCTCAAATAATATTTCCCCCCTACAATATTTTCTTCTCCTCTCCTGAAGGTGCAGTCTCATGCTAGAGACAAACAGAGGATTTCACCCAAGTGTTTCACCTCATTGTAAACATTACATTTTCATTCATGCTTTGGTTGCATGTCTTGAAATGAAGAGCCAGAAATACTTACATCTGGTGTAAAGAGAAATATAATTCCATCGACTGATCCTTTTAACGTCAGGCCTCGAATCAGGAAGATTGTGAGTACAAGATAAGGGAGAGTAGAGGTGATATATACAGCCTTTAGGAAAGAGGAGAGATTAAATCTATTAAACAATTGAACCAAATAAGTTTTATAGCTAAGAGTTACATGTTGATGTACCTCTATTTGATGGTACAATTTATGCTAAACTTATCCAAAATATTCCACTGCAGTTAGAATATTGTGTCCGGTATTGGTCACCCCATTTTAGAAAATATTTCAAAGCAATAGAGGGGTTGCAGAGGAGATATACTAGGATGAAACCAGGGATGAATGGTTTAGCCTTTGAGCAGAGACTGGAGAAACTGAAACTTTTTTCCAATGGAACAAAGAATTTGAGACCTGATAAATGTCTTTAAATTTATAAGGGGTTTCGACAGAGTGAATAGGGAGAAATTATTTCCACTGGTTCATGAGGGCATCAATTTAAGATAGTTAGCAAATGAGCAAAGGGGAGCTTAGGAGAATTTATTTTCACGCAGGTAGGATATGGAATGCCTTGCCAGGAGCTGTGGTCAAGGCAGAATCCATATTGGCTTTCAAAAGGGAATTGATAAATATCTAAAAGGGAATAAACTACAGGGATATATATAGGGATAGGGCACCTAAATGGGATCAAAATGATTGCTCTTAAAGAAAACTGGCACACATGCAATGGGCTGAATGGCCTTTTTCTTTTCTGTATATTGCTATGGTTCTAGTACTTTAATTGTCTAAATACAAATCCAACTGAAATGAAATAAATCAGCAGGCAAAGAAATCTGCCGCTGCCCTAGAACCACTCCCCATCACATTATGCTCCCTCATGCCAAAGCCCAGAGAGCAGCCCCTGCGTAGCTTGACACCACAACCTCACTCGATGCACATTTTGGGGCAGTGCTTTGTGAATGGGTATTATTATTGTGCTCACCATGGTACCCATCCCACAGAGCGCTTGGGTGCAATAACAAACACCGCAGTGACCTTGAGGGTGGACCAAAAATATTGAACCAAAACGTCATAAAATTAACAATACTGTTTATGGGAGGATAGATGTTTCAAAACTATTGTAAATGAAAACTCTATTTTAAAGGGAGACCGGTTCTCTTGCTGGGAGAGCAAGACTGACTGAAATGTTTTGCTTCTATGACAACAAAGGCAGGTGATACATTTGGTTAAAGGAGAGCAGAAGTTACATTTGAATATAATGCAAATTAAGGCACTACAGTATGTAGTTGGAAAATAATTACAAAGCAGTTCACCGAACACTTTTCAGTGACAACAATGTCCCTTTAAATTGCCTAAGCACCAGTATTAAATTACCCAAGTACCAGTACCCACAAAATAAAGAGTCAGTTCACTTTACAGAACATTCTATGAAGCGCTTTGAGAAGTCTCGAAGACGTGATAAGGCGCTATATCAAATGCAAGGATTATTATTATTGTGAGACTTGGTACATTTGATGAGCCTTTGGATTATTAAAAAATGTGAAACTCTTTTATTTGTAAGCAGGAGATGGTACATTACCTTGCCAGTTGTTTCAATTCCTCTGATTGTGCACACATACAGCACAGACCAAGCACATATAAGGCAAAGTAGCAGCCACCACTGGATAGTACCTGATTTATCAATACCATTGGAAATGTTCAAGGTTTCTCTGTACCAAAAATAATCCACTGAGGTGCTCCTGGCACACTCATCCACATATCCTGTTAAAAAAAGTAGATGACAGAGATAAGGATATTAATCTTGAGATGTGAATATTGTAATGAATGAAAATTCTGTGGCCTGATTTTAATGTGTATAAGTAGATAGCACATAGATTCTTGTGATGGGAACTTCACTGTCAATCTTGTGCTCCTGATCTTCCAGGACAACGGAAACATCCTATTTACCTCTTCAACTGAGCCTACAGCCACCTCCCCCTTCTCCCTCATTTGGTGACCAACCACACCACTGCGCAACGTTCCGAGATACTGTCCAACATGAAGGGTACTCGATGATGCACATTGTTGTTGTTGTTGCATAAGCCAGCATTTTCTTAACAACACAAGGGACTTGTGATTTGTAAAGTGGCAATACAGTGAATATGCAGGTGAGGAAGGAAAAGTGATGGTTTCTGTATTTGAAGTCAGTGACATTTGTGGTGCGAAATAGAGGTCTGTCCACTTTATACATTGGTCGGGGTATAACACAATTTTGCTGTTTATATTGAATGTTCAGAATTGATTTGATATTTCCATGTTTAGACAAAGCTCAAAGAGCAATATAATATCAGTTTTGAAGTATTGATTTTAAGACTAACTGGAGAAGTTTCAAATACTTGGGTTGTCTTTAGTGTACATTTGAATAGACCTCCTCAGTCCCCAGTGAGAGGTATCAGGAGCAGATAGATAGTAATACAGATTGCTTATTTGTATGTCAGTACTGCTTCACTTCCAGCAGTTTCAAAGACATCTTTCAGAAGGTCTGCATGTATGCACGTTGGGTGAGGACAGTATTAGGCTTAGTTGAGGTACACCCATGGTTAAGTAGTCTACGGATATTCAAATGTCTTAGCTCTCATGTGAATAATGGCCACTTGACTAAAGTACTGGAGGGATACTATTGAATTTTACATCAATGCCTCTCAGACAGGAGGATTTGAATATTGAATATAAGACAAATACAGCATCAACCTATAGATTAAGTTGCTAATTTATGAGCCATACAGAAAATAGATTTTTTAATATTTATCTTGTTCTGATGTCTCAAATAGAAATAATTATATTGACCAATGACCTACATTAGTGCATGGACAATGCACAAGTATGATGTGGCATCACTATTCTGCTAGCAAAATCCATGTTATTTATCAAAAGCAATCTTTGAAGACAATCCTTTTCAAACTAAAAGTTTGTGTCTCCTTCTCACAGTTCCAACAGCGATTATTTTGACTGATCTCTATGGCTATACCACTGCACTTGGAAGGAACAGCAAGATTTCAGCAAAACACAAAGCAAGCCAATACCTGTGTGGTTTTCATTCAGCGGACAGGAGCTCCAGGGCAGAGGTTCTTGAAATGAATTAAAGAAATACCACATAACCAAGGCAATGATAGCGTTGTAATATAAACCGACCAGGAAGGAAATCATCATTGATGCGATACCTAAAGAAACAAGAGACAATAAAACTTAATCAGGCAGAGCATACACAAAAACCCTGGCTAGCTGGTCTAATGGGGGGCCCTTTCTGGCAAACCGGAATGACCAGCTAAGTGTAATTACAATTACCGGCATTTTTTGGCATTGTTTTTCTCAGACCTGAAACGTTAAATCACTTTCCCCTCTCTCCATAGATGATGCCTGACCTGCTGCGTGTTCTCAGCGACTTCTGTTTCATGGAGTCCTGGAACTCAGTGGTTAGAGCACTAGCCTCACAAGCGGGATGATCTGGATTCGATTTCCGGGCAGGGAAAAATGTTGGGCAAGTTTCCTTGCTCCACATGCCTCTGTTTACCTAGCAGTAAGTAGGAACCCCATTGTTAGTAGATTAGCGGATTGCTTTTCCAGGGGTAATAATTCCTTTAATAATAAAAATAATTTGATCGTTCAATCCATGACTGATTTTGGGAAGCTGCTGTGCGCAATTGGCTCCTGTGTTTTCACCCACAAAATATACAGTCAATTCACTTTACAGTATAATCTGTGAAGCGCTTTGAGATGTCTTGAAGCTGTGATAAGGCGCTATATCAAATGCAAGGAATATTATTATTATTATTACTTTATTTCAAGTGTTTATGTAAATAAAGATATCCAAGTGGAGATTGAAACTGCATCATGCATGGTATGCAGACTATCGCAGACTCAACTCGGATAACTTCTCCAAAATTACATTGAGTTGGCGTAAAGATCACGTGAGCCACTATCACAGACTTCTAGATTTCTTATTTTAAAAATATTATTGTTATAAATACAGTACATATATATTAAATGAGTTAAAAGCTTCTTTTAAATGATTCCCAGGCCAATTAAATTTTGGAGAGGAGTCAGCACACCGTTCCATTTATAGTAATACTGTAATAATAATAATAATAATCCTTGCATTTGGTATAGTGCCTTTCACGTCAAGAGGTTGTCCCAAAGTGGTTCACAGAACATATTGTAAAGTGAAGTGAGTTATACAAAAAAAATGACCAAAATAAATCCACTGAAATTAGAGGAGAGAATAGCACTGATTCCAGGAAAAGCCAGGCTAATATCCGGGATCATTATGCTTAATTTGTAACAAATGACAATAACTTACCCACCCCTTTCAGGTAAGGATGAACGGTACTCCATACCCCCACACTACCCTTCCTCAGGCGTTGCCCAATAGCAAACTCTATATGCAGTAGTGGGACACCTTCAAGCACCAGCAAGATAAGAAACGGGATCATGAAAGCACCTGCCAAAAAAAAGGAAAAGGTTATTTTAGTGAACAAAGTGAGCAATGTATATTTCATAACATTGATGCTCATTTTCATATGAGAATAAGTCAAGTGCTAAAAACACAGGCAGTGTACAAATTTACAATTGCAGCAAACAAGCTAAACTGCACCATAACCTGTGTGGTCTGTCCCTTGGTAACTGCTAAGCATTGGTCAATCGTTTCAGAGGGAATCTAATGTTTTGCTATTTGAGAAATGTCTGCGGACTTCATAGGCAATATTTTTCCCTTCCCGAAACATAACATAAAATTTACACAACAGCTTTTTTACGTTGGAAGGACATCTCAAGAAGCTTGATGCTGCCGGCTGGCACCTGAACTGGGGGTGGGAACCGAGGGAGGTTCAAGATGATCGAAAGTGCGGTCAGAGAGCTAGTGCTGTGAGATAGCTCTACAATGTACTTTGAGGAAACTGCATAGCATGTAGCTCAGTGGCTGTCCTCGTTCCCCCACCCTGAGGGAGTCTCCTATCATCTGTCCTGACAGTGAACCATTAAATGCTGTCCTCACTTCTCTCTTCTCTCTCTCTCTCTCTCTCTGTTCTCTCTAGCTCTCTTTATTTATTTTTCTCCCCCTCTCTCAATCACTCTGTCGCCTTATTTCTCTCACACTCTCATGCACTCTCTTGCATACACTCTCCCTCTCTCACATACTCTCTCCCTCTCTCTCACACACACTCTCTCTCTCTCTTTCTCAATCACTTTCTCACACTCCCCCTCTCACACACTCTCTGCTACACATTCTCTCTGTCCCCTCTCACACTCTCTCTCCCCTAACTGCATAGATTTCGTAACTGCATGGAAATCTCAGTTTGGTTTGGATACTCTTAAGCATGTTGATGGGTTTCCCCATGTGTCAGACACCCAGCTGACCCCCAAAAAACATCAGTTATCCTTTTGCTTCCTCCAAACAATTTAGCCACAGTTCATACATGATCAATTATTGCTGAAATAGCCCTATCTGATTTGTCAATGGACCACTAAGTAATTGAATCTTAAGCAAATTAATAAAATAAATTCTGATCAGCCAGATGTCTAACACATGTGGAAACCCATCACCATGCTTAAGAGTATCCAAACCAAACTGAGAATTCCATGTATCCCACCTACACATGGAACTTCCAAAGATATTTATGGGAATGAAATAGGCACTTTCTCCCTGGAGGGATGTATCCTGCTTACCTAACTCCAAGAAGCATTAGTTAAAGGTTGCGAAAAACCAAGGCTTGGAGACTCCAGAGTGTGCATTGCAGTCTAACCAACTAAAACCGCATAGCTTGCCACTAACAACACTGCTTGGCAGGCTTTCCTGATGCTTGTCCAGCTAAGACCAGCCTACCCATTAGGGCTTTGGCTTGCAGGGTTAACGGGAGCTAAGTGGGAAGAGTTCCTGCCCCCATTGACTTGTCTGTCCTTCCAAGTCCTGCTGATGATCCAACTGCTGTGTTGTTAGCAGTGTCCTGGAATACTGTGGACCTGCCCAGCTCAGGAACTAACCTACTGAGATAGTCACAAGAAGGCTGGCTTGATTCTGACATTCTGTTACCAAACATGTCATCTTGCAGCCAGTTCAGTTCCAAGGACACCTTCCTGATGTGAAAGGCACTATATCATAGTAATTTGTTGTTGTTTATTCAGGACCAACTGCGTAATCCAGGTCCTCATGTGAGAGGCTTTGACAAACAGACATGTCTGCTGCGAAACTGCCTCTATCTGCAGTACCACTACTACTTTCGGATGGTATCATGTTACTAATTATACCGGGAGATCGATAAATCAATATCGAGTTGCCTTTTGATGACATTTGTTGTGTTAATCAATAGTACGTAACATAAAAGGAGCATTATGTGAAGGTAGTTATCCGGTCCCAGGGAAATTCATGAGAATAGATAACAATAGCGTTCAAACACAAGTTCTTCCTTTAGAAAATTAACTTTATATGTTTGTCTTTTGCTGTGAATAACGGTTATTTGTATTATTGCATTTCAGAAATAATTAAAATTATTTCTTCTTTTGGCAGATCAGGGATATTTTAGCAGCGTCTATTTAATGTACTGGATAAAATGCAAAAATCATTACACTGCAGCAAAATATGGCATCCTTCCAATAGTTTTGCTGTCACTGAGGGAGTGCTGCTACAGAGTTATCCAGTATGAAGGGGTGGGAGGGTGGGGGCGCGGATAATAAAGCAAGAATAGCAACTACATTTCTTTAATGAATTTAATTGATGTCTCTATTACATTTGTTCATTCATTGCTAATTCATTGTAGTTCATACGACTACTACTAATAATAAACCTTGCAGTTCATATAGCGCCTTATCATGTCTTCGAGACGTCTCAAGCGCTTCACAGAATATACTGTAAAGTGAATTGACTGTGTATCTTGGGAGCAAAACGTGGCAACCAATTGCACACAGCAGTGTCCCACAAACAGATTGAAGTGACCAATTTTTTTTTGTTACTAATGTTTGACTGTTCAACAACAGTAACTTACTCTATAAAGAATAATATGATATGGAAATGGGCCATTTGGCCCACCTAATCCTCGCTGGTATTTATACTCCACATGAGCCTCTATTATATATGCATCAAGTTTCATCTTAAATACACTGAAGCTTCCAGTAGTGAGTTCTCACCACCTTCTGAGTAAAGAAGTTCCTCCTAAAACTGAACTCCATTTCCCTTTTAGATCTGCTACTAGCTATCTTATATTTATGTTCCCTCATTTTGCACGCATCAACAAGTGGAAAACTCCACCCGATCAAAACCTTTCATAATCTTTCATATAGTTAAATATCTCAAAGCGCTTTTTAGATAAGCTGAATACAATAAGCTAAAATAACCACAATTACAGGCAAACCTTTAAAGCACCACCTCTGTTCAACAACCACCTGCTTTTAACAACCACCCTGGAACAGTCTCGACTGATTTTCCATTATAAATCACCTCCATAACGCAACTAGTGGCCACTCTTTTTTATAAGCCCTGTCATTGTTCAGGCACCCTTTCCAGTGGCCAGTTCTAAATGAATTTAAGTGCATTTACTGGTAATGCATTACCAATTTCCACAGGCCTGAGTGTAGACTCCTGCTAGACTCCAAGCACATTTATCTATGCTGTGCTGGTAGCCCGCATGATGCCTACAGCTTCCTGCCTCACTGGTGAGGTGTCATTGGTAAACACACTAGGAGTCCCGTGGGAGTCTGCACACAGGCTCATGGAAATTTTTGGCCCGCAGAAATGTTTTTCAAAATTTTCAGGCCTGGCAACAACCCAATAAACCCTGCCTCAGAGGCCACTCTTACATAAGGGCCGGTTTGGTCCAGGCTCCTGAGTGATTGTTGAAAACACGTCTGACTTTGTATGAATTCTTAATAACCCTAAACTCTGAGTAACTGGTGCCTGTAAATAAACCAAAACACCAGGAACACCACACACCAAGAGGTTATATTCAAGATGGTGCCAACAGTGGACAAAGTGTAATATAAATAATAACAATAATTATTAATAATAACAATATAAATGCAAGGAATATGCAAGTTATTTTCATCTGGGGGCAAAAGCAATTTGTCTAGGATGCAGGACGATTAGCGAAAATTGGAAAGATTCAGATCTCTTTACATGATTCCCTCTGAGGGATTTTGCAATCAAGGGTCATTATTCTGTTCCAGATGTATCTATCGTACCATTAAAACTCAATTCACTTGAAATTATGTTTTAAAAAANCAGTTCTGTTGGCTGCTTGTGCAAGTGGCAAGTGTTTATATGTATTAAATGGTGCGGTGGCTTCTGTTAAAGAAAGGTTAATAATTTACCATGAACATTCAATAAACTAAAGCAAATTGGTTTCAAACAAGCTTGTAAGGGCTTTAGAGCCTAATCAAGTGCAGCTAACTCTGAGGAAGTAGCCAAACCGGCATATAGAGATCCCGATTAATTGCTTATAAAATGAAAACTTAAGGTCAACTTCATTTAGAAAAAAAACAGCAAAAAATCAAAGATCGACAAATAGTGGGTTTGGATGACAATATTGATGGCTGCGAGATACAGTTATTTTATTGTTTGGAAGATACGTCCTAAAATGAGTTGTTTTCAGTATGTGTTTTATGACCTGAACATTCATTGTGCACATGTTAGAATCCGAGCATCATTTACCTAAACATCACGTGCTTCATTCTGGTACAGAATTTCAAAATAAATTTTGGGTCAGTGAAACTCAACCCTGTATTATTCCACTCTCTGATCGATTGTTTTGACTCATGTGGATCCACTTAGTTATTCAACTTTTTGACCACCACCATCAATTCTATATACTAATAACTCTTCATATTTGATAAAGTGACTTATTACTCAAAGCACTTCACAGCAGTTACAGTAAAATGTAGTGACTGTTCATTTTTAGGTGAACCTGGCAGCGAATTTCCAAATAGCAATATCTCAAACAGCCAAGTGGGAAATGAATAATGTAACTGGATGATTCTTGGCCAAACATCACCAGAAACTCCCCACTTATTTTGGAAAGTATCATGATTCTTTAATGTTTACCTGAACAGGCAATGGGATCATTGATTCCCAAATGTTACACTGCAGAGTCAGTAGACAATGAACTAAATATTCCTGATGCAGGACTTGAATCCACAACCTACTGACCCAGATACCAGAGTGCTTCTAACTGAGCCAAACTGGCACAAAATGCCAAGGGCAACAGTAGGTGACTCAAGGGGCGAGGGAAAGGGCATATTCCAGAGAAGAGGAGAAATAACCTGAGAAATAGAGACCAATTAATAAACAGAAACATCTTTTGTCTTTAAAACATATTGTGTGCACAATTTGAGAGGAAAGGCAAGAAGAAGCATTTATTTTTCAATTATTGCTCAGAAGATTACTCAGAACTATTCATAAATATATACAAATGAGAAACTTTTAATTTAAATATTAGGTGTCAGTCCAGCTCAGTTGATCGTACTCTTGGCCTCAGAAGGCTGGGGGTTAAATCCCCATGTCAAGATGTTAAACTCACACAGGGTCTGGCACTCCATTGCAGTGCTGGAGGTATTCTGCATGTTGGAGGTATCACCTTTTAGGTTAAATCTAGATTTTGTCTGCTTGTTCAGGTGGATGTTAAAGATCCCATGGTGCAATTTGAAAAGAGAAAGGAGTTTCTGCTGATATCCTGGCCAACTTTCCCCAAGATAAAATTGATCATTCGCTTTCTGGCTGTTTGTACAACAGAATTAGTCTTTTTTGGGGTGTTTCCTCTATTGTTTGTTTTATTTTATGAGGGGACCGAGGGATTAGCACCAGGAGACAATGTGCAAGTGTATATTGTGAGGTTGTTGTAGTGTGGAAGGTGTTCTTTGGAGTGCATATCATGATTCTTTGGATCTTTTTTGATCCTTCCCATTTACAGGATGCAGTTCAAGATCCTGGTCCTCAACTTCAAAGCCCTCCACGGTCTTGCTCCCCCCTACCTCTCCGACCTACTAACCCCCTACCACCCTATTCGCTCCCTCCGCTCAGTGGGCTCCAGCCTGCTTCACATCCCCCGCCTTGCTCGCCCCACTATCGCCGGACGGGCCTTCTGCCGCTCTGCACCCACCCACTGAAACTGCATCCCGCAGTCCCTCCATCTCGCCCCCTCCCTCGCCACCTTCAAGACCCAACTCAAAACCCTCCTCTTCGACCGAGTTTTCGATCTCCCTGCTTCCCCCCCTGCCCTCCACCCTCCCCTACCGACCCTCAGCTCGGGTTCGTAACTCTGTCTGTCCAGCACCTTGGGATGTCCTCCCGATGTGAAAGGCGCTATACAAATGTAATTTTGTTGTTCTTGTTGTATAGGTATCTTGATTTAATTAATTATATCCTCAAAGTCCCAAAATGTGTTTGAATTGGAAGACCTCGGCTAATGGAGGTCCTGTAGCTCAGTGGTTAGAGCACTCGCTTTGCAAGCGAGAGACCTGAGTTCAATTTCAGGCAGGACAAAACCTTGGGCAAGTTTCCTTACTCCACACGCCTAATAATAATCCCTCCAAAACCAAAACCAATAATAAATTGGTCATTTTCAATTTATGACTGTTTGTGGGACATTGCTGTGCGCAATTGGCTGCTGCGTTTGCCCACAAATATACAGTCAATTCACTTTACAGTGTGTTCTGTGAAGCGCTTTGGGACATCCTCCCGACGTGAAAAGCGCTATATCAAATGCAAGGATTATTATTATTATTATAATGATGAGAGATTGAGTAAATATGTGTTATATTCCCTAGACTTGAGGAGGTTAAGAGATAATATGACCTTCTCCCCTTTACTAGCAGCCATTGTCAACCTGTCTCACTCCACCGGCAGAGTCCTGCTCCCTCTCATCACTCCTCTCCTCAAAAAACTCACCTGTGATCCATCAAACCTCACTAACTAATGACCCATCTAAAACCTGCCCTTCTTTCTAAAGTCCTGGAATACAGTGTTGCATTCTTCTCCTTCCATTCCTTTTTCAAACCCCTCCAGTCTGGTTTCTGTTGTGCTAATAGCATTGATCAGCACTCATCAAGATTTCATATGATATGCTGTGTTTCCGTGACCAGGGCTCTCTCTGCGTCATTGCCCTCCTGGACTTCACCGCTAGTTTTGACACAGTGAACCATGACATCCTCCTCAACTGCATCTCCTCCCTTATCCACCTAAGTGGCTGTCCTCTCCTGGTTAAGGTCCCGCTTGACCAATCGCCACTATTTTGTCTCCCCTAATGGTTTCTTCTTCCACCTCTGCTCCCCAAGGCTATATTCTTAAGCCCCTCTTTTTTCTCTTTACAGGCTCCCTCTTGGTGATATCATCTGCAGACATGAGATCAATTTCCCCAGAAATGGAGATGACACCGAAATCTATTTTTGGTTGCTACCCTAACCGATGTTCTGACTGCCTGATTGTCTGATGCCAAGGCCTGGATGAGCACCAACTTTCTGAAGTTGAACATGGACAAAACAGAGACATCCTCCTTGGTTCCTGTTAATGTTTTCTCACCTGTGATTCTGAACTCCTTAACCTTCCCTGTCTATCCCTCAGACTCACCCACCCTATACGCAACCTTGGAGTTTGGTTCAATCCCCAATTACTCTTCTAACCCCACATCTGGTCCCTGACCAGGACTGTTTTTCTCCACCTGCCCCACATCACCCACCATCACACATATCTTACTTACTTACTGAAACCCTCATTCATGCTTTTGCCACCTTCTGCCTCGATTTTTCCAAAGCAAATTCCCAGTCTCCCTAGCTCCAATATAAACAAGGGCTAAATGATACAAACCTCCGCTGCCTGTGTCCTCACCCATACCTGGCTCTGTACCACTATCACCCTGGTTCTTGCCAGGCTCCACCGGTTCTCTGTTACAGAACTGATGAATTTCAAGATCATCACACTCACTTTCAAATATCTTCATGCCTTGGCACCTCCCATCGTCTCTGATCTGCTCACACCACACTCCACCACCTTTGGTCAGCTGGCTCACTTCTCTGAGTATCCCTTGTCCCCTTTCACTGCACATATGCCTTTATTCAGCACTATAGATAGGTGGAATGTTCTGGCAGTATATTGTTCCAGAGCGCTTTCATAAATACATGTTACAGGTGATAGATGACACTCAAGAGCAGACTAAAATGAAGTCCTCTAGATACAAAATATCTTTATTCAAATGCAGTGGTTACACTTTTACTTGCTGACAAGTTCACCAACTGATACTGTCACATCAACCTGACCTGCCCATCTGTAAATCTCAATCATATCAAAGCTCAGAATTGTGCTCGCTGTGATAAAAAGTTTTGAATGAAACACATGACATTACTTCCACTGCCAACAAAGTATATTTTGAATATTCAACATTTAAATAAATGGCAATTATATCCTACAGCTTAGCAATGAGATAAATTTCAACTTGTATAAAAAATATAAAAGAATGAAAACATCACTGGATTTTAATCTTGTTCTGCAGTGTCTTGTAGCTGGTATTGTAAGTTAACTCTTTCTTTCGCTTGTGCATTCTCAGGATCCCATGTGCCCTCAAAAAAACATTCTCTCCTTTTGTCAATTTGATTATTTTCTAATATGGCTGTTTTATTGTTTGTCTTGGTGCTACAGCAAACATCTGTCTGGCCTGGAACTAGCTTAATCCTTGCATTTTCAAAAAATCTCAATGCATGAAAATCTCACTGATGTAATTGTGCCTTTCTTTTTATAATTTCAGCAGGTTGGAAAAATTTTGAATTACTGTCAAATGCCCTGCCAAAGTAGAGTATTCATTGTGATAAGGGGCTGCTCTTTCTAAGTAGAGTATTCATTGTGATAAGGGGCTGCTCACTCCAGAGAGAGATTGACTGCGAAGGGGAGAGGGAGAGAGATTGAGAGAGAGAGAGAGATAGAGAGCAGGGAGAGAGATGAAGTGAGGGCAGTGTTTCATGATTCACTGTCAGGACCGATGAACGGAGCCTCCATTGCCTGCTGCTGGGGTGGGGATGGGGGTGGGGGGATCCGAGGACAGGCACTGTGCGACGTGACTTGCAGTTTCCTCACAGAAAGCTTTCCTTTCCTCAGTGAGAAACTCGTTGTTGCCTTCATTTCCACTTCCCCACCCTATCTCTGCAACCTCCCGATCCAGCTGGTCCCTTTGCTCAGCAAACACTAACTTGCTTTATTTCCTCCCACCCCATCTGCCTCACCATTGCCATTTTGGCCCCGCTCTCTGGAGCTCCCTCCCCTCTTTCAAGACATGTCAAGGTTCAACTCTTTGACCGTGCTTTTTTTCCCCTCTCCACCCACCTCCCTCAGCTCCCAGTCCCAGTTCTGGTTGCCAGCCAGCAGTGATGAACACTTTGAGACGTCCCTCCGACATGATAAAGGCGCTATGTAAATTGTTATCTTATGTTTCTGGAAAGGACATACAAAAATATTGCTTATGCTGCTCACGGACATTTCTCAAATAGGGCATCCAGTCATCAGAAGCCAAAAGGTTGGATCACCCTTCTCTAAGCAATCCAATAATTAGTGGCCAATTTTTTCTTGATTATCAATTGCTTTAAAATTTGCATCAGATGACTTTTATGTGACCACATCTCTGGTTTATTCTATCACACATAAAACAATATAAGCACTAGTCTTCCGGTGAGTGGAAATCAAACTCAAGCGAGCTTTTGCCATTCTGCTGCATGGGAGGTTTCTGTCCTCCCTGAGCTCGCCTTAGGATACCTGCGTTACAGTTTGACGAGTGTACTGCCCCTGTCAAACTCTCCATCTGTCATCGTCCTCGTATCGGACACTTTACTTTGGAACATAGATTAAAACTTTATTGCAAAACACACCCATCTAGATATCGCTGCGGTGTTCAATTGATAGGATATATTAAATTTAATTTAGGTTTCTTTTAAGACCATACCATGAAAAGTATTTTTGCAATAGATTCTACATCATCCTAACTAGTATAATGACAACCGAATCACAAATGATTTGAGAGATATTATGTAGCTCCATTGATGCAGATCACCAGGTGCCCCTTTCCGATACTGTAACAGATTGTGATATCACACAAACCGAAACCGTTTGCTTTACATCTAAGCATATTGAATTCTGAGAGAAGCACATCAAAATTACAGTCAAAGCATTTAGAAGGATTAGAATTTGGAATTATTATACATGCATATGCATTTGCCACACTAACGTATAGACTACATTTGCGCCTTTGGGTCTAACGTCTAATGTAAATAAACATTTTCAAGTGAATGGAGAACATCTTAGCAGGTTATCGGGATACTTCCTTTTGCTTCTTTATCAAAACAATTCCTGATTTATGCTGAGCTACTCACCTCCTCCATGACTCTGACAAAGGTAGGGGAAACGCCAAACATTTCCTAATCCCACACAAAATCCAACACATGTTAACATGTACTGGGCCTTGTTGTCCCACTTGGGTCTTTCATCCACTTCTTCCAGTTCCCTCTTATCCAGCTCAGCGTAGGAGGGAACTCTATCATCCAAGCCGTGGTTCGGTAAGCTGAGTTTCACCATTGTGCCTTAGGGAGCGATAAACTACCCAACACAAGTACGCACTGTCTCTAACTGGGAACTGACAGGTGCAAGGGGGAGGTGATATTCAGAACCAAATGAAAGGTGCTAATGCTGACGAGATGCATTTATACTGAACCTTTAGCACTCACAGCCTTTGCTGAAGGTACACCGGTCAGCAAAACACCTGATTAACCAAATAATGTTTGATAATTATTAATACATTTTATCAGATGGAAGATTACCCATTGGATCCAATTGCAGCTTTCGAATCAGCGGATAATTCCGTTTAAATCAATTAGTTTTTTCAATAATGGAAACGATTAACAGCTATTCCCTTGTTAAAATGATGCAACTTATATTGGAACAGTTTTTTTTATTGCCTAGGAATAAAGATTAGCACTTGTTTTTAACTAACTGGTATGAGGAGCGGGTAAATGAGAGAGATTTCAGGAAGGATAGAAAGTAAAATAACTTTTCCATTAATTTTTCAGTGAAGTCTACACTGAGACTTTAGACGTCACCCCGATTCAGTTGATAGCAATCTCTGAGTCAGAAAATTGCAGTTTTAAGTTCATGTCAGGATTTGAGATCACAAACTGGGCTGACATCCAGTGCAGTAACCCTGCGTTGTTGAAGGTAAGATCCCATCTGTCTGTTCAAGTGAATGTTAAAGATTCCTTTATAATATTTGAAAAGGGAAGCAGATTTTATTTGGTGCCAACATTCCTCCAGATACAAAGTTCATCCACTTGCTAGCTATTATTGAGACATTGCTGTGCACAAAAAGTCTGACTCGTTTACAATAAACACTCACTGGTTAAATGTAAGTACTTTTAAGTGGTTTGAGATTTTAATTATAATTCTAATTCTTACATTTGATATAGTGGCTTTCAATGTTAAGAGTTCATCTCAAAGTACTTCAGATTTACTAGTAATTATGTATTTTATAGGCAAACCAATTTTATATGATTTTCACTGTCCTTTTAAAATGAATACCCTCAACATTCATCTTCACCCTTTCAGCTGTAAATTCTGTTGAAAAAAAAACAGATAGGTCTCACAAGTTAAATAGTGGGTAATAATCCCTTTAAAAAAAATGCAAAAAAATAAATAATTTGGTCACTCAGTCGACGACTGTTTGTGGGACACTGCTGTGTGCAATTGGCTGCCGTGTTTCGCCCACAAAATACACAGGTCACTACACTTTACATTATATTCTGTGAAGCGCTTTGAGATGTCTTGAAGATGTGATAAGGCACAATATGAAATACAAGGATTATTATTATTATTATTATTAAACAAGGCAGCCAATTTGCTCATAATCAGCTCTGATGTGAATGACCAATTTTATTTGTAAGGTCCACCCTCTGTGGTGTTTGGACAGCCTGCATTCAGTTCCTAGAGTAAACCTAGGAATTTCTTTCAGAGAAACATAAGGATGGGTCGCACTCTAGTACATGTTGCTTGTCTATGACACATTAGGGCAGAGAAGCTTTGCTTTGCAATGGGCCATAATCTGGGCCAATTGAAAAGTGAGGAAATATTTGCAAAAGATTGCGCAGCGCTTTGCAAACTTTGTAGGGCGTTGGGGAGGGCTGGTGCTATTGGGAGCCACATTTTTCTGCTTACCTACATTTTTTCTCTTTTCTAATTTTTAAAAATCTAAATATGAAGAAATAACACATCATAGATTATTGGGGAAAAAATGAAATTCTCACAGAAACAAATAAAAAATTCTCAGCAAAAGTTTACTTCTGGTTAAATCTTAACGTGAGAAAAATCTTGATATTTTCTTCTGTTGGACTATCTGTTTATTATCTTTCAGGAGGTCTGAATAAATGCCCTTTCAACATCAGCTGTGCTCACTGGTAGCCAAGTGTACCTTTTTGCAACTTTAACAAGTTTCACAAGTGGCTCAGGCTAGGCTCCCCACCATCCTGCTATTTTGTGGTTAGCTGGGATATTTTATCCAGCTGTTTTGTAAGCATGTCATTCAATGTTTTGAAATAGTTGAAAGGGCAGGAATCACATTACTATATAAGTCTTTTTCCGCATTTCTGGTTGCTAGCTGGTGAGGATCAAAAATACGAACTGCTTTATAGGTAGCAATTAACGGATGCTTTTTCAGAAGCAGTCCCAATTTTTCACTGCTGTCTTGCATGATTATCTGAAAAAGGTTGACAGGCTTCTCTCTCATTCTCAGCGGCCAACTTTTTCACTGTCTTTGGTCTATACTCCTGTGCTCCAACAATGGCACAGAAATCAATAAACAAATGTAAATTTTGCACCCGTAAGTACAGATCGTGGCCCTGAGGCACAGCTTTTGTCCGGCAAAATTCTTCAATGATTTTTGTGAGCTCAGATGAATGCTCTGTGACAAAGATTGCTTAGGCGTGTAACTCTGCAGCATTATTGCTCAAGAAGAGTTTTCAGTTTTTTCACTGGTAAGGCCTCTGATGCAATTCCTTAAAGAAATTCTGCCAAGGCAGGCAAGTACCCATACAAATATTCAACAGCCTATACCCAGGAGCATCAAAGCATCTGAACAGCAAAGACGGGTATCTGTGGTTTAATTTCGTCCTTCTTCTCCATCCTTCGTCTCCCATAAATTCCAAGTACTGATGCCAGCGCATTGAACTTTGGCAGAAGACTTTCTTGACCATAGCAGCCACTGTGTTTAAGTCCTCCAATATAACAAGCCAAATTTCCAAAATCAAGTTCAGAAGATGGGCAGTACATGTGATACGTATTTAGTTAGGAAACAATTCCAACGGAATTGTGTTAGATGCTTTGATCATGTAGCTTGCATTGTCTGTGGCAACTGTAAGCACTTTATCAAAGTTAACCATTTTTACATTTAAGACACTTAGAAGAGCTTGTGACACAGTGGCATGCTTAACTCGCTGCAACAATTCTACTTCAATAAGAAGAGGCTTCACCCCAACTTTCTGCAGTGGCTGTGCCAGCACTGCCAGAACACTGCGTCCACTGGAATCCGGGTCTCATCCAGGAACAAGTACACATCAGTGTCCTCAACATATTTCTTCAAAAATGCTTCATGCTCAGGAATAAACCCCTTCAAGTATGTATTAAGAAGCTGTGAAGGTGATGGAATAGTCCCTTCCTGTTTTGTGTAATTGTGTAGAAACTCTTGGAAGGCAGGAGCTTTTTCAAGTGATATGTCTGCTGTATTGAAACACCACACACAGTCCAATATGAATGTTTTCCTCTCTATAGATGATGCAGTGGCTCTCGAGAAGCAGGTTGTCAGGACAAGTTGTCTTTGAGGACAAGATCCTCCTACAAAGGAAAAAATAAAAATTGATCTTCATGATGCATTTGTCGTTAGAAATATTCTATCTATTTGTATTTGTTTGCTGTGGTCTTAAGATTTTTTAAAATTCAATCAAAGAGGCGGGTGATTAACTTCTGTAATCATACAAATTAAGATTTTATTTCAAAATTAACGTGTAAGCAAATAATGATACATTTTCATTTAATATATCACCCCTTCCTTGAAGAAACCTTCCCTTGACCCATCACAGTAGTCCTGTGGCTCAGTGGTTAGAGCACTCACCTTGCAAGCGAGACACCTGGGTTCAATTCCAGGCAGGGTGAAACCTTGGGCAAGTTTCCTTACTCTACATGCCTTATAATAATCCCTCCAAAAAACAAAACAATAATAATTTGGACACTCAGTCCACAACTGTTTGTGGGACACTGCTGTGCGCAATTGGCTGCCGCATTTCGCCCACAAATATACAGTCAATTCACTTTACAGTATACTCAGTGAAGTGCTTTGAGACGTCTAGAAGACATGAAAAGTGCTATATCAAATGAAAAGATTATTATTATTATTATTATTATTATCACCGCTATCTATCTACCGGCCCATCTCAAACCTCCCTTTCCTATCCAAGGTCCTTGAGAGAGCTGTTGCCTCCCAGCTTCGCTCTTTCCTCTCCTCCCACTCCCTCCATGAACCCCTCCAATCGGATTTCTGTGCTGCCCACAGCACGGAAACTGCTCTGGTCAAGGTCAAAAATGACATCCTGACCATTTGTGACCAGGGCTCCCTCTGTCTCCTTGTCCTCCTCGACCTCTCCACCACCTTTGACACAGTGGACCACTCAATCCTCCTACACCACCTCTCCTCCCACCTCAACCTTCAAGGTTCTGCCCTTGACTGGTTCAGGTCCTACCTTTCACACCGCCTCCACTTCATCGTGGCAAACGGTTTCTCCTCCAGCCCCCGCACTGTCTCATCCGGTATTCCTCAGGGCCCTGTCCTCGGTCCCTTCCTCTTCACCCTCTACATGCTCCCCCTTGGTGACGTCATCCACAGTCATGGGGTAAATTTCCACATGTATGCCGATGACACCCAACTATATCTCTCTGCCTCCACCCTCAACTCCGGGACTACTGGTGTCCTGACCAACTGCCTGTCCGACATCAAGTCCTGGACGACGGACAACTTTCTCCAACTCAACGTCAGCAAGACCGAGGCCCTCCTGATTGGCTCGCGCCAGCGCCTCCGCACCTCAGGGGCTGGCAGCATCAGCCTCTACGGCTGCACACTCAACCTCACTAAGCCAGTCAGGAACCTTTCGGAACCGGCCTTCCCAACTCTTCCCTCCACAAGCTGCAGATCATCCAAACTCTGCAGCTCGTGTACTCTTGCGCACCAGGCTCTGCGACCCCATCACTCCCACCCCCCCCCCCCCCCCCCCCGACTTCACTGGCTCCCCATCCCCCAGAGGGTTGAGTTCAAGATTCTCGTCCTCACTTTATGCCTTGCCCCCTCCTTCCTCTCTAACCTGCTGACTCTCTACCAATCTGTCCACTTCCTCCATTCATCAGGCTCCGGTCTGCTCCACGTCTCCCGCCCGACCCGCCCTACCATCGGTGGCCGGGCTTTCAGCCTCTCTGCCCCCACACACTGGAATTCCATCCCACGGTCTCTTCGCCTCGCTTCCTCCCTTACCTCCTTCAAGGCCGGTCTCTCGACTGTGCCTTTGGTCTCCCTCCACCTCTCTGCCTTCCCTCACCCTTACACCACCCCTCCCCCATGTTCGGGCCCCGACACCTGACTTTTCAG